TGGGAAATGATGTGGCCGCTACAAGCCAAGAACAAAGCGTGGGCAACCTACCGAAATGTGAACATCCACCAAAACTGGCAGTTGACCTTGCATCAAGCATTGACGAATCCATCTAGTCCGTCCCCGGGTCGCCCTTGACCCCCCTCCCGTCATCGAGCTCTTCATACACGACGACGACCCAAAATACTACTACAGGAACTGCCCTCATATCATGTGTGCTGCGACTCTCTTCGCAGTCAATGCAGACGGCAGCGTCAAACAGTCCAAGTTGAGTGGTATGACGGTCTCTTCTATGTATAGTGTCAAGTTGAAACTCGATGGAAGCAGTAAGTTACCTCTACAGCTCTCCCGGTCATTGTCAACTCACCAGTGCGCAGACCACGCATATTTCGTCTTCCAAGACTTGTCCCCCGTCTATGCTGGCCGGTATTACCTTGTGTTCACTGTCTTCACAATTGGAACGGAGGGCATGCAATCCATGCTGTCGACTAAATCGGACACCTTTGTCGTCGGCGAGTGGAAAGCTGCTGCGATGGTCCTCCCTCCAGCAACAGCATTGACCAAGGCCCTGGCCGAATGTGGTATCAAGTTGAGACTGCGCAAAGAGCCTGCGTATGTCGTCCACCCCCGATATTCCTCACCAATGACTAATCTTTTCCCAGCAAGCGCAAGACCGGGACCCCTGACTGGTCTGCAGGTAAACCAGCAGGAGGATCTGTTGGAGTCATCGGAGCCATACCCTCGAATGGCATTGTTTCTGGAGGTCCTCTCCCAGTTGGGTCAGCCGCTCTCTTGCATGGTTCCAACTTTAGGATTCCAACCGTCGGCGAAAACATCGAGGGCCGCGTGGTCTACGAGCCTCAGCCAAATGCACACCATCTTCCAGTTCCTCACACCACTTCGACTTTCCAGCCTCTTTACGTTCCAGCCGCAGGGCCTAGCTCTTACACCGGATCCTCTCACACCGGCTTGTCCATGGTGAACCCTTACGCAACCTCTGAGCCCGCGCAGAACGAGCTATCCGGCTATTCGCAAAATCAACATCACCATGCTGGAGCGAGCTATCACAACATGCTTGGACAATCAAACTGTGGATATGCAGGCTCCATTCAGGATGATATCATTCGGAACACCAATCATGGCCGACGAAGCCAGAACAACATTATAACAGCCAGTAACAGTGGTTATCAAACCAAGAGTCAAAACCACATGCTGCCACCTTCAAGCAACGACTACATGGTGCGAACCATGGGCCTCACCAGCAACAGCTTCCCGGCTATCTCGCAAGGCACGACGAGCATGTCGAGCAGCGGCATGTTCGAGACAACCCTGGGAAGCAGCCTGCCAGCATTGGAGAACCACGGCTACATGACCACAAATCATAATGGCGTGAGTATGGCTTTCAATCCCACGTTTCCCGGCAATCAGGTCCAGAACCAAATGGGATCATTTGATGGCATGTATCATCCTCTCAGTCAAGGGAGCATGGAAATGATGGCCAACACATCATTCACATCCTCGACCTCGGGTTCCCGCAGGGATGATTTGGCGGGTTGGACCCATGGCCAGATTGACAACCATCGCATGAGAGGCATGATGTGATACAGCCAATAGATTTTCCGGATGTTGATGGTTGTGGCATCCGCAGAGTCGCCGACGACGATCGTGTGACCGGCTTTGAGCTGAGTGTTATTCCCTTGAATTCGAAAAGAAGCGAAGATACCCCGAGGCGCCAGCGAGGACAACAAGATTGCTACTACCCATCGAGGCTTTTGACCAGCGCAAATCAGGCAAGGCTTGGATCTTGGAGGTGATGTTTCCAGAAGAAAGCCTGCAATACCAGGGGTTGAGAGTAACAAGAGGGAAGGTTTCAAGAATTGTTTGATTGTTGTTTGATCCAGATATAGTTAGTTCATAGTGTTTCCAATAAAGCAGCCCTTCGCTTTGGGCAAAGACAGCACAATTGGCTGTTTCTTACTTGGGTTTGTATTTGTGAGTCATTTTTTCATTACATGTGGTTGGATGTAGAGATGAGCTGTATGTAAATGGCATCTCTGGACAGTCCAAGTCCACATGTTCTCGAACCCAGCCAAGGCCTCAATGGGCGTGAGCTCAATATCTATCCATCAGCCTTCAATCAATGTGCCCATCGTCAGCCTTGCTGTTGGATTTGTTAAACTTATAAGCCACATCTTCAGTGTCCGAGTCAAAAGTCAGACATGACAGACATACACCACGGCTGGGATGACAATTGACTGGGTATAGTCCAGGGTTCAAGCCTAATGGTGCATTGCGTTGCGATTCTTCATCGCAGGCAGGACGGGATTACTGCATTTGTCAGTCATATCAGATGAGGCTGGAGGTATAGTTGAAATGGACTAGATATGGGAGTGAAGGCTTCGTTCAAGGCACTGGGTTCATGTTTGGGGAAATTGATGGAGAATGAAGACTTGGTCGAAATAAGTATCAACTCAGGATGATAAACTTACATTTATGTAAAAATCGGCGACGCTGTCCATGATGACAGCCCACGTTGAATACTTTGAGTTATGGCTCGAATGGGTCATGAAAGGAATACAGTTCCCGGCGAGTTTTCGCACTCCGTGTCAATCCATGGCTCGACAGGCCATGAACCAGCAGAACAAATCGATCTTGCTTCATCAACCAGCGGTTGTGGCATGGCCAGCTGTGTCCACATTCTCTCGAACCTTTGGTTTCACCTAGCATCGTGCCACTCTATGGGCTTGAGTTGGGTCCGACTCAGCCTGGGTATGCATCTTCATTCGTTGACAATTATGTCGTATTCCTGGATCCCGTCATTATTATGTTGGCTGGGGGACAGTCATGCCTTGTTGCTAATCCAGTGGAGCGTTCCAAAGTCCGTTTTATTTAGCCCTTCCTGCATTCTCGAGGTAATACAAGAAGGAGATGGACATGTAATGATCAACCACCACAACCTAAAGAGCATGCCCACGTAGAGCCAAAAGTTGAATGAAATTGTGATGGACTCCGTCCTATTCCTCATGTTGTCCAGACTATTCAACGTCAAACATGGTTCACAACATCCGGATCGGCCGGAGCATACCTCTGTCACCTGATGGTTCTTTTCACCAATCTTATGTAGTAGATAATCTTGGTTCTATGGCATTTGAGTTAGATATTCACTTTCCAGCCGTCAGGCAAATTTCGAGCGAGGCCGACCATTACGTTGGCTGCACAGGGAAATCTTCGAGGTAAATCAATCTTCCGACCAACTCCCAGCCTTTCAAGATATGATCAGGAAACAATGTCAGATGAGGGACAAGCTGGAAAGCCAATCTTTAAAGTTTTCGCACTCCTAGCACTGGTTAGCCAATGACTAAAATCAGCCTAGGGTTCCAGACGGGCTACTCTTTTCTAATTTGGCAACCAAACTGATGGGGTTGGCTCCGCCACGAGTGATAAAGCTGCCCGCGGTGCTCAAAATAGAGATATATATCACAGTGTTGATGTAGTGATGTAGGTGGAGAAACTGTGGTGTTAAGTTAAGTATGTACACAAGAGCAGGTCTCCTGCGGTCGGTGGAAAACTCTAGTAGTAGCCAGCTACGCCAAAAGACGACGGTGCAACTGTGGCTTCACAGCGATCCTGCTTTGCAATGCGTCGAGTGTGGAAATTTCTACCATCATGACAGCAGAAGATTGTACCCTAGACCTGACTTCGCTGCATCCCTCAAAGACCATAGAACTTCTTTTCAGGCATATGCTTGCGTTCACATCACAGTTGATCTGGATCCATCGAGATACTCGTGTGATATATCCTGGCGGAAGCCAGCATAGGTGCATGCTCGACAAACTTCCCTAGATCTGGACATCAAACTATAGATCATGGCACTGAATCCATTGAAAGTAAAACAGAGTCCGTTGGCCGGTAGGTATCTGCATGCAATGTACCAGCGTTGAGTCAGGTCGAGGACGATATCTCCAGAAATGCTCATAGAATTAGAAACAGAAATCAATGGCACTGGGATCCAAAATATCAGGGTGGGGTCGCTGGAGCAAACTCACACCTCAGCAGACAGTCCTTGTCCGGTTAGCTTTTGGATTACCTAACTTGTTGATGGCCACGCACATATGGGAGCACTCTTACTCGCAAAATCGGCGATCACGGCAACCAGGCATGACTTTCGCGTTAGTAGGAAGTCAGTCATGCAGGATTTATCAATGATGATAAAACAGGGGGGGGAGAACCAGAGAATATAAACCAGCGGACCCCTTGTTGATCTGGGACGGACAACTCACACGCTTGCCTGAGTACGGGATGGACCAGGATGCATGAAAGAGGTCCGGAGAGACACTATTGTCATGCCAGTCCACTTCATGAAGTCCTCCTAAAGCACTGTGATGGTGTGCCTCGGGGTGATTTCATGGTTGACAAAGGATCCATAGATAGATTAGGGACTCATATGGAGAACAAGTCCTGGCAGAATTAGAGTTGAAACACAGCCGTGTGTTCAAAGTCGCCCTCAGCACTAAAGAGGTGTGGTAAGACCCGTGGGTCGTCTTGATGGAGAGTTGAGGAGCATATGTAGTGTGAAACGTCAACACTCGGACAGAAGAAGTTCGAGGAGTCTGAGGGTGTCTGGAAGAGCAAGCCGGGCTGGCTATACCAAATAGTCCAGAAATCTCGACAGGTGAAACAGTGGTATCTTCGTGGATGAAGAAGACGGATGTTTTGATTATGAAGTCGATGGTTCTTGAAAGAGATCGGAGGACCTGAGGAAGGAGCAAGGCTATTATATACACTGCCAAGACTATGCAGTATTATATAAGCATTGTAGGATTGGCTGTCGATATTGACTCTGTCACGTGCATTGACTGAAGCCCCTTTTTCTTTTTCCCAAATCCGCTCATGTGCTTAGGTAATCATACGACAACTATCATCCCTACCAGGTATAAACATACCATACCCATCATGGTCTGGGGGTACCACACCACATTACCTGCTCGCGACTAGCAATCTTGTCGAGAACTAACATTTGGAACTCGAGACCAGATTCTGGGGTCTTTAGGAAATCATCCAAGACCCTTACTTAATCTACTCTATTCTTGGCGTCTACCCACATCAGCCTTCATCACAACATACACATCAAGCATCCACCCGTGACTTTGCATTACTATGGCCTCTCGCCCTGTCCAGACTTGTTCAACTCGCCGCAGCCATCAACCCGCGATAGTATGCTACTCCTAGAGCACGAGCATGGCTCAATTTTGCATCCGCCGCAAGTGGTAGATCCAGCATTGCTTTCTGTTGTATCAATGTCAGTTCATCCGCGATCCAAATTCAAGTCCACACCGGACGGGAGTAGCAACTCACCTTTTCAGCAAGCGTTGCTGCCTGCTCGTCTTCAACTTGCATTAGATCCGCCACCTTTCGCCCCATCTCTCTCAAAGCCACTCTTTCTTCTAGTCTTTCCTTGTCTGTGCCGAGTGACCCGCGATTTTCTCCCTTGAGATTGAGTTGTCTCAGGATTGTGGTCAGGCGTCTCACCAGTCCTCTCTGTTGATTCTTCGAAGATGTCCCAGAAGCCTTGGTCGCGTCCAAGTTCATCAGAGTGACAAAGATTTCATAAACACCACCGCCTTCACTCCATTCTACAGCCCCAACTCTACTCTCGGCGTCTTCCCCAAAGAGCTCCAGTGTCGACGTCAATCGTGGCCAATCTTCATCAATCACCAAAGCGGGTGCCACTCTCCGCAATAATGTCTCGTGAGCAGCAGCGTAATCACTTGCTCGGAGCTGGTATTCCAGCTGCTTTTCTGAGTCATTGATGGATCTGGCAAACAGCGCTTTGGCACTGTAAAGCCACTCCGGTGGCACTCTAAGTCCTTCGGTCAGCAGCACAAACAGATTCTGCTCCTGTGGTACTCCCGCTTCCGTAGGATCAGGCAGCATCGCAGCATGTTTCTCGAGGAGCTGCTTGATTTGGTTGCCGCGGGCGTCGGCGTTGTGAAGGTGCAGTAGTGCGTAAACTGCTCCAACCACGTCCCCACGTGAAGAATACTCGAACGAGAGGGTGTTGGCCAATTCCTCTGCTTTCGCCTGGTCAATATTGAGACCACGAATACCACCTGCCATACTGTGATGCAGACGAAATATCTTCTGCGAATTCCAAACCTCCAACAAGCTTGATAGACCTTGGGGGAACGCAGGGCCTTCGCCGGGTCTGCCACCTGTGACTCTTGAAGCATATAGCTTCAAGAGAACCCACAGAGGATCTTCATTTCCGTTTCCATCTACCGGGGAAGCAGTACCTTCTTCCAGTGGCCGCTCTTGGAATTCTGCGACGGTATCTTCAATGGCCCCCGACTTATTCCGTCCATACCATAGAACTAGGGCAAATGTTTGCAGCCAGTCGAGTTGAAACTTTTCCGAAATAGAGAATGTCGACGCACGGTCTTCGGCAGCAACCTTGTCCTTTCCCTCGCAGATTCCAATGTTGCCAGCACAAATCTCGTAGAGGCAACGGATCTCTTCCGTCATTTCGGAAACGATGTTCTGTTCACGCCATGCGGAAATTTGCTCCGTTATCATGTCCTGAGCAGGCTTATCAATGCCTTCAAGCTGTGCGATCAAGAGCGCTAAATGGAAATCCTTCTCTGCGTATAGCACGTCGGACGCTGCCTTGATGTTTCTCGAAGTGAGGTACAAGATAGCTGTGGTGGCGGCACTTCCTTTCGATCTCTCCGCTGATTTAATCTTTTCTCCATGACGGCGCCAGATGGTTTCGGAGAGAAATTTCGAAACACGATCCTTCCGAATTCGATCCTCAAATTCCTGCTTCTGTTGATGGCTGAGCCCCGAGGAGAACTCATCTTCATACTCGTCAAAAAGGATGTGTAATAGTTCGTAGATGTCCAGTTCAATCTGTGAAGCTGATTGTTCCTGAATCAAGCGATCCCGAATTTGGGAGAAGGCCAAAGAGAGATGAGTGATGAAGGGCGCGGATCCGACCAACCTGATATTCGTGTCGGCGAGGAGGGCTTTTATGGACGTCGCGTCTGTGATACCCACCCCATTCTATGATGAGTTAGTCAAAAGTCTCGAGAGGCCTAAAAAGAAAGAAGGCGAGCCAAGAGAAAGATGAGATGAATGTGGTAAACCTAGCCAAAACTTACCGTGCCGCTACCGCGAAGGGAAGTAATCTTGACGTCCCCAAGCAACGCTTTTGTCGTCCAGCCAGCGGGGGTTTTGGCTTCGACCTTATCAGCACCATCATCCTCCGCTCCAAGATACACCAATCCATCCTTCGCCGTAAACCTCGGCTTGAATGAAGGCTGCCCCGGGGATCGCTCTTCGTCGGCATCGACCCCGGCGTCCGCGAATATATCATTGGCGGGATTGGTACTCGTAGCCGATTGAGGTTGAAACGTCTTTGGTCGCTTGGCATAAGGCAACTAAAATGATCAAAAGACATGAATAGTTAGTACAAATTTCTGTTTTCATTTTGGGTGTATCTATCTAGACGGTGGATGATGCCATGAGTTCGATCTCAAGGGGAGTAAGGGAGGAGGCAAGGGTTGATAGAAGCGTCATATAACCATGCACAATGGCAATAGTAGGTCGTGGAATTCAGCTCGACAATGCCCTCGACACAATTACAAACATGACCCTGACTTGACTGGCTCGACTTGACCAGTTACATGACTGAGATGAGGTGCTGAGGACCTGAACGGCTCCCGTACATCCAAGGACGGGTCACCAATGATTGTGCATAAATAAGAAAAAGAGTGTTGTCAAACCTCGAAATCCGGCGTAGCCTGACCCTGCATCCCCTTCCTTCCGACCGCCGCGGGGTCTTCAGTCCGATTAAAGAGTGAATTCATTATGTCGATACTAGTTCTGAATTCGTTCTTTTTGGCTAGTGTTGCGTTTGATTGTGGCTGGATCGGCACAAATGTGCGGTCAAGCAGGATCTTGCTTTGGACGTTACGCAATGCATCTCGATTTTGCTTGCGAGGTGAGATGGTGCGTTGGAGTTGTTCAGCCCAGTCACCATCAAGAGAGATGAGGGGTTTGCCTGGAGTGTCCATCAGATTGGCTCTGAGGATCGGTCGTTTAGGGCTATCGAAATCGAGGGCGCTGGCTGCAATTGCTGGTGGCGGGAACGAACCCGCCATGTGTACGTCCTGCCCACCAATTTCAGCATCGTCATCATCAGATTGGTCGTTGATTTCAATGGCGGAATTGTCGTCCATCTCCTGTGCGGAGTAAGCGGTATCATCATAGTCGTCAATGCCAGAACGTCTCCCAAACTGTCCAGGCAGATTTTTTTGTTTGAACGCAAACGTATCGTCTTCGTCATCCTCGTCATCATAGCTATCTTGGGCGTCGACGTCAACCTCCATGCCCGAATTTGAGCTGCTCAAAGACTGAGGCGGCGCGGAAATTTGACTTTGGCTCAAGTCGTCGTCGTCGTCGTAGTCCAGACCGTAGCGAGTATAGTGGGGAACTTTAAAGGTCCAAACACCGGTTGTCACGTCGTAGTTGATGAATTCTGTATTAGCCATCTTCTTCAAGCGGTTGACGTGCTTATCAAAGACTGGACCACTAGTCGCAGAAGATGGATGACCTCGTGCACGAGGCCATGAATTTTCAATGTAAAGGGTTGACGGGACATTCAGACCCTTACCCATGGGCGGCTTGGAGCTCGAATCAGGATAGACCGTAATAGAACGAAGACGGATCTCCACAATCTTGTCATAGAGGTCATCGAATGGCACCGACGTAAGATCGACGGGGCCATTGAACACGACATAACCACAGCCCTTGCGGCCGACCTGAAAGCCAGTGAACTTTTGGAGCTTCTCACGCGGCATGCGACTGAGTTCTGCACGAGTAGGCTTCATCCAATAATCGCCTGGTTGGGGGTCAGGTTTAGCCTCGACAGTGGCCTTCTTAGGGCTAACGTGGTCTGAAGCTCGGTCCTCTGGTACAACAGCGAGTTCATTACCCCGAACCTGTTGCATTTCGGGAGTAGCACTGCCATTTGAGCTTCTAGTTCGACCCTCAGGCTCAGGGGTGGAATCCTCACTGTCAACTCTAACCAAGGCGCCAGAGCTGCCATTGAGAATTCCATTGGTCCCACCTGTCGTGTCTTGATCAAAGCTTACACGCTTTTTGAGGCCACTCGACTTTGGCGCAGGTTCCGGGTTTGCTGGTGTGGATTCAGCAACGCCGTTGGTGTTGGGCTCGGCAACATTTGGAGAGGGTAAAGCAGGCAGCGAGGGACGACTGAAAAGGTCCGTTCGAATGCTTCGATCGATTGTCAATCGACGGGTGTTTCCTCCTGACCATCTAGTATGACTTGCATTGAATGCGTTCGGGCTTAGCACACTGTCGCCATCGCCGCCCCCGTTGAATTGCGATCGGAGATTGCTGGCAGAAGCACTCTTCCCAAACGAGCGGCCAAGACTCCCGGCATTGAAACTGCGATTTCCATACAAGCTCGATGTTAAGCTTCCTCCACCGGGAGTGCTGGCAGCACTATTTGGTGTGCCGTAAGTGGAGTATGAGAATCCAAAGCCACCTTGTCGACGGGGAGGAGTCATGTACCTCGATTGGTTGAGTCGTAGACTTGGGGGTGGCTTAGACTGGCTTTCCTTCAGCTTCTGGGTCGCCGTCAGTGGGGTGTAGATCGGCTTGGAATTATCCGGTGTTGGGACGGGTAGGCCCGTCCAAATCGAGGTTTGCCCATAGGGGTTAGGGTCGTTCAGAGACGATACTCGGAAATCTTGCTGTTGCTGGGAGTTTTGCTGATTGTTTGTCGAATTGTTGAAAAGACCTCCAAAAGACGGAAGACCACCGGACTGGCTCTGTTGGTTGTTGGTGGTATTCCCGAAAAGGCCACCAGTCGCGGGCTTGTTTGCCGAGTTTCCAAAGGAGAACCCGGAGGCAGAGTTCGTGTTGTTGTTATTCCCAAACAAGCCTCCGGCCTGCTGGTTGTTGTTGGTCGAATTTCCGAACAGACCACCACCGGTGTTGGAGGCATTGTTGGTACCAAAAGAGGAGCCAAAAAGCCCCCCTGGTTTCTGTTGGCTGTTGGCGTTATTATTTCCGAACATCGAGGTTCCCGCATTGGAGTTGTTGGCGGACCCAAAGAGACCACCTCCTGTGTTGGTATTTTGTTGGCTATTCGCGTTACCAAAGAGGCCACCACCAGTGTTTGTGTTGGTGTTGCCGAACAATCCCCCAGATGACTGATTCTGGGTCGTAGATGATCCAAAGCCAGTAGTAGTGCCACCGAACAAAGACTTTTGTTGATTGTTGTTGTTGTTTCCAAACAGGCCTCCGCCTTGCTGCTGGGTTTGATTATTCGCGCCAAAGAGACCACCACCAGACTGGTTATTAGTATTTGCGGTGTTGTTATTTCCAAACAAGCCACCACCGGTATTAGTGTTGGTGTTGGTGTTTGTATTGCTTGCACCGAAAGAGAATGAAGGCGTGGTGGATGCTCCAAAGGGAGTAGTCTTGTTTTGGTTGTTGTTGTTGCCGAAAAGACCGCCACCACCTGCACCAAAGCCAGTGTTGGAGGTGTTGTTGGCTGTGCCGAACAAGCCACCTCCTGTAGTACCGGACGATTGTGAGCCAAACAGACCACCGCTTGCAGGTTTACTGCCAAAAAGGCCGCCTGAGCCTAGCCCGGTGGTCGTAGTATTGGATCCAAATCCACCGGATGATGATGCATTGTTGTTTCCAAACAAGCCAGAACCTTGGTTGTTTCCGAAGCCAGTACTGGCGTTGGTGGAGCCAAATCCGCCAAAGGTGGAAGAACCAAAGCCGCCAGCCTGGCCGGAGTTGTTTCCGAATTGACGGCCGGCGTTGTAATCCGCGAGTCGAAGCTCTTCAAACGAGTATTTACTGTAGGGCTCTTGGAAGGTCAAACTTTGATATGCGCTACTAAGAGGACTCGTGCCGTCTTTTTCGATGAAGGGATTGAAGGGGGTGACTGCGGTGCCTGGAGCTGGAGGAGTCTGGCCGGCGAGAGCAGTGCCGGCACCAAAGGTATTGGTAGACGACCCAAAACCGCCTGTTGTGCCTGAACCACCCTGGCCAAATAGCGGCGCCGATGGAGTGCTGGACCCAAAAGCAGGCTTGTTGGCTGTGTTTCCAAAACTGAAGCCCGAGCCAGTTGTGTTGGTGTTGCTTCCGAAGGCAGAAGTGTTGGTGTTTGACCCAAAGCCACCAGTGGAGGCACCGAAGCCAGTATTACTCGAGGAATTGCCAAAAAGGCCTGTGCCTGTGTTGGTATTTGAGCCGAATGGGCTTGATGCGGGTTTGTTGCCAAACAGAGAGGTCGAATTGTTGGTATTGTTTCCGAAGCCAGTTCCTATTTTCGTGGTCAGCATCGTCTTTTGGCCGGGATCTGCATTAACGAGACGCGAGCGGCCTGCAACATTTTGTGCCCCAGTGCCAGACGGCGACTGGCTCGCACGCGAGTCGAGGTCTTTGATGGTGGGATAAAGTGATTTTGACATGGTGGGTGATAAGCTTGTAGGCAAACGGATGGTGAGGGAAGGGTGGGGAATTGTCGGTCAGGTCAATTGAGGAAAATGGCAGATCAGGAGAGGTGATGAAAATATTGCAGACTCCTGATGCGGCTGGTGAAGATGGCAAGAGTGAAGTCAGGCAGAGTGAAATATCCAAGTTGTAACGTACCTCCAGTGTTGGAGCCAAAGCCGCCGGAGCCTGAGCCAAAGGTGCCAGTGCCAAATCCAGTGCCACCAGATCCAGAACCAAACGTCCCTGTGCGGCCGATTTCAGCACTTTCTGCGGGAAGAAATGACGGGAAAAAAAGATGAACATACCAGTATTTGAAGTGTTGGTCCCAAAGGCCGAACCACCTCCAAATGTATTGGAATTTGTATTGTTGGAGCCAAAAGAAAACCCAGTGCCGCCGCTACCAAACGACATGTTGCCGGGGAGGGAAGCGCGTCGCGCAATCTTCGAAGGCTTGATGGAGGAACTCGAAGGGAGGTCGATAAGTGGGTGAGAAAGGAGTTGAGGGAACAGAAAGATCAAAGGTCACGATCGAGCACGAGCCTTGAGGTGACGCGCCTGAGCAGACGGAAGACGGCAAAGGAATTCCGGGTCTGAAGAAGTGCAGGCAGCAGCTGGAGCAAGGCTGCTGCAGCCAATGCAGACCTGCAAAGACTCGATGCGAGAGACGGAAGAACGAGGTCGAGGAACAGGACTCGTGTCAACCGAGCGTTGATGATGGGAAAAAGAGATGCCAACACGCGCCCAAGGAGGTAGAGAATGATGAGTGGAGAGATTTGGCGCAGGAGGAGGGAGTTGATCACGTGATTGTGTCAGGTGGGCATTTGCCAAGGCACGTGGAGATGTGTGCAGGCAGGAAGGCAGGAAAGGTCAGATACAGACAAACACAGTGGATGCCTCCATATATTACAGCGCCCGTCTGTTTACCAGGAGCGATGAGTCTGTGAGAAGCTCCCAATTCTAGCATCTTATGTCACCGGACCTCAAAATGATTCATTCAGAAGCAAAAGTTACAGAGCCTGGTCCAGAAAAGAACTCTGTTACTTACCTTAGGTAGGCTTCCAGTGGTGGAATAAATACTGTCAATTTCAAAACCGTCTGACTCATATTCAAAGGACTGCGCACAACCGCAGCTGCAGCCTAATGCATTTCGTTGGGCCCTACCACTAGGCACAGTGTCACTGTTGACCAAATTTCTTGCGACCACTACAGCAAGGGACAAAATATGACCCAGACCAAAACTTTCCCAGGGTATATGTCACATCCGAGATGATAGATCTTGTCTCCACATAGCATTTTCCCTTCTCCAAAGTCCCGCCTACTTCTTTTTGCTGGATTTGACTGTTTCAATGATCTTGTCCACCACGCTCGGGTCACTGAGCGTCGACGTATCTCCTAAACTGTCCTCCTCCCCACTCAGGATCTTTCGCAAAATTCTCCTCATGATCTTGCCGGATCGGGTCTTGGGCAAGTCATCAACGATGAAGATGGCCTTGGGAGCAGCAAAGGGGCCGATGGACTTGCGGACTTGGAGGATGAGATCTTTTCGAGTGGCTTCGCCGGGGTCGGTACCGTCCTTGAGTGACACAAAGGCGTTGACTGCCTGTCCCGTGAGTTCATCATTGATTCCCACCACGGCAGCTTCAGCGACGCCGTCGTGCTCGATGAGGGCGGCTTCGATCTCAGCGGTGGACAAGCGATGTCCGGAAACGTTGACCACGTCATCGACGCGGCCTCGGATCCAGTAATATCCTTCGTGGTCGCGACCGGCACCATCTCCAGTAAACTGTTATCATGTCAGCAGGGTGGACCAGCCCAAGGTCTGGTATTCGAACTCACGTAGTAGCCTTTGTAAACGTTCAAATAAGTATCCATGTATCTCTTGTGTGCGCCCCACACAGTCCGGGCCATACTTGGCCACGACTGCTTGAAGGCCAAGACACCTTCGACATCATTGCCTTGGATCTCCTCGCCTGACACTGGGTCGATAATGGCGGGTTCGATGCCGAAAAACGGCAGGGAAGCGCTGCCGGGCTTGGTGGGAGTGACACCGGCCAAGGGGGAGATCACGTGAGAACCAGTCTCGGTCTGCCAGTATGTGTCCACAATGTGTGCCTCCTCTTTACCGACGGCCTCAAAGTACCATTTCCAGACTTCGGCGGCGATGGGCTCACCCACCGAACCCAGGACTCGCAGCTTGTCGAGTTTGTGGTGAATGTGCTCGTCACCGGCTCGCTTGAGGAGACGCAGGGCGGTAGGAGCGACGTAGAACTGAGTGACGCTGTGCTTGTCAATGACATCCCAGTATCGAGAGAAGTCGGGGTAGGCAGGGGTGCCTTCGAAGACGACGGTCGCAACGCCGAGAAGGAGGGGAGCGTAGACGACGTAGGTATGACCAGTAATCCAGCCAACGTCACCACCACAGAAGAAAACATCGTCGTCGTGAATGTCAAAGACGTATTTGCCGGTCATAGCAGCCCCAAGGAGGTAGCCACCGGTGGTGTGCATGACACCTTTTGGCTTTCCGGTCGAGCCAGAGGTGTAGAGCAGGAACAGAGGATCCTCGGAGTTCACAGGCTCCGGAGGAATGTAGTTGGGATATTTCTCGACCTCCTCGTGCCACCAGAAATCTCGGCCTTTGGTCCAGGGGACGTCGGCGCCAGTGCGTTTATAAACGAGGCAGTGGGAGACATCTGGGCATTTCTTGAGGGCCTCGTCGACGATTTTCTTGGTTCCAATGACCTTGCCACCACGTTTGCCCTCGTCAGTGGTGATGATGACTTTACTGTTGGCATCGAGGATACGGTCGGCCAGTGAGCCAGAAGAAAAGCCAGCAAAGACAACCGAGTGGATAGCACCAATACGGGTGACTGCGAGGAAGGAGATGACAGCCTCGGGGATCATGGGCAGGTAGAGAGCGACAGTATCGCCCTTCTTGACACCCATCTGCTTCAGAGTGTAGGCTACTCGAGAGACCTCGCGCAGGAGCTCGGAATAGGTCAAAGTGCGGCCTTCACTCGTCTCGTCGGCTTCATAGATGATGGCGGGCTTGTCAGGATTTTTGATTGCGTGCCGGTCGACGCAGTTGTAGGAGGCATTGAGACGGCCCTCGAGGAACCAGGCGGTGTCACCTTCGGCGAGACTACCAGTGCGGACGGTCTTGAAATCCTGCTGCCAGTCCAAGAGTTCTCGAGCCATTCGACCCCAAAACTGGTCTGGTTTCTCGATCGATTCCTTGTATAATGAGTAGTATTCGTCGAGATCTTTGATGTGGGCTTTGCCGGGCCCTTTTTTGAAAAAAGGTTTGGGAACACTATGAAGCTGTCAGAGCCCTGACGGGTGGGATTTTGTGCAAAGACATACTGGAAAGTGTCGACCTCGTGAGCCTCGTGCTAGGATCGACAGTTAGTCGCGTGTCTTGCTCTGGACCTCGAAACTCTACAGAGGAGACGAATAACGTACTACAACGGGCCCCTTGGGGGGTTTGGTATTGCCCTCGGACATGGTTGCAGCGAGGGCAAGCTGTCTGGTGGCTAATCGAGAGATAGAGAGAGAGACAGAGGTGGTCAAAGGTTTGGGGGAGGGTGCGGAGAAGGTAAATTGAAATTCAAACAACAAGGAGGGTTTCTAGGTGGAGAGAAAGTTGGGCGCGGGCTGGAGGTTTATAAGACAGGGGCGCACGAGTGGAGGTCAGCCGTCACAGGAGAAGCTGGAGCAATGGAGAGGGGACAAGGTGAACTGGACCTGGAACGGTCGAGAAGAGTGAGTTTGGTGACGAGGAGGAGGGACGGAGGGGATGGTAAACTGATGACGATCCTGGCTCTGGCAAACAAATAATATATGGGAAAAAGGGAAATCATTGTCGGACCCAACGTCAGAGTCGGCAGAGGCGTTCCATTCTGGGACGTGGGCGGTGGGAGACGACATGGCTCTGAGACTTGAGACTTGTTGCTCCGTCACTCTCCGTATTGTCCAGAGTCCAGAGCACTAATAAGGTGACAGTATAGAGTTGTGGGTGATGCAAGTTCCAGTTCGTAGGGATGCCCGGGCAGGGGTTTGAGGGGCGAGGGCGAGGGGCGAGGGGCGACCTGCATTCATTATTGAGGAGGCTCAGGCACAGAAACTCCCACTATCAACTACTAACCAGTCACTAAGAGTATTTAGTATAGCCCGTGAGCTTCTCAAACCACCCCTCCCTCCAGTGCCTCCCTCCCTCGGTGCTCTCTACGGAGTACTGCTGCGGGGAAGTGGAGGAAGCCCCCTCGGCCAGTCAGCCAGTGTCAGGCTGCTTGCAAATTATCCCCCAAATTTGCCCCTCCATCCTTTGATCCGTGGCCGTTTTCCGGCACTCGCCAATAGAGTTCCGAACGTCCTGACTGGTTCCCTGCGAGTCACGTCCACGCGATTACCATCATGCACAAGCTGGATGTCGTTGGAGTCTGTAAATTGTTGCCCCGCTGGGAGCCCTACCTGACCTTGTACGCGGAGTCTTGTCCTTACATCACCCCCCGTCGATCAGAGGTGCCAGATTGCAGGAAAACCAGACCCCAGTGACCCCCAAGAACATTGAATATTTCCCAAGATCGTCATGGAGGAGGAGTCCAATTGATCAACATGGTGTTTAGGAACAAATGGCATGGTGCGGCATGGCATGACATTGTTGGATTTCACGATCAATGATCAATATTGGCAAGCCTTGTGCAGGACACTGACTCGGTCACCTACGCCGAGGAGTCATGTTCATGTTGCGACCGAGCCTTGACCTTTCTCAACATTATTATTTGTTGTTATCGAACTTGCCCATTCTGGCCAGGATTATTCCGTCAGTTCCTTCCTCGACTCTCACCGTGCCATCTCCGTCCACAATTTCTATTTCAAGACCTGAAGAGGATAGAATAGGCTCTCGGCTGGTTACTTGAATGTGTCCCATGTGTAACTTGATATGCATCCATTCCGTCCTTGACTCAAAGTACGGAGTAGTGTTGCCGAACCAGATCCGAATCCAAATCTGCGGACCGGGAGTAACGATTTTAGGGCCTGGTCGTGCGCGTGCGCGTGCTGCATGCTTGCATGATCAAATCCTCTCGAGGCTCGCCTAAACAAAGATCATACGCTCGCGCATACTCGTACAGAGCCTGTAGGCCGAAATACTGGCGGAAATCCCACATGTCGGACAGCAGTCCTATCGGATAAACTCGCCTGGAAAGCATCTTTACCCACGGACATATGGCCGGGTGGCCGGTTTCGCAGCCTGGCCTTACGGCTACGCAGCCTTGAGGGGCCCACGTGGCCCAACGCAGTAGGTATTGCCGTACAGTCTTTGATTACCATGAGCACCATCTACCTCGTAACACAGTCTATTTGTCCATTCATTAGTTAATCATTATTTTTTTGGTAGAGACCTACGACGGCATGTTCCTGAGGAGCCACCAAACTAAGTCATCATACTGCTCCATTCCACCACAATGTAATCCCCAGTATGAAAACAACTATTGCACCATCCCCAATGGCTTCCTTGACCATCTGGAACCACCATCCAGGCCCGCGTTTGCCCGAAGTCCCCCTACTGATGACCCGTGTACTCTGCACCAACATCTCCCCAGTCGCAAACACCAGGAATGGGTTCTGGAATGTCGCAGGCGCGGGTGGGGATTCGCCATATGTCGCTGTCGACATGTTGACAATAAAGACCAGGTACAGTCCCGCCAGCACGGCAAAGACAACGTGCACGACTTTCCACAACCTGGCCGTCTGTAATTCCGCCTTGGTCGGAGGCATCTTGGGTCCTCCCAACAGCTTCTCAGTCAGAAACTTGGGCAGTCCGGTAGCTTTGGATATGTCGTCTGCATTGAACCCTGCACCAAGGCCAGCCATGTCAGGCACAGCGTTGGGATTGCCTGCATCGCCCATTGCCCCCATACCTCCCATCATACTTTGTAGCATTTTCATCATGGGGTCTTCATCTTGCTGTCCTTGATTCACGGTCCCATCTCCTCCTGCTCCCTGTGGACTCGGTTGTCGTAACAAAGCACGGAGATATTCTTCCTGCAAACGCATCTGCTCGGCGTCGGAGGGTGCATTTTGAGAAGTACTCTGGGGAGGAATCTGGGGAGTAAGAGATCTGGGAGGTGTTGGTGTAGTGGGAGTCTCCTTGCGTACTAGGATTCGCCATGCGTAGGCGTCAGCGCGTGCTTACATTCCTATGCTCTGTCTCTTTGCTGGCAATAGAAGCCACTTACCGAGTTCGGGCGACCGTCCACTTAATCTAGTGATCTTGTCCAGACGTTCAGTTGCATTTGCCGTCACTTTGGCCTCTCGTTTCTGGCGTCGGATTCGCGCTTGTCGTTGGGACGGTGTTTCTTCCACAGGCACTGAGATCTCGGGGTCGGCTGCATCCGCCATTTCTACGGTGTTCGGGGGTTGCTTGGTGTTGGGCGTCGCGGACTTGGAAGATTTCCTGACTGGACGTGGTCGACGTGGTCGATGGATGGAGGATCAAATGGTCTCTTCAATCATTGCTCTGTCTCTGTCTCGAACGATCACGCTGGCGCTGATGATGGTGGCTACTAAACACTGGACCAATTGAGTCTGCCGGAGTGGTGCCAGGACTGGACAAGGAAACGCAAAATTCACGTGCATTCGGTGATTACCTAACCATGCACTAATGTTGACACTTCTTTGCGGAACATGGAATGACGTATTGTCCACCTTTGGGGACCTTCCATTGTCCACCACCCGCGGAGGGCGCCTCGGGCTCCTTCCCCGTATACATACAATGCTACAAGAGATCATGTGCTTCATGTGACGCGTTTCTGATATCGCGCAACCTTGTTATCATCTTGCTGAATACCAACTCATCCTAGATCAAATAATCTATCGTGGTGGTCAAGCAACTGCTCTCCTTGAATCCTCCTATTGCCCGACTTTCAACCGTCATCCAATTTAATCTCAGTCCAATCGTCCCCTGCACCACCACAAGTGTCAGTTTCCAACACGTCTTCCTCCTGCTGCGATATCTAGCCGCTATCGACATGCCCTCCGTTCTCATCGTTGGCGCAACGCGCGGACTCGGCAAGGCCTTGACATCATACTATGTCGACACCCTCTCGTACACAGTATATGCCACTTCTCGTTCACATGCCCCGCCAGAAAGCCCTGCTCCCGATCAAATCTCATGGATCACCGACATCGATCTCTCCAAACCCTCAGTCGGCCAAGACCTCGCCACAGGATTGAAAGGAAAGTCTGTCAACACCGTCATCATCACTGCAGGGTACTTTGCCACAGAGGATTTTGGCAACGCAAAGTGGGACGAACAGGTCAAGATGTATACTCTGTCATCCGTAGCCCCAATTTTTGTCGTGCAGGAGCTGGTCAAGTCTTCGATCATATCCAAAGGCAGCAAGGTGATCTTGGTGTCATCCGAGTCTGGCTCAATCACGCTCAGACACGAACAGGAAGGTGGAGGAAATTATGGACACCACGGTTCCAAGGCAGCGCTCAACATGGTGGCGAAGCAATTGTCCTTTGATCTCAAAGACCGGGGAATCGCCGTAGCTTCGATTCATCCAAGGTGAGTGTACTTCTCCCTCAACCACGCCTAGGCTAACGTTCCAAGTTTCATGCGGACAGAAATGACCAAGGGTGTGGGTTTCGACAAGTTTTGGGATGACGGCGGTGCGCTCGAACCAGGAGATGCTGCACGTATCACAGCCGACTGGGTGGAGCATGACTTTGGAATGGAGAAAACCGGCACGTATTGGGCCCCGAGAGGTACTCGAGATATTGGCAATTGGGATGTGGTGATGGGTAAAGACAAAGCCAAGGAGGGTGCGGTTGAGCTGCCTTGGTAGCGTCTTCCCCTTCTCACGCCTTGGGAGGTACACCAGGGCATCTGCTCCGACACATCAACAACCCCCAAGCCCTGGACTGATGCGAGTCATTCATGTAGATCCAGTGCGGGTTTCGACGTGATCGACATGATCAAACGTATTTTTGGAGTGGATAGATGGGGACTCATTGCAGGCAGATGGCGTAAAAGGCTTCCTTTGAGACTGTACCGTTGCCATCATAATCGAACTCGTCAATCATGGCTTGGATTTCTTCGTCTTCGAGGCCGGTCTCCCCCAGCTCACGCGCCACGCGGCGAATGTCCTCGACATCGATGTAACCACGTTGATCGGGATCAAAAAGAAGGAGAGCGCGCTCGACCTCTTCAGCGGGATCTCGGTCATGGACCTTTTGCGCTGCGACGCGCTGGAACGCATTTTGGGAGATGAGGAGTTGGCTTGAATGGTATGTCTGCTGCGATCTACCGGGCGGGCCCCTTTTAAACTGTGGTTTGGGAACTCCGTGGGTCTGCATGATTTGGGCGATTTGGGGTTTAGGCAGAGTAAAGCCTAGCGAACGCAGGGCGACTCGAAGTTCATGGTAGTCGAGGTGACGATCTCGATCGAGGTCAAACAGATCAAACTGTGGGTGCACTTGTCAGCGTGGTAATGTGATGGCGATTGCGACAGGACTCCATACTGCTTCATTAATTTCATCTCTCTGCTCCTCACTCAATTCACTCAAGACATTGGATTCCTTTTCCATGCTCGACCTGGCACCCAACGCGCCATGCTGCGGCTGAGGCGCGCCAGAAGATTGTGCGAATTGGTATGATTGATCAGGTCTCCGGCCAAGAGCTGACTGGGTATATCTCTGCGCTGGATTGCTGCCTGCCTTGACAGCGGTGCGATCGGGAAGTTTACTCGAGGATGGAGGGTAGGCACCGGCACCAGGAAATGGAGGGCCGGGCTGAGACATTGAAAGGCTCGTAGGAGGCTGGGATCGCGCCGATGTCAGCTATACGGTGGATGACGATACATATAGATTATGCTGCGGTCTGTGAATAATAACACCAAAGTGAAGGGCGGAAGCCACTGTGTATGTCTGCCGCGTTGCTAGGGATGGGATAGTGAAGCTGAACAAGACAGGGTGGAGGTCGCGTCGTGGTTGGAGGTGCGCATATGCGTCTGGTCTGGTCTGTGTACATTCGTGATGTTTGTGGTCTGGTCTGTAGTGTGTGGAGGGCGACGGAGGCGCGTGTCAAGAGACCAATGAGAAAGCTAAAGGCGACGGCTGTCCATGGCCGAGGGGGCTCTCGGGCAATTAATTAGTTAAGCAGTAGAGGTCAAGGGCCTATCGTAGGGACCGAGGGACGGCATGGGACACCTAACTGGTTCTTTAGTAGTAGGCTGGTCCGGGCACTCGACTCCAGATCCCTTCAGTCCCTTGCAGTCACAGGCGCAGGCGACAGCCAATGATGTCCTCACCCCATCAGGCACTCTTCCTCATGGTACTCGGTAGTCTAATCATTATTTCAAGTCGCCATCAACATTACATCAACATTACTCCATTCATCATCTCTGAATGATGCTCTGTCTAGACATGCACCAAATACCAACATGTCCTTGTTGGTAGTATGCATCAATCTCGCCGTCTACAACGACATGACGACAGGCTGATCATTCATTTCGACTACGACTGCTTTTACGCTTCCGTTGTCGAGAATGAGGATCCAGCCCTGAAGAGTGTTCCTCTAGCAATCCAACAGAAACAGATTGTCGTCACCTGCAACTATGAAGCGCGAAGACGTGGCTTGCACAAGTTGCAGCTCATCACCGAAGCCAAAAGAATATGCCCAGAGGCGGTCATCATTTTAGGTGAGGACTTGACCAGATTTCGCAATGCCTCCAAGGATCTTTACAAGTATTTGCAATCTTCTGTTTGGAGCGGTCGTGCCGAGCGACTAGGCTTTGATGAAGTGTGGTTGGTGCAACAATTCTCACGACATGATGATGTTCTAATCGTTTGCAGGCTCGACTGTACGGATATGGTGGACTACAACATGGGTTTGTTGAATCAGAATGATCTGACCCATTCGTTCTTCTGCCTGAGCAAGGAGGATCCGACGATCGGTTTCGAATACGATGCTTCCAAGATCTATGGGCCCTCTTATCCGAGCAAACCACTTCCTGTGGAGCTTCTGAACGAGCAGGACCAGCATCTTCATCGGCGACTATGTCTTGGATCGCATCTTGCACGGCACCTGCGACAGGAATTAGAGGAGCAAAAGGGTTACACCGCGACGGTTGGTATTGCCACGAACAAGGTCCTCTCCAAGTTAGTGGGCAATGTCAATAAGCCCAAAAATCAGACGACTTTGCTCCCTCCATACTTGCCCATAGGTTCACCGGACAATTCTATCAACCATTTCCTAGACAGCCACGACATCGGCAAAGTCCCTGGCATTGGATTCAAGTTGTCCCACAAAGTCCGGTCTCATGTTCTACAACGTCCACCCGAATATGACCATGGCCTGGTCTACGGGGGCACCAAAGAATCGGTCAAAGTCCTGGATGTCCGATCCTACCCCAACATGGGCCCAGACCTTCTGGAACAAATCCTGGGAGGCCCTGGTTCCGTACGGGGGATTGGCGGGAAAGTGTGGGAGTTGATCCACGGCATCGACGACACTGAGGTGGGCAAAGTCAAGCGCGTGCCGTCACAGATTAGTCAAGAGGATTCGTACATGAAGTACTTGGACACTTTCGACAAAGTCAAGAAGCAGTTGCAACTGCTGAGCGAAAGACTGATTCGCCGAATGCACATGGATCTCCTGGAAGAAGATGATGACGATGGTGATGAAGGAGTCACAGAGGCTCCAGAAGCCAGACGCCAACTCCGATGGATGGCGCATCCTCGAACCCTACGGTTGACCACAAGACCGCGCCCACCTCCAGGGCCAGACGGGATAAGACCGAGGACATTCCAACGCATATCTCGATCAGGACCGATGCCCCAGTACGTCTTCAATCTGACCGAGTCGCCCAAGATTCTTGGGGAGAAACTGGTTGAAGATACACTGGTACCCATGTTCCGCAAATTGCACCACGAAACAGCGGGATGGAACCTCAGCTTGATCAACGTTGCAGCTACTAATATGGCCGAAACGGCAGCCGAGAGCAAGGACAGCGAGGGGCGGGACATTGCCAAGATGTTCCGATACCAAGACGCCGTGCTCAAGGATTTCAAGGTCTTGGAGGAGGAGGAGGAGAAAGACAAGGAGGACATGCACACAGGTCCGGTGGTAGTGGCATCGAAGAAGGATAACCTAGCGAACCCAAAGCCAGTCAGGCGTGATTCCCCCTTTAGCGTTGAGGAAGACGGGTGGGAGTCAGAGGACAGCGCCACTCAAATGGTTGAGCGTTGTGGGTTTTGCCATTCGAATGTACCTGTTTTTGCATTGGAGGCGCATCAAAGATATCATGAACTAAATTAGAGTGAATGCCACCATGACAGATCTGAGATCTCGCCAATTGTTTCTATGTACAGTAGGAAATCTCGAGGTGTCACACGTGACCAAGCAAAGGTGTTTTTGGTCGCCACGAGACGGAGGCAGAGGCGTGCCAACGAACTGCCACCGGACCAGGACCAGGCGTGCAAGGGTGGCTATTCTTATATCAACCCTCAAAAAAGCCTCTGGTCATCATCCTCAGGCTATCGTAAATTGGTAGTTTGTAGCTTGTACGCAGAGATTCCTGTGGCCAACTGCCCTGCCAGTGCCACAATTTAAGATGCTGACTTGATCCCTTTTGCGGTGGGCGAGCTACAGTCATGAGTCCAGGTCGCCTGTTTGGCCCTTATCCCCTTGTTCCCTGGTGGCCGAGGGGCTCCCCAATCAGAACTGTTGGGGGCCAATGGGGGCCTGTTGAGAGACTTGGGGACCTCGCTCTGCCTTTCCGAGCCTGACGGGCACGCCTAAGCACGGTGTTTTGTACCCTATTGAGCCTCTGTACGTACACTTTTATCGCCCCTTGGATCCGGTCCATCCTGTCAATTGTCACCGAAAATAGAGAGCAATCCCCACTACGGACCCTACTCGTCTGCAGGCAACAACCAACTCAGCTCTTTCGCCTCTATTCCAAGTCCTCACAATGGCAAATTCTAACCAATGTCCTCCTCCAGCGGAAGAGCCTGGCGAAAAGCATGGCAAAGTGAAGAGCAACAAAGGCACCTTTGAAGGCTGAATGCCATGATGGATCCCAAGGTCCATCCATAGCGTCGTTGAAGCAGCGCCTGGTCCAGACCCCGGTCCACCAAAGTGCCGCCAGTGCTGGTTAATCACTGGTCCACTGGTCAACGGCCAGAAGTCAATGGTCAACGATCAGTGGCCATTCTCACCGGAGGCGGCAGACTCCCGATGTCCGATGCCCTTTTTGTCAAAAGCACAATAATGATGGATCTACTTGTATGGGTACCCTTAAAATGGACTTGACTTCTGGACCACAGGTAGGCGGCAAATCCCAAGTGAACGGTCAGTTTTGGGCCAACCAACCGACGGATCCACGCGGAGTGTGACCTGTCGCCAACCTCATATCAGCTGCCCTGAATCCTCACTTGAACATCTAGGGTGTCTGTCTCGTCTCTCTTGGACACACTCTCCTCTTGGTCTGCTGCGTCCGAGTTCGGCATGAGCCTCGCCTAAGCAGGCGTTTTGTGTACAACCCTCGCCTATGCTCCTTAGGCTTGCTAGCGGCGTGTATAAATCTTTCGCACAAACCCCCACCGGTGGAGGATTCTTGTCCTGGCAGAGGGTGCGCATGTGCTTATGCCATCCTACGCCAATAGACAGCAATCTCTCCATCAGTCTAGTTCGCGCCTACGCCTTCAGCACCAAATCTGGTCTGGCAGCCTGCGTGTTTCCTCGCCCTGGCTAGGCCCAGCGAAACTTTCTCAAACACCGACCTATTCTTAAAGAGAGGTCAGGCGGAACTCATCTCACACACCTGGCACTTGACCGTGTGGACAATTCAATCGTGGCAGACGTGTTTGTCAGCCATGCTGGCCATATCTGCGGCTACCTCCACTGCAGTTCCATCTCGATTGGATCTAGCATCATCTCCATCTACTCCTATACCCTCTGGTGTGAGCCATTGTGTTTTGAAGCATATGACATCCAAGAGGCCTAAATTGTCTCTACAGACCTCCGACATTCCTCCTACATATGTAGCTCAAACGGGTGGCCGGTCTGCGTCGAGATCTGCCGTTGAAGCGACCCCTACGGGGCTGAACACTTTCACCAATGCTTTCGACCTCTCATACAGACCGTCGCCCTCGACAACTCTCCCGTCGCCGGTCAATTCATCGAGGAGGAATCTCACTCAGTCCTCCGGTCCTTACTCAGTCAATCTACCGCACAATGTCCATCCAATTCTCAAAAACAGCCCTGTTGCATGGGCAATTCGACGGTCATCCCTGGCTGGCGGCGGCGACAGTCCACGTATAGGCAATCGCCGGGTCTTCTTTCCCGCTCCAAAACGGGTGTCTTTTCGCACGGTTCTGGAGGAGGAAATTGTCACCAAAGATTACGTGGTGAGGCATGCAGACCTGACTTCATCCGAAGACGAGACGTCTTGGTCGGAATCAGAAGAAGACCTCCCTCGTACGCCCCAGATCCCCTCCCCTGAGACTCTTGATCGACGGGTTCGGGTCGATGAGGTTTCGCCAAGAGGGCGAAGGAAACGAACAGCAGCAAACGGGGCTCAGATGGAACGCGACAGCACGATTGAGCAGGCCGAAACTTCAACCATGATGACGACGAGTGGCACTTGGAAACGGTCGAGGCGGAAAAAACGACGATGGGAGTGGACCGTCCCCGCGCCACCAAAGTTACCAAAGGTGGCTGATGAGACTCAGCCCGATGCGGTTGATACGAATAATGACCATGATGACTATGATGAGCCGTCGAGATCAGACTCGAAGATGAGCCAGAGTGTGGGGAGCAAAGACACGGACCAGGAGGTAGACAACTAACCTGCCACAACGTCGACGCAATTATCTCGTCTTGTTGGACAAGAGCTGCGGACCTTTGCCACTTGATAGCCTTAATTAATGATCAATAACCAATTGCCAAGCAATAATGAGCTGACGTGGACATGGAGGCTCTGTACTGTATATCGGCCGGGGTTGCGATCCAGGCCCTCTGTCCGCCGGTGTATCTGGATATTTTTCTTGTTATAGACGGTAGAGTCGAGCGGTCGAGGGTCCATACATGTTCTTCCAAGCATCAGACCTGGGAATTCGACTATATTCGTAGTTGTGGGCATGATTCGTACGCTGATTCCTGGGGATGATCTGCCAATACCTCTCAAGCCTCACAAGTCCGAAAGGTCCGCGCTGTCAAGTCTGCCCCCTGATGGGACTAGGATTGCTTGAGGTTGACCCGCCGGGTTTTACCCCTCCTCCGCAATTGATTATTTCAACGATGATAAAATAGTGTAGTATTATAATCTCGTTGAAATTGTCATTTGGACAAGACGATCATCTACACGCTTATCCATGCCACATCATCGATGACCATCAGCCAGGCCCACATCGTTGCCGAAGTTAATGCATGAAGATTGGCTGGAATCTTGTATCAACGGTCGTCGTAATCAGATGAGCAGGGGAAGCCTTTTTCCAAGACTAGAGAACTCGCGTCATCTGGATGGTGCAAGACTTCATGCGCCAGCATGGACACGTCACTTGTCTGTTTCACCAACTGCCTCGTCTGCATCTCGGGCGAACTGATATCGCAAGATGTTTATTTCAGCACCGACACGGGGCAAATCACACCTAACTACTACTACCGGCAGCAGGGCGTTCGGCGCATCGACCTAGCGGGCTTGGTCGTAGCCCCAGGGTTCCTTGATCTACAGACTAATGGTTTGATGGGTGTGCATTTTACAAGCCTGGGCTCGTCGCCGCAGGGTGATGAGACGAGTGGTGTCAGTGATGAGGAGGTGGATAAATTGTTCCGTGTCAGTCAAGTCGAGGCACAGCATGGTGTCACGGCCTGGTGGGCGACAGTACCAACAGTGGAGAGATCACGGTGGAGGGAGGTGAGTCAATCTATGATACTGCAAGCCACCTACCATGCCGTTGCTCATGCCATGTCATGCTGATGCATTCCCCATCCTGTCTACTTAGATCATTCCCGTGTTGAGACCACGAGACTTTGACTCGGGAGCCACGCTCCTTGGCGTCCACGTTGAAGGACCCTATATCAATCCTGTCAACAAAGGCGCACATAATGCCAGCTATATCCAGGATCCGACCCAGATCTCCCCGTCGGAGCTGTATGGACACGACAACCTGGAAAGCCACATCAAACTCATCACGTTGGCCGCCGAACTCCCAGGCTCCACTGCCCTGATCACCCAGCTGCTTCAAGACTACCCCGACCTTGTCATCTCTCTGGGTCACTCATCGGCCACTTACGAAGATGGACTGGCTGCGGTGCAACTCGGTGCTCGAGCGCTAACTCACGTCTTTAATGCAATGGGGCCGATGCATCATCGTAATCCTGGCCTAGCGGGTCTCATGTCCACGGGACGAGTCCATTACACGGTGATTCCCGATGGGATTCATCTGCATCCGTCGGTGGTGTCCATGTGCCTGCGTACCGATCCGCAGAAATGCATCTTCATCACCGACAGCATCGAACTCGCGGGTCTTGCCGACGGAACATATGCAGGAAATAGTCAGATCACACATGGGCAATACAAACAAGGTAACCGCGTGACCATCGAGGGCACCCAAACATTGATTGGGTCGTGTTGTACCTTGGACGAATGTGTGCGCAATGCTGTCGCTTACACAGGGTGCAATCTTGCCGAAGCGGTTCAGTGTGTGACGGAGAACGTGGCAGATCTGATGGGTCAGAGTAAGCGGGGCAAGCTGGAACCCGGACGGCGAGCTGATTTTGCCATTTTGGACCTCGAAGGGAAGGTGAAGGAGACGTGGATTGGTGGTGCAAGGGTGTGGAAAGGAGAATAGCTGGTCCACACGATCCAAGTGACGTCGAGAGAGATATGTTTTCCTGGCTTAACATGGTCAATTCACATGGCAGATTGGAATGGGGCCGTGGAGATTCTTCAAGGCTTGACTAGGATGAGACATGGTTGATGGAATCGAGATAGCCTGCCGGACTACCTACTTACTTAGATCAGATAGACGATAAAAGGCTCGTTGAAGAAATGCGTAGGAAGAGAATGATTGTGGCAGCCAGTGCGATAACTTGGTTGCATGAGCTGAGTAGACGTCATGAAACATGTACAAGCACAAGAAACGGATGGGGACAGAGAGACACACAGTTGAAAAGATTGGTTGATAGAATTGTTATGGACGTGTCCTGTAAATAATGAGATGATGATCAGGTATTGTACCTACTACTAGGTAGGTCCCACGCACCCAAGGTACCTAAGGCAAATCCCTTGGGCTGGTAGTGACCGACTAACATTAGGTAAACCAGCGCCTGCGCATAGGCATACTGTATGCGTCCTCAGAGAGTCGCCCACTTCCAGAGTGCAGGCATAGGTAGTTTCTCGCTTCAGCCATATACGCAATTCGCTTACTGCACAGGCCCAAGATCGACATAAGCGAATCTGAGTGGCCCCCCTCGGCCCATGGTTCCCATGCAAGTTGGTCTCATCCAAGTAAAAAGTTGATTTGGAACTTGTCGTCGCAGGGATTAAGATCCGACGCCAGTAGAAACAAATAATTTTAAGCATCAGATGAACCGACGCCTGGGGTGCATGGAGGGCATGGGAGTATGGGACTGCCAGTGCGATTGCATCTTTTGACACTGTTTGACAGCCTCTGACAGCCTGTTTTGATGACCTTTGACGCTGTGGTGAATGTCTGGGCCAGGCGGCGCCACTTGTTGATGCTAAAGCTGCGGATCAACTAAACTCAACCAGGCCTGGGCTACATCATCGCTCCTTCCTCCTCCATACTCCTCCTCATTATTATTTGCTCCTTCCCTATGCGTAGGCATGTCCAGCCGCATATCTCACATACGTCATCGTCATCGACATCGAACTCAACCTCCCCCGTCACTTTTCACATCTCACAAAATGTTACACCTACATTTTGACTCTGTTCCATGCTCATTGTTTGCAATAGGGCCTCTGGACTGGACCTGTCCTGGGACTTGGTCGTCGAGACACCAATTTCAATCCAATTCTTCTGACCTTTCTTCAAAGTCCTCCTTCCTTGTATTCAGATTGATACCCAGCTACCCTCCCACCACCACTGTCGCCGCCTTATCCGCCTCCTACCGCTCACTACCTCCAAGCCTGGAGGTGGGAGATCCTGCCTGGACCCTATTCGCTCGCTGATTCACAGTCTGCCCCTTCATCCCATCCACAATGGCCGACCCAATACATCCCCAGCAGCAAAAGTCGGGCAAACCATGGAGCGGGACGAACAAGATCCCCAACATCAATGAGTTTGTGGCCAATCTCGACAAGTCAAAGGCCGACAGAGACAAGGCCATCGATCAACAAACCCAGCCCTCGACCACCGACAAGGTCATCCCTCATAGGAATGAGAAGCCAAAGACAAAGGGCAAAGAAGTCACGGACCCCGTCACTGGAAAGCAGATCATCATTGCTGATGTCGGCAAAGAGTATCTCCAACGTGCAGACAATCCAACCGTATGCAAATCTATCTTCCCCCTTATTGCCATTGCCGCTCACCTTGTTCATAGCTCTCCGTCCCCAATGCCAACCTAGGCAAGCCAACCACTGTTCAAACCCACCCCAACCAGGCCAATCCAGAATACAAGGAGAAGCAAGACATCACGGCCCCCCCTGATCCCATTGCCGAGGGAAGTACTTCAGATGTCCCCATCCATGGCGAAAAGACAAATGTCCTCTTTCATCCCACCCCCTCAGTCAGTTATGAACCGATGTTTGCCGCCCTCGAGCAGCGTGCCAGTGGTTTGTGTCTCGCCATTCTAGTCTCAGTCATCATCGTGGGTAAGATGTTTGGTGGTGCTCTCAAAGGCCTGATCCCCTTGGGCGCCGTCCTTGCCTCGGGTGTCTGGCTGTGGATGAAGGAGGTGGTGAGAAGCGGTCGCGAAGTCGAATGGAGTAGTGAGCAATCCAGAGGAGAAACTGTCCGTCTCTACCTGCCCCCCTGTCCCTATTCCCCCCCGACTAATTTGTCTCTAGGCAACTGCAAATCTTCTGCCCGAGTCTGTCGAGTGGATGAACACCTTCATGGGTATTGTTTGGGGACTGATCAACCCAGAAATGTTTGCCGCCGTTGCGGATACCTTGGAGGATGTCATGCAAGCCTCTGTCCCCGGTGTCATCAATAACGTCAGAGTCGCCGAAATCGACCAGGGAAGCAATCCAATCCGCATCCTCAGCCTGCGAGCCTTGCCAGATTCCAAGGTCCAAGACCTCAAGCAGAGCATTCACGAAGAAAACAAGAAGACAAAAGACCCTCAAGAAGCTGCAGCAGATGAAGAGGGTGGTGACTATTACAACCTCGAAATCGCCTTCGCGTATCACGCTAAACCCGCAGGCGCGTCTCCCTCCGATCATGCACGAAATATGCACATGAATCTCGTTTTCTACCTTGGGATCAAGGGCCTCATCGGTGTTCCCCTCCCAATCTTTGTCGAGTTGCAAGAGCTCGTGGGAACCGTCCGCTTGCGGTTACAGATGACCCCCGAGCCTCCCTTCGCCAAGAACTTGACCTTCACCTTGATGGGAGTTCCTCACGTTCAGGCGGGCTGCATTCCCATGATCAAGCGCGGAGTCAACCTCCTCAACCTGCCCCTAATTTCCAACTTTGTCAACTACGCCGTCGCCGCCGCCGCCAGCATGTATGTTGCTCCCAAATCCATGCAGCTGGACCTCAAGGCCATGCTGCAAGGCGATGACATCACAAAGGACACACAGGCAATGGGTGTCATGTGGATCCGTATCCATCGAGCCATCGGTTTGAGCAAGCAGGATCGACGTGGTAGCAAGTACGGTGGCAGCGATCCCTATATCAATCTCTCTTTCTCCAAATACGGCAAGCCAATGTACTGCACCCGTGTCATTACTGATGATTTGTACCCGATCTGGGAGGAGACTGCCGCTTTACTCGTCACTCCTGAACTGATCAAGGCCGACGAACAACTTAGCATTGAACTGTGGGATTCTGATCGCAATACCTCGGACGACATGGTCGGAAAAGTCGAGTTGTCCATGCAAAAGATGATCAAACACCCTGGGAAGATGTATCCTCAGATTTCCAAATTGGCTGGGGTTCAAGAAGGTACCGAGATGCCTGGTGAATTGCACTGGGAGGTCGGTTACTTTGGCAAGCCAAAATTTAGACCCGCCCTTCGGACTGATGGCAAGAATAAGGATCTTCCCGATCATCTCAAGAACGACGCCGCCTTCCAGGACGAGAAAGGCACGCTCGACAGTGAAGATGCCGATGCGGTCGCTCATACACCCCCTGACCCACTGTGGCCAAGCGGTATATGCAGCGTCATTGTCCATCAAATCGTCAACCTGGAACTAGAAAACATCAAGGGCAGCGATGGGAACCGTAAAGGCAAAGAGTTTGAACCCGCAAAGGCGTATGGCGAAGCCACCGAGGAAGAGTCTAATAGTATGTTGGCACCTGTCATTTGCTTCTTCTTCTTCTTTAATACTGACCTTTTCCAGAATTACCTACCTCTTATTGTACAATCTTATTCAACGACGTCCTGGTCTACCGCACGCGAGCCAAGGCTGTCAGCAGCAAACCAATCTTCAACGCTGGAACGGAACGATTCATGCGAGATTGGCGATCAGGCCTCGTTACCATCACCGTGCGTGATCAACGTAACCGAGAACATGACCCTATCCTTGGAGTTGTGCCTCTGAAACTGTCGGATATCTTGACTACCAGTTCTCAAGTCACCAGATGGTACCCACTGGATGGCGGCATTGGTTTCGGTCGAGTCAGAATCTCTCTTCTTTTCCGGAGTGTCGAAACTCGACTGCCACCCCAGATGTTGGGGTGGGACGTCGGAACCTTCGAGTTTATCTCTGATCAAATCATCGCCAAAGGCTGGACGGAAAATGCCAAGTTGAAACTCCGAACTGGAGGAAGTAGTGGCAAGATCCCTCGCAGTTCATGCCACAAACTCGAGTCCGGTGATGGCGTTTACTTTGACGTGTCCACGGCGGCCAATAACCATGTCCGCCTGCCAGTCAAGCATCGCTATCGATCTCCCGTCATTTTTGAGTTTCATGTCACGGGAAAACGTGGCGCTGCGGCGTATGCATCCATCTGGTTGCAGCACTTGGTCGACAACCAAGAAGTCCCCATTGACATTCCCATCTGGAAGACCAAGAATGGTGCCCGACTCGTCCAGAACTATATAACGGCGGAGAATTATAAATCGATGATGGATAAAGGACTAGAGGATCTCCAAGAAGTTGGACGTCTGCAATTCCGTGGACGATTCAAGGCTGGCATGGACGAATCTCACCGCGATTTCGTCGTCGATAACGATACTCGCGAGACGTATGAGACCTTTGAAGCATGCCTGACCGAGGGTGTCAGGCGGCGCGTGGTCGAGGCCGAGGTTCCGGACTCAATCCAGGATCTACACGAAAAGTCCTTGACCCAGGGTCGTGATGTCCTCCAGCAGCAGACCTCGGAAAAAGAGAAGAAGAAATGGCTTTCGAAATCGGGAGAAGACTGGTCTGGAGCCTTTAGCCACGACCCCCGCGCCTACACCAACAAGGACTGGGAAAAGATTGCCGAGCCCGGCAAGGACGAGCCACCTCACGATCCATTCAACCCATCGAGTGACGATGATAATTTGTCCGAGGATGAGGGAAACAACAGCTCGTCCTCATCCGACCTGGGAATTACTGATGCTGACAATGCTCCCGAGGGTGGGTTCGACAAACATCGCAAAAGTAGTGTCTCTGCCAATGGACGTCCCAGTGGCGAATCAGGTCTCACCACCGACACCATGAACACAAATGGGACGGCTTACACGACCATGACCGAGGATTCGTCGTTGGTCCAGCCGGTATCCCGAAAAGATTCGGACTGGGAGAAGAAGGCTGGAAAGCGAGCAGAAGAACGTAAACACCGGGGTTTGTCCCAATGGACCCCAGCACGAAATGTCAAGTTTGCCAAAAACGAGGCCAAGATAGGCGTGTCCAAAATCAAGAAGAGATTCACAGGTGGGTTGGGAGGCAGGGAACCCGGAGTGGAGACAGAGGCTGGTTCGTAAGCCTGTCGAGCAGCAACGTTGTTAGCGTGGAAGTAATGGAAAATGGTTTTGTATACCAATGTCAAATTTAGCTGGGTAGGAGAATCATGGTGCGAACACGATCGAGCTGCTCATGTTTCTGGTACCAAAAGGGCTTAGATGGATGGCGTTGGTGAAAGTGGACTTGGGTCGAGATATGACAGCAAACACAGGACTCAATGGCGATTGCAAAACCATACACATGTCTGGATCAAGCCCGAGGGGAAAATATCCACTCAAACCATTGTATGTATTCATGTGCTTTACAAAGGGACAGTTTTTCTGCTATTAACTGTGAAAAGAAATCCTTAGCAAATATTTGTGATCGGCTGCAATAATAATCATAAGCACCAACGGTCAGGACAGGTGAAATACTGTACTTAGCGTAACCGGAAATGATATTTCCGGTGAGTTTCACAGCGTACATAGGCGAAATGGAGGAGGAAATGAGGTGTTTGAGAAGGTGAAACCCTGTTTGAGAAGATGGAATTGGCTATAACGGGGCTTAGTCCACTGGTGCCGAGGCTGGCTGTTCGCTTTGCAAGAAAGGAGCGAGTGACTTTGAGGCGCGATTCTAGTTGCAATTCATCTCAATGGCCTCGGCCTCTGCCCCTTGAGCCTCTATCGGTTCTCAAGAAACGAGGGATGGGTAGGTACCTTAGGTAGACAGTTACTGTATCTTTCCACATCACATGTCCATCCAGCAGATTAAGCACGTGGACACACCCTTGGAGTTGTTGAGACAGGCAACTGCTTCTCTTCCTGCATCGCCCCTGCCTCAAAATGCACTCCTCCTTAACTCCGATTCTTGCTCCCCGCCTCAACGATGACGTGGACCTCACACAAGACAACTATTAATTACAACTCGGGTCACATACTCCGTACTCTGTTCCAGATGGTCGGTACCTATGTAAGACTCCATGGATATTGTCATACACACTCTGAGCGATGCTGTCGGTCACGGGACATACGGGATGATTGCGATACATTTCTAATAAAGAGAGGCCGGGTCAATTTATAAGCAGGGTGCCTTTAATTGAGTACAGACTTTTATAATAATACATGTATGTAGCCATGTAGTCACCGACCCCATGATCTCGATTTGCTGATCAGTAGTAGATCGGAGTCGTTGCCGCGAGGGAGACCAAGTGCCAAGAGAGATGGAAGGATAAAAGTATCTCTGGCATTTATTATTATTATCGATGCACGTACAGATTCGAATAGGAAGCCGCGCAGTACGACTATTGTGCTGTATCTTGGAGCACCATGCGAGTAGATTCTCGTAGAAGATTATTCCTCAGTTGTACTATACCCCCATTCGAGGATCTACTTGATGATAGGTTGGTAAACTCCTCTGCGCCTATACAGTCCAAGGTACATACACCTGCATATCTGTAAAGGTAACGACGACAAAAAGATCGAGTAGATTTGCGTAACACCAAGCCCAGAATCAAGACATCATACTCCACACACACACACGGGGACTGACATGCTATTCTCCGAGTGAGGTCTCAAGCGCAAAACGCAAGTACGGAGTATGTACCATTATTATTATTGGCAGTGCCAGTGCACACTCACAGTACTCCGTACTCCGTGTGCGCCCTCTGCATCTCTGCGTTATGCAAACTCGGTGCACCTCGCCACGATCCAAGAGAAACCACTAGTGTCGCTCACAGGTCAATTCGGGCGTTTTTAGCCTTCGGATCTCTACTGCTATCGTCATCCTGCTACCAATCTTTGCTTGGCGGTCTTGGCTGATTCGTGGACATTTTTGGCACCAGGTGGTACCTCGGATGGCCAGGCCAGTCAGACCCGTGTCCGTCACCCTCACAACCCACGTCCAAACAACCACTGGGTGAACAGGCATGACAGGCTTACAGGCTCACAGGCTCGGCCCCCCTCCTCCCTTCATCTTTTACAGATCAGTCCCAACTTTCCGGACAGCCTCTGGCGAGCCCCGTTGCTCCGCCTCCCACTGTTCGTTTCTCCTTGGGGTGTTTGATGTCTGAGCGTTGTGGCCGGCTGTTGTTTCATTTGCTCTACCTAGACCCTTCGCATCAGCCCTCTATGCGCCATGCCTAATGCAGGCCAACCTAGGTACACATCAAGCCTAAAAACTGTGCACTACTACCTGGCCTAGTTAATGGCTAGCCGACCGACTGTTGTAGACTCATACGCATCGGTGCCCCCTTCTCGCGCATCTGGTTCAGTACCACCCCAAATGCCCCCAACCTTTACAGCGTCCAAACTGCCACGACTGTCTGCGAAACAACAATCACATTCTCCTGCCATCCCATCTTCATCCGGCACTGTTCTCACTCTACCTACTCTCTGTCGATCCATCAACTCCATCTCTTGACGGACATCCTCTACATCCAATAACGCTGGTCGTCCTTGATTCCACGCACACACGAGATTCCATAACCACTCTTGGAGCACTTCCTAGGCCGCCTGGATTTATGCTCATCGTCACTCGTTGGCTCCGCTTGTAATCCTTCCCTCCACTAATAATAAGCCCCGAAAACTCCGCCTGGGCGTTTCTACACTGCCATCCTTTGCCACTTACGCTTCTGTATCCTCCCGCATTATTGTTCTCAGGCACTCCTCACCTCTGAGTACCACCCATTTCTCTCGACCTCTCTCTCTTCGGCGGCTCAGACTTGTCATCGTCACCACCAACTCCATCGTCTCTTCTACCTCGCCTCCCACCCGTCTCTACTCCCTCTTCTACCGACCTACCTCTCACTCATTCCTCCATACACTCTCAACAACAACGCTTTCCGTTGTCTTAATACTCATATTCTCCGCCAGTCGTTCGCTTTTTCGATATACGAAGCTTGATACACACTCTCGCTCTCATGCGGTAATCGATCGATCTCGACTTAAACTCACCACTTCGACCTCGCGAGCGCAATGCGCTTTTTCAGAGACTTGCTGGCCACCGCCGCATCATGTCTCTTACTCACAGTGGCTGTTGATGCCAATTCAAGAGCCCGCAATCCCTTAAACTATTTGTCATTAATCCAAAATCCGAGGATTCACACCCCTTCTCAGCGAGTACATGCCAATTCTCACTTTGACATCACTTTTGATCTCCACAACAACGCTCAACATGTTCGCCTCAGTCTGGAACCCAATCATGACATTATTCATGAGGACTCGTACATCGAGTTCCTCGACAAAGATGGAAACGTGAAACATGCAGAGAAGATGAACAGAGATGATCACAAAGTCTTTCAGGGCCGTTCATATCTGGTAGATGAAGACGGGGTTTCGGAGCATACTGGGTGGGCACGTATTGTGGTCAGGAGAGATGGCGTTCACCCTCTGTTCGAAGGCGCCTTTTCGGTTCTGGGAAATCATCACCACGTCCAGCTCAAATCTTCTTACATGGCCACCAAACACTACCTGGACCCCAACGTTGAGGACGACGAGGACGAATACATGGTTATCTGGCGTGACACCGACATCGGCCAACAATCCCCCATGCACACCGAATTGAAGCGTGACGGCATCTCGTCCTCTGCTTGTGGTTCCGATAAACTGTCCTTCAATACCAACCCTGAACATCCCATTTTCCGCGAGTTGTTACTCAGACGGGATGAGGGATCGTGGGGCACCATGGCCGTGGGCAATCTATTTGGCAAGCGTCAGAGCATCGATGGCGGTGGCGCTGGAAACGGCAACTCCGCTGGTGTCAACCTCCGAAACAGTATTGGGAGTACCGCCGGCTGCCCCAGCACTCGCAGAGTCGCCCTGGTCGGCGCCGCCACCGATTGTGCCTATACCGCCAGTTTCAACTCTACCGATAGCGTCCGGCAAAACATCATCAGTACTGTCAATACTGCATCGGAATTGTATCAATCGACCTTCAACATCACTCTTGGCTTGAGAAACCTGACTGTCTCAGATTCTGAATGCCCCGGGACCGCCAGCACCCAGACGCCTTGGAACGTTGGGTGCAACTCCAACACCGACATCACCCAAAGATTGAACCTCTTCTCCGCCTGGAGAGGCCAGCGTGGCGATACCAATGCCTATTGGACCCTCTTCACAACATGCAATACCGGTGCCGAAGTTGGTCTCGCCTGGCTGGGCCAACTTTGCAACCACGGTGCGACAAGTCAACAAGACGGTGGCGGTAATTCACAGAGCGTCACCGGGGCCAATGTTGTTGCCAAGACGTCGACTGAGTGGCAGGTCTTCGCTCACGAAACCGGTCATACCTTTGGTGCGGTTCATGACTGTGACCAGTCTGCTTGTCGTGACACCAACGTGGTCAACTCGGGCCAATGTTGTCCGTTCTCCTCGACCGCCTGCGACGCCAACGCTCAATTCATGATGAACCCCTTTGCGGCATCTGGGATCACCAACTTTTCTCCATGCTCGGTGGGCAACATCTGCAGTGCCTTGGGCCGAAATTCAGTCAACTCGGGGTGCCTGACCGATAACAAAGGCGTTGTTACCATCAGTGGCAACCAGTGCGGCAATGGCATTGTGGAAGAAGGCGAAGATTGTGACTGTGGTGGTACAGAAGGATGTGGAGGTAATGGATGCTGTAATGCTGAGACATGCCGCTTCAACGAGGGCGCCTTCTGTGACCCAAGCAATGAAGGCTGCTGTACGTCGCAGTGTCAATTCGCAGGCTCTGGAACGGTGTGCCGAGAGAGCACGGGAGTTTGTGACCCCGCAGAGACTTGTTCGGGTACCAATGGTACTTGTCCTTCTGACACCACCGCCCCGGATGGCGAAGACTGTGGCCAAGGGCTACGATGCGCCAGTGGGCAATGCACGAGCCGAGATCTCCAATGCAAGACCCTGATGGGCAGCTACACCTCGGACAACGACACATATGCCTGCAACAGCCAAACCTGTAGCTTGAGCTGCGCAAGCCCCGACTTTGGGCGCAATGTGTGCTACTCGATGCAACAGAACTTCCTAGACGGAACACCGTGCGGTGGGGGTGGTCATTGCGAAAACGGAGTGTGCCGTGGCAGTTCGGTAGGAGGAGAAGTGAGCTCATGGATCCAGGACAACAAGACCTTGGTGATCGCGTTGGCCAGCGCGTTGGGAGGCCTGCTCCTCCTCGGCATCCTGGGGTGCTGTATTCGACGATGCAGAAGGCCCAAACAGAAGAAGCTGGCAGCATACCCCAATCGAAGGGGAGCCCCAGGCAACGCTGGGAATCACCGAGGCTGGGATGGCCCATCGATTCCTCCTCACATGCAAAATGGAGGATATGGAGGTTCGTATGCGCCGCCAATGCAGAACTCGCCGACATGGTACCCTCCTCCACAGCAGCCTCCGCCGTCGTATGGGGCTTGGAGCAATCCTGGAAACGGTCGTGTGCAGAGCGTGCGATATGCATAAGAAGGTTGAATCTTGACAGCATCTGGATATAAAATGGAAAAGGCAAAGACGCAGGATGGATATATGGCTACATCATTGTGAACTGCACTTGTGTGCAGGCGCGAGCAGGATGAGATGAACGGTTGCATGTATTGAACTACCGTGATCGGGGTTGGACATGACTGCTGGACCGCTTTAAAGGTCCCGATACGAAACCATTGCATATTGATATGGCGTCAAGAGAAGGGATTACCCGTACATTAGGGTACATTGGGTATCATTTTGACAAATATTATTGAGTTTTGAAGCCTTGAAGTGGTTGCTTTGGTGTAGATGTGATGCAGTCATATGTACTTGTGAGATTTTGCCATGCGGTTGTTGGACGTACAATACGTGCGTGACCTTAGGCCTCGGACGCCTACAGATCTCTTCTTCCTAGTTAAAGCTTCAAGGGTGGTGACGCCTAAACAAGATGACCTCGGCCCTTCAGTTCCACCTCCTGCCCCATCCCCCTCCCCCCACTAACATTGCCTCCAAGGCTCCAAATATCAAAAACTCCAAATTTCGTCATTCCTTGAGCTCCAATCATCAATCGTCAACTCAAGCATCTTCCTCCAACTCAATCCAATACACGCACCCGATTGATTGACGAATGTCCCCCACGCAGGAACGCGGAATCTAGCACGCCTTCGCCCTTGACGGATTCATTTTTCTCCCATACGCTGTCATTCTTGCCGCGTGAGATCATACAAACACCTCTTTCGTTGCGTTGTTCCCTTCTCACCCTCCTCATGAACGTCAACCTCGCAAACTCTACCACCGTCGCTGTCCGCTCTGTGTCACGCCCATTCACTATTACTCGATATTCTGTGTCGATCTCGAACAAAAGTCTTCCATTTCGCGCCCGGGGAAGTCCACCTTGGCCATCGCAATTCCAAATCCACTGTCGTCGGACCATGTCTTCCACGGCGGCCCTTGAGGCCAAGTTTGCGCCTGCGAAACGGGTCGCAGGCCAAAAACAAGATGTGTGGTCAATTGTGAACGAAGCTGCAGCGGCTAGCCCTGTTCAGCCCATCGTCAACATGGGACAAGGGTTCTTGTAAGGCCAACCCTAGTCTCTACGGACTAAAGAAGATGTATACTGACCGTCATGACTCAGTGGCTACAATCCTCCCCAGTTCATCCTCGATGCCGCAAAGGGTGCCCTTGACAGGGTCGAGTGCAATCAGTATTCCCCCACCAAGGGTCGACCTAGACTGAAGAAGGCTCTGGCCGATGCGTACTCCCCATTCTTTGGCCGAAGACTAGACCCAGAGACCGAGGTTACCATTACTACTGGCGCAAATGAAGGTAGGTCGAGTATATGCGGACTGTCACTGATTTCAATGACTGACATAAAACCCAGGTATGTTGAGCGCATTCATGGGCTTCATTGAACCCGGCGACGAAGTCATCATCTTTGAGCCTTTCTTCGACCAATATATCAGCAACATTGAAATGCCCGGTGGCACCATCAGATATGTCCCACTCCACCCACCCAAAGATGGAGCGCAAAGGACTTCGTCTGCGGCAAACTGGTCGATCGACTTTGAAGAATTGGAAAAGACATTCAATTCCAAGACCAAGATGATTGTCCTCAATTCACCCCATAACCCCGTTGGCAAAGTCTTTAGCAAGGATGAATTACAAAGAATTGGTGATTTGGCCCTCAAACACAACGTCATCATTCTCTCCGATGAAGTCTACGATCGATTATACTATGTCCCCTTTACTCGAATCGCCGCTCTGTCCCCTGAACTGGCCAACATCACCCTCACCGTTGGATCAGCGGGAAAGAACTTCTATGCGACAGGTTGGCGCGTCGGTTATCTCATTGGACCTCCTCATCTCATCAAATATGTCGCCGCCGCTCATACCCGAATTTGCTATTCTAGCGTCTCTCCTCTACAGGAAGCAGCAGCCATTGGATTTGAACAGGCTGACAAGGAAGGCTTCTGGGACCAAGCCGTCACCGATATGAAAGCCAAGGTGGATCGGTTCACTCAAGTATTTGACGAGCTCGACATCCCTTATTCCATTCCCGAGGGAGGCTACTTTGTCCTGGCCAATCTATCCAAAGTCAAATTGCCCGAAGGTTATAGCTTTCCCGACCATGTCAAGGACCGACCTCGAGACTTCAAGATATCATGGTTCCTGATCATGGAGCTGGGTGTTGCTGCCATTCCTCCCACCGAGTTTTACACTGATGAGCGAGCACATCTTGCCGAGGACTGGATGAGGTTCGCCGTTTGCAAAAATGACGACGTCTTGGATGATGCGAAAGAAAGATTGAGAGGGTTGAAAAAGTATTTTGCTTGATCTGGCACTAGAAGTGGCAAGGGTCTCCCACAGACGGTGGCAATCATCTTATGAGGTTTGACAACAGTGCCGTCACATCTCATGGACTGCATGCGGGACCTATAGCATACGGATTAGAGCTCAAATATAATGTAGGTTAGTCAAGTTCATCACCTGGTGGCTAGCAACGATCAGCGATGAAAAGGAAGAAACCGTGTGGAGCAAGACCTGGAAGACCTGGAGTAGAAGAACCCTGAGGCTCAGCCTTGTCGGCATTCCTCAGCCTTGTCGTTCCTCCACTTTTGCGGCTGCCACTTTATTTGACGCGACGCGTCTGTGGGGGAATCTGATATTCCTCATTCAATTGAATTTCCACCATCATCCACACTGACAATCTCCAGCGTCCAGTCCTCCACTGCCCCATCACTACCTCCTGGCATGGCCTGGTCAGAATGGTCCAATGTCCAATATGCGGCAAATCCGTCAAGCAGGCCAACATCAACAACCACATCGACTCCAATTGTCTGCAAGACGTTGAGTCCGACAAACCCACCCCATCCATAAAATCTTCCCCCTCGGTCGCCGGTGTCTTCAGAACTCCTGCCAAACGAGATGCTGCTGCGAACTTCTTCTCCTCCTCCCAGCCAGTTAGGCCCTCTCCCAGTCTGATCGATGTCCACTCCACTCCAACCTCTCTGAAACGCTCCTTTGATTCAGTATCCACAAACCATACCAATGGTGTCAGCCATGGCGAGGAACTTCGTAAGAGCGAAGATAATGACATGCGGAATGAACCCTCTCAATCCCACCATAGCTCACATAACCTGGATTCATCCCTCAACCCACCACCATCTAAAAAACCTAAACTATCTGCCTTGGATAAAGCCGCCCCATTGGCAGAACGCATGCGCCCGCGCACCCTCTCCGAGATCTCCGGTCAAGATCTCGTCGGCCCAAATGGCATCCTCCGTGGATTAATCGAAGCAGACCGTGTTCCATCCATGGTCCTCTGGGGTGGCGCCGGCACTGGTAAAACCACCATTGCTCGTGTCATTGCCAGCATGGTGGGCAGCCGCTTCGTTGAAATCAACTCTGCCAACTCTGGTGTCGCCGAAGTCAAGAAGATCTTCGCTGAAGCCAGGTCAGAGCTGTCATTGACAGGAAGAAAAACCATCCTCTTCTGTGATGAAATCCACCGGTTCAGCAAATCACAGCAGGATGTCTTTCTGGCACCGGTCGAGGCTGGAATTGTAACACTGATTGCAGCAACGACGGAGAATCCCAGTTTCAAAGTGCAGAACGCCCTCCTCAGTCGCTGTCGGACGTTTACTCTCTCCAAACTGACTGAGTCTGACATTGTAGATATTCTCGAGAGGGCTCTGGCAAAGGAGACCGAAAACGAACGGTACACACCCTCTGAATTGGTAGATGGTGACCTGTTGAAATATCTGGCCACATTCGCTGATGGAGATGCTCGCACCGCCTTGAATCTACTCGAGTTGGTCATGGAGCTCAGTCAACGCAAGGATATGACCCTGGAGCAATTAAAACAGTCACTGACCAAAACACTCGTCTACGACCGAGCCGGCGATCAACACTACGACACCATCTCCGCATTTCACAAATCGGTCCGTGGTGGCGACGCTGACGCCGCTTTGTATTATTTGGCTCGCATGATTCAATCTGGAGAAGACGCTTTGTACATTGCCCGCAGAATGATCGTGATTGCATCGGAGGATGTGGGCCTCGCTGACAACTCGATGCTCCCACTGGCCACTGCAGCGTACACTGCAGCGGAAAAGGTTGGTCTGCCAGAGGCCCGGATCAATCTTGCTCATGTCACCGTTGCGTTATGCCATGCACCAAAATCCACCAGAGCTTACCGAGGCCTTGCCAATGCTATGCATGCCCTTCAGGAGCCTGGAATCGCCGGTTTACCCATACCTATCCATCTGCGTAATGCGCCGACCAGACTAATGAAGGAGCTTGGATATGGCAAGGAATACAAATACAATCCAGACTATGTCGGAGGGAAAGTCAAACAGGACTACTTGCCTGATAAACTTCAGGGCCAATTCTTTTTGGAGGATACCGATTTTGGTGACAAAGTGGACAAAGATTTGGACACCGAATAGAAGAAAGAGCATGTATTATAATTACGTTGGTATAGCCAACTGATTGGAAACACAAGAGGGCACAGTAATTTGTACACTATTTTGCATAATGACATGGTATGGTCCAAAATGCAAGCCTACCAAATTAACATTATGTGGCATAACCATGCCTACACATATACTGACACATTCTTTCATATACCAGCCGACCTTGGTTCATTCTCAGCTAGATCTAGATGCAGGCCTACACGACAGTCTAAACCCCATCCACTTACTGCTGGCAGGTTTGAGTTCAACTTTACAGTTGCCGGTTATGGGAAGTGGCTTGAATCTCGACTCCCCAGACCGTCGACCAGTGACTGCACTACCTACTTACTCCGTATACGAGTGCCAGCAAATGTCAACCAAGGTTTTGCCATGTGCCCTGTAGGGCCCAATCCTCGGTCGAAATTAGGGTTATCAACAATGATCAAGCTTGGTCCCTCGTCCCCCCTTCCAGGTATTTGATGGTTCAGCGTAATCAAACTAGAAGATGATTGGTAGTGAAACACAGTAATACGAGATCCCCAGTAATGGACCTCGTGTTCGAGAGGAGTACAGAATATACTCACAACCCTAATAACTCAGCTCTGGGGGCCTGTCATCCTTTCCCATGATTTATCTCCATGACAATGCTCGTCGCCGCTGCTGAGATTTCTTTCTTCCTTCCTTCGTATGCACCATTAATCTGAACCTGTGGAGCATCGACACCATCAAAATTCACACTCACTGATCAACCGAGCAAGAGAAATCCCATACATAGGTATTAATTGGTTCATCCAATCCTCCATAACCTTCGTCTTCAGATATGCCGACCAAAGGATCGTGTATGTGTGGTGATGTGACGTATTCATTCGATGAAGAACCGGTTGCAAAGGTATAGTACCTACCTCCCGACACCCTAAGTTCTTGTTTCGACATACAGCCAGCCAGACTGGTCAAAACTAATCGAATCCCTACTTACTTACTTACTTCTCTACACAGGTCCTATGCCATTGTCTCACATGCCGCAAACTTAGCGGATCGTCGTACGCAACGGCATTTATGCTTCGCGATCCAGATACCGCAGCATCACCTTCATCCTCTCCAGGAATGACGCAAGAGACGTCGTCAGACTCGGCATCAGCATCGCGAACGAAAGATTCAGCAGGGACATTCCAGATTCAAACGGCCAGTGGAGCAAGACTGCGTGAAACCCGTGCTGTGCATTCAGAAGCCGGTCTGGAGATGATTTTCTCCGGCTGTGCCAATTGTCCGAGCACCTTGTATAAGCGTGCCCCGGCCGGATTTCCTGGCATGATCATCGTTCTAGCGGGTTCTTTGGATGCGTCTGAAGAAGTCGGCGGGGGCAATGGCGATGGCCTTGACGGCGCTGTAAATGTCAGAGGAGCCCAGGGGCTCGAGCAGTGGACCGGTCCTCAGGCTGAATTGTGGGTTAAACATCGTCTTCCTTGGGTGACACAGGTTCCTGGTGCGAAGCAATGTCAGATGTTTGAGTGAGAAACATAGGGAGAGAGGGAAGGAGAGACAATTAAAGGGTGGAGAGAGGGGTGAGCTGAATGGGAGGAAGAATGCCATAATGAATCAATGAACGAACGAATGCATGGATGAGCTCTCGAGACTGATAATTCATTCAGGAGAGATGAAGAGCGGATGATGGATATGAAACCATCAAAATTGATTTGTGTGAATTTGACAGATTATAGCATGTCTACAACTCATCCCCGTTGTCACTGACTCTCAATCCATATGTTTATGATTGCAATCAAAATCTCCAAAATTGTCAGGCTCTAAATCCTTGCCATGGTCATTGGGACTATCTTCTATCTAGAATTAAAAGACAAGGCTACCGATAAAGTAAACAACCGGTAGAGGATAGTAGACAGTCGAACCATGACCCGTGGGTGGTCAAAAATCAACTAAATGGAACCGTGCTTCAATCTGAGATCTTTCCGGTGACAATGATCCAGAGCCCTGGGCTTTTTTGGGGTTTTCTTTCTTGGTTTTTGGTAATGGTTGGACCGCGCACAAGCGCTATCCATATCTCCTCAACTCTCTCGGGCCTCACAGCCGATGACAAAGCGCACTCGGCGTGCAGAAAGCGTTTGGCATCGAGGTCGAAAAAGGAGGAGATCTTTCTTCGACAGTGTTGTTTCATGGACTGGAAAACGGGGAAAGGGACCACATGGCCAGGTAGAGGATGGCTTGGAGCTGGAAAGACGGAGAACTGGAGAATGGCTGGGTGCTCAAGATGTTGGGAGATCGAGTCAAGTCGTAGTAGGCTTGTCCTTCGGCAAAATTTCAACTCCAGACCACTTGTTAAAGTATGCCATCCAGCCATTCAACTTCCCCATACCACCTCGTCAGGTTTCTTCCCAGATAATCTAATCCACGCTCACCCACTGTCAAAGAGTGAACTCGAAACTCGGGCTCAACAGAATTTCGGACGGCCAATTTGTTCACCAACGCAAATGAGATTGACAGCCTCTCCGAAGATCAGTGTCGAGTCTCAACTAGCTTGCGGTAGCTGAGATTCATCAACCCCCACAAATGAAGGTAGACAATCTCCGAACAAGTTAGACTATCCAAAACTCTGCCAACTCCCGAGCATGCATCGAGGCTCTCGACATCCACGCACACATCAACAGCAGTAAACCTTCATAGATGAAGGTCCACAAGATGTCCCTCGAGACCTCACATCAACAACAAATCCTCTGTAACAGAACCTTGATCCAAAACAAACTTGACTCCTCCCATCTCACTAAGTCCGACGATGAACACAGAGCCAGCCCAATGTCTTCCATCATAAACAAACCTCGCGGGAAACGAGAAGATGGAAGAGGGGGGCTCTGTTGATGTGTCATAAGACTTGTGGGTGTCGATATGAGATGGTGGTCGATAGATCCAAGAATGGCAGGACAAGGAAAAGACGGGAACTAGACCAACTTCGTCCTCGAGGGCACGAACTTCACATTCGTACCATAAGATCGACAGGACTTATGATTCCACTCCATCACGCGACTCCGGCTGCGATATAACGGCGTGGCGTTTGATGTCTTTCATCGAAAATCCTTGCTTATACACTCGAACGCACAAATTCACGGTCAAGGTGAACGGGTTCGAGCGCGACGGCCACAAAAGGGAGGAGAGGGCCGGCGAAAGGTCGATGCACAAGTATTCAAAACAAGACCAACGTCTCTTTGAAAGAGAGATGATCTAAGACCACACCACCGGAGAAGGGGCAGGGAAGGAACTTTAGATCCCTCGACCATTCAAATCCTTGCGAGGTTTCCCATTTTCCATTACAGATCCACCACTTCTTGAACAGCATCCCTCTGTTTCTGCTGGGACCTGCTGGTCGCCGAGGTGATCTCGGTTCCATATTCAGGTCCATAGACATTGACAGGGGAACGTTCCATTCAGAAAGAGGACATGTAAATGAAAGGGGTCATCCTCGCCACACTGCATGTCTCATTCTACATGCACACACACTTCAAAGCCATCTTGGGCTTTATCATTCACGGGGGTTTGGTCTTCAAACCGAGGAAAAATTTGGTTCCTCCACAAATGTTCATTTTGTTTGTTCGGCTCCATGGAGAGTCGAGTGCGAAGCAGACCATGGGTCGCGAATTGATACCAAAGGTACATGTCTGGATGGATGGATCGATAGGCAGTCATGGGGATAAAATTGGTCACGACTTCGCATTTGCAGTCCCATACCAATAGCTCACATGTTTGTCGTCTCCGAATGGATTGTGTCTTGTCTGGGATGCATCAATGTATTCCTGCTTTGGGTCTTCGTAATGGTCTTCGTGTTCAACGTGACTGGCTGGTGGACTGTATCTTGGTGCTGGCGACATTGGTCTAGCTGTCATCGACGGATGCATGCGGTCATGGCGTCCGGAGTTGGTGTGACCAACAGTAGACAATGGGATGTTATCAAAGTCAGCACGTCTGTCCTGATTATAAAGGTAAAACTCGTGGGAAGAAGGGGGATTGACGGCGGTCGGGGGTGAGGCGGATGAATGAAAGTCACCACCGTCCCCGCGAACCTTGTCCCTCCCACGCCAGAAGATGCAGGCACGGATGATGCCAATAAAAACAATCAGGATCCACAGCAGTAGAATCACGGTGGAGGTGATAGCTTCGATTCTGATACCGGCCTCGATCACGCTGATGAAACGTGCGACGGCGCTGGTGATTTTGTCACTGGCAGCATCACCGGGGCTGGCAAGAAAAGAGTCGTCAGGTTCGCTTGTGGCGGACAGACTCTGTGCCGCCCCGATACTGAAAGTATCGTTGGGAAACAAGGGAAAATCGACGTGAGCATGGTCATGAACCCAAGTAATGCCCTTTTGAATTCCGGCAATCTTCATCAACGCAAGACAGTCGAGAACACCCATGATGGGGTCTTTGAGGGGCGTCCCTCCAAAGGCAACGTCAAGGATTTCAGTAGTCTTGTCAACAAACATGTTGAGAGTGTCATTGACGGCTGTTGTGGCGATTTCAATCCAGCCGAGCATGTCTTGGTTGATGGTTTGACCGGTGGAAGTAATGACCTGGTTGGTGGCGATAGCCCATTGAGCAGAGGCATTATTGAGTTGGAGCATGACTTCGTCACTGAAATCACCAACTTGCTGACTCAGGGCTGGGACCTGTTTTGCCAGGGCATGAAGAAGGATAGCTTGACATGCACACGCGAAGAGACCGGCGATGGCGAGCGCCAGAACAAACAAGGCAGCGTCTGTCGTTGCATATGCGACGACCCAGCGAATCAAATTTCTCTTCCTCGGCGATTCATATCCATGGGAGAGTCTGAGGCCGAAGCTCGAGGTATATGGTCTGTTGACGAGATAGACAACATCCATGGGGTCGCGTGCATCGGAGCGAACAAGCAGACTGCGTTCTTGCATTTTTCGATATCTTCTGATTTCTCGCCATGCCATAGGGATCATGACTAGGATAGCCAGGGTGATCAAGACGCCGAGAAAGACGCGACGTGCAAGATGGGCTATGCTGGTCAGACGATCAAAGAAAGAATTGATGCCATTGCCATCGCTGCAGAAGGTAAGTTGCTGCTTCTGCGGAACGGAGAACAGGGAGCGGTCGAAGGTATAGTTTTTCATGTTGTCGGCCATCAGCTTTTTCACTTCTTGAAAGGGCAGACGAATGATGGATTCGGTCAGGTTCTTGACTTCAGCAAAGGTGGGGATGGAGTTGTTGAGCTTGGCCAAGTCATCTTCGAAACCAGGAGGCAACTTGAGAGCCCGAAGAGCATCTTCTTGCTTGGTGAGATCCAACTTTGGTGGGTTGACTCCGGAGACCGAGAAGCCAACGAAGCCTTTGAGAGAATCTACCAATTTGTTGTAGGCTTCCGAGAAGTCGCCTACAGCCGAACCCAGACCGTCACCAAGATCTTTGGTCATCTTGTCGAGACTGCCCTGTGCGGAGTCAAGCGCACCAATGACGGCGTGAAGGCTTCCAGAGACGGCGAGTGTGATGAGACAGAGATAGGTGTTCGTCATCATTCCAATGACGAATATGACAATCTCTTCCACAGCGGTCACACTCAAGGTTGACATCTCCATGAGACCGTTGACTGACTTCTCCACTCCGGTTGCGGCGAGTTCATTAACGCCTAGTGACATGTAATGCGGCATTGAGGCCATGGTGGAACCCATCGATTCGACATCTGCACAAGCTGCGAGGGCTTCGCGTCGAGCGGAGATCAGGTTGCTGTCGACACTCGCAATTGCGATTAGAGTCCGAACAAGAACAAGTAGGAGTAGAATAGTCCATCGGTTGAACCAGATTTGTGATAGACGAGCCCGGAGGCCAAGATAGGGTGTGATGGATGGTGTAGTGTGTGGGAATAGTCGAGGTGGGTCTTGGTTGGAGTAATAGTCTCGCATCTCATGGCTGCCGGCAGGCATGGATGGAGAAATGCCAGCTGGTAAGGCTGGCGGGGCGGACATGGCGTAGAGGCCGACGATGAAATATCTGTTGGATCTCGATATTAGAGAAGAAAAGAGTGGTGGGTTGTTTAAGAACTTGATAAGCTGAAGGGGAGAGGGTTCGATTGAATGCAAAAGATGGTAGACAGAACCAGCCCGAGTGCAGAGATTAAAGAGGAAAAGCAGCCAGGCTCACGATTGAGCAGTGAGCAGTGAGTGGCTATTGATGGTACAAACCAAGGAAATTCGTGACTGAGGTACAGGGCAAACAATAGGAAATAACAACGAATGTTGAATAGGTGGGTGAACGGGGGACAATGGGTCGAATAAATTTGAATAGGAAAGTCAGAGGACATACCGCTTCCATCGCCATTCTCCAGCACACGTCCACAGACACCGACAACATGATGGAGACTCGATGTTTCAGCAACGAGAAGCAAAAGTTGTGGTGCAAGAAAATCGACTGGTGAAGCTGGTTCCAGACTGTGTAGGCGCTGAGTCCAGACACAGCCTCGCCAGGCTGAAGAAGCGCCCACCAACCATTTGGCAAACTGAATTTCCACGTCAAACACGCGCTTTCACGTGAGTTGATGGATGGAACTGGCCTGATTGAAACACAGGGAGTAATGGCTGGATGGGCTCTTCTCCAGGTCACTTCTTCATGTTGCCACGAGTCCTGCGGTTGGAATGATTGTGGGTTGTTGGCTGTGACGTAAGGCAAATCTGAGGAATTGGCCTGTCACGAGTCTGGTCCGACAGTAACGACGCATGCCAGAATTGATCAAACCGACCGCAGGACGAGGGCAACGAGGCACCGAAGAAGTAGACTCGATAATCTGAGAAGTGCCTGGAACAAGAGAAAAGATCAAAGCTGTGCATGAGAGATGACGCTGATGGATTTTATCAAGTGTCTGCCGTGTCTGCCACGCCTTCCATGCAATACAAGCTGGGGGGCGCCTGCCGATCATAAAACCACGACATTGTGGCGTACGGTTCCTTGATTTTGGATCAAACTAATCTACTTGTGGACTAGCTCCAAACCATCAAGATTTCCCCATATCACCGCAAGGCTGTCAAGACAAGGCTGAGGACTCTTTCAGCGTGAACCATCTTCCTCCCACCCAATCAGCTCAGAAATCATGTCACCACAAAGCCCCTCGCAATTCATCGGCATGTCAACTTGCATATCTACTGGGGTCATTTCGGATGGCCAGAATACGGATCAAACAGTCGCAGTCTAGCTTGGCTGTCAAAGTTCCTCAGGTTGCACAGCATGTCCCCTTTGTCTTCCAGCATGGGTAAAGTGCACGGTGCAGGCTTGATGCATAGTCAGGTTGTCAGAATCATGCCAGAGACGTTCAGCATTCAGGATTCAGTATCAGCATTCAGCGAAGGCCTCTCGCCGGGAGCTCACAGCAACAAATTTCCTTGATGTCGGCATCACGAGGCGATTGTTATGCATCACTTGTCACCTCAGAGTGGCTTTGCAGGTCACGCCCATGACGCTCGAAGCAATGCGTGTCTGTTGGAGGTGGGAGCTAAAGTGGCGCTGGTTTCAGCCGGCTCAACGTCACTTGATGCACAGCAGTCCCAAGATGCGTGTGCGAGCATGTGTGTGTATCGATGGGCTCAAGGATCGACTGACCGGCTTCCAAGCCGGTGAGATGGTTGCGAGTCATGTCGTCGAGCGGCATAAGCTTCATCCAGCAAAAGGCGGACAATCCACGGTCACGAGCCACAACACATGCGCCCTATCGTTGCTCACCTTGACCTTGACCTTGACCACCTTGTTGTGCTGCCATTGCTGCGTACCACATGTTGAGGTAGTTTTGATACCCCCCATAAGCTGCGTACGGATCCGCCCCACCAGCTGGAGCGCCTCCAGCCTGGGGAGGCACCGCTGTGGCTGCCGGGTATCCCATGGGGGCCTGGTGGTGCTGAGGCTGGCCTTGTGGTTGTGCCGAGTACCGGTCGGCGTATTCATCCCGTGATGGTTCACGATTTTGTGATCGCGCACGCTGACATTGGTTAATGAAGGTCTGATCTCGTGTCAGAAGCAGACTCACCACTGTTTCGACCTTGTCCAAAATAGCACGTTTGGCCGCCTCGATCGCGTGTCGTGTGCCTATTAGTCCAATCTCGCGTTCAATGTCACGTCCACTGGCGGAGGACACGTTGATCTTGCATCCGGTTTGATTCTGCATGTCACGTATTGATTCACCACCTGTCGTCCTCCGGTCAGCAAGTCTATTCGCCGTCGGTCGGTTAACGGCATACCTTTGCCAATGATCATCCCCACTGCCTCGCCGGGAACCACAATAGTATCGTTGATCTTACCATGGCCGCCATCATCACGATCGCGATGCAGGTCCTTGACACTGACCCCTTTCTGGTCGCTTTCCACAATCTCGAGGATCAGATCTTTGGCGTACTGTTGAGCGGCAGCACTGCCGATGAGATTGACAGGCCGGAATCCGTTCACACTCTTGTTTTCTCCCACAATGTTGACGTGACAGCCGCTGCGATCTTGGAGATCCCGAATAGTCTCGCCGCCTCTTCCAATGATCAAGCCGACCGTGCGGTCGGGGACCATCATTTGTAAGCTGTCGCCATCTTTGGAGGCAGAGACAGCCGGTTTGCCGTTGGGCGGGCGCGGTTTGTCTCCCCCACCACTGCTACCTCTTTTGGATTGTTCGTTGTCTTCGATTATCTTGTAGATCTCTGCTTTGGCTGCACTGCGTGCAGATCGGGCGCCCGAGATACGGCAGTGTCGTTGAGAACCTGCCACTTCGGGCCCATCCATGAACTGTACGCGTGCTCCTGTCGTGCTCTCGACTCTGCGGAGATTTTCTCCCGACCGTCCAATAATAAGACCAACTAAGCTTTTGTCCAGAGGAATGATTTCAGAGTCGCCTTCTGCAGTGCCTGCACCGGCTCTGTCTCGGCCTGGTGATCTGTCATCTCGATATCGAGGCGAGTAGCGGCCGGTTCGTGGAGATAAGGAGCGATCGCGGCCGAAACCACGGTCGTTGGAGCGCCTCTCGTCGCGATATGGATTTTCACGGTAGCCATCTCGGCCAGTACGAGGTGGGGTACGTGATGGAGAGCGCGAGCGTCGATATCCTCGACCACCGTAGCGGGGATCAATGTTAACGGGGGCTGCAGGTATCCAGTTAGTGTCACAGTTCGCGCAGGGCGGGGGAAGGTAGACGCACGTCTGTTTGGATCATAATGAATTCCCTTGTCGACAGCCATGTCTCGAGCTTTGGCAACCGCATAGTTCAGGCTGACCGAACCTGAGCTAATCGGTTTTATTTGCGCCAGATCAACGCTCCCAGAATGAAAGGGTTGCGGCAAGCCATAGGGAGTGGCACCGCCAGGCGGAGTGGCGTACTGAGGGGGAGGAGGATACGAACTACCGGGAATAGGTGGAGGAGGAGCTTGCGAAGGAGTACCTCCCTGTCGTTGCGCGGCGAGAGCAGCAAGGATATTACTGAGGTCGGCCATTGGGATGAGAGCGAGCTCTCAGAGGGTGCTGGAGCCAAAAAGATGAGAACGGGTCAAGACTGGAAAAGGACGACTTGTTGATTGAAGACGACCATCTGCCAAGGTACGGAGGATGGACGAATCTAGATGCGTGTCTTGTCGAGAAGAAAGGGAGAAAGTCGTGGGAAGAAGGAGGAGAGGTGGTAGAGGATGTGATGGTGGGAGTTGGTGTTGGTGGTGGTGGTGCAGAATGAAGAAATGCAGCGCAGTCGAGGTTCCAAGCATATCACGTGATGTATGGTACTCGTCCATCTTTCTTTTATTCTTTGATTTCAGACTCCCACAATACCAACACAATATTAGTACAGCCTCCATATCTGTGACACTATCCAATGCAAGATTACTTCCATTCCTCTTGTGAACAGTAATTTGTCAAAAGGAGTTGAACTTCCTCGAGGACACAAAGCCTGTGTCATATTGTCTCTGGCTTCCTGGCCATCGCCCACGGTATCAGCATCAAATCCCCTTTATATGGGAGACCTATCTGCAGAAATTGCACCATTCTCTTCATGAATTGAGAAATGACAAGTAAGTGCTACAATAAAAATGATTCATGTGAATGGATTTTGTGCAATGTGATGGACGTGTCCAGAGAAAACCAGACCACCACTGTGTTTGAGAAACAGAGAACAATATCTGGCACCTGTCCAATATCAAACAAAACTCACTGTGAGAGAATCTATTGCCCTCTCTTTTCCATTGACTCAACTTGACACCTTGTTCAAAATCCCTCTCATCTTCCAAGCCTGGTGACCAGCAAGCCTATCTTCCGTGATGTCAAATGTTGGACAACGACCATCCCTGGACAAACCAACAGTTGAGAAAAGTCGTCCTTCATTCTCTCAATCAATTAACCAAATGGCTCCCTCCCATATCAGAGTTCGGTGAGTGAGCATGTTTCATTTCCAGAGTGCGGCCAACCCCTCCTGGGCACCCAATCCTATGCAAGATTACAGGCACTTTCCAGCCTCTTCCTGAAAGATTCTGGCTCACGAAAGGTAATTTACATGGAGGATGATATTACATCATCACGTGTTGCTCAACCAAACCACGCCTGAAAAGCAGAATCAATAGCACAGGGTTCACACCGAGTATGTTTGTCTCCGACAGTCTGCAACAAGCCGACAGCAGGTACTCAATATATTCCAACAGGAGGTTTGACAAGCGCTAATTACAAACAGTGCGAATGACACACCCTCTTCACACTGTTTACGCCCTCTGGCGCTGAATATGGTCAATCATAAATAATTGATTTCAGATCGGCTGGACTCACACGCCTTGGGCTTGTGGAAAATCTAGCCTCCGTGCCATCCACTGCCGATCTTCTTCTTCTTCTCTTCCCTCCCTCCCTCATTGTGCTCCGCCTGCCCCGTCTAACAACGGCACTCGTCCCTATCACATACCTCGTTCTACCCGCTGGGCCATCAGCGCCTTGCTGTGAGGCAATATTGTGCTAGGGTTCCAGTGCTCCGACGAAGCGATATCCACTGTGTGTTGCAAGATCTTTTATCAGTCGGATCAAAACTCGGTGAAGTTAGACAAGTTGTCGATTGAGCTTGTTCTAATCCCATTACAAAGAACTGAAGCTCAAGGTTTGGGCAACAAGATCATAGCACGGCAAGCCAGGCCTCAATCCAGGTCGCAACTACAACTGCACCACAGTAGTAGAGACATGGAGGTTCCACTTCCACCACTTTTTGAAGCCTCGGAGTTCCTATATCCTGCATATCATGACCCGGCTGTGGCTGCCGGTGAGGTTGTGTCACCGAGATCCAGTGACTCTGGTCGAACAATCACTCCAGCTTTCTTCAGCGCAAGTCCAGGGTTCAGAGATTGGGTCGTCTCCATGCATAGTACGAATGCACCTGAGTCCATGTACAACACATGGATCACTGAGAGCGAGCAACATTTTCTGGGTCATCTAGCTCCATTCAGGTTCGATGGTTTCGACCCGAGGTTGAAATGCCCTCTTCCTGATTGCCACAAGATGACCAGCTGCTGGGGTGAGTGCACCAGCTGTATAAGAGAAATAAAGTGATTTCGCTGACCATGTCGATTGTAGACCCTCTCGTTGTCATCTGTCCTGCATGCGGCACCGATAGCTTCACGCGATATTGCAAGAAACAACATCTCTACGAAGACATCGTACGTCATTGGCTGGAAGATTGTGGCAACTTCCCAATTACTGGGCCCATCGACAGGCACACTGTACGTCAGAGTCAGATTCCTCAAAGTCCATATGTCACTGGTCACTTCGCAAACCACATTGAGCGACACCGACAAGCGGTCTACCGAGCCATGGAGTATGCTGACTACTTCGTCTTTGACGACGCCGACCTCCTCGACAGTGCGAGACCTAGCATGGAGGAATGGAATCTGGTGCGAGGGAGGGGCCAGCTTCGGTTTGCTATCAAGTTCCCTGATGGTGCACCTAGGCTCGGCGACTTTGACATTCACATGATGCAGTGCCTGAAGTTTAGCGGACCAATGGCTCTTCACAATTGCGACATGGCCATGCATATGATACGGGAAACATTGATTCTGCAGGGCAGGTGGACAGAGGATATTTTGACCGACCTGTGCATGCAGGTGGCCTATGAGTGGAATGGATACGAGGTCCCTAAGTACTTTTACAATGCCGAGCGCGCCAGCATGGTCTATCACGTATTTGGTGTGCTTCCCAGTCCGCCAGCCTTCCGACAGCAGTGAAGCGTTATCGAAGCCAATCGTGATACATGTCTGAAGGTGGCATAAGGAAGTCTGCGAGCTTCGGTTACACCCAACACGACTAGATAGTCAGATTGGATGTCCCAGCCGTTTGACTGACGATTGGCTCAGTCTATGTGGCGCTTGATAGGACATATTGGACCATTTTCTTGGTTGATTGGGTAGATAAAGAGCGAGCAAGCGAGCAAGCGAGCATCACTCAAGAAGAATTGATTCATAATGAAAGTACAACACTCAATTCGTACCGTACACAGAGCAAAAGAGACCATTTCGTCAGTTGGAAGGTCAGTACGTAGTCGTCAACAACAATGACTATAACGACAGACGCATAGTACAAGATGTGAACGGCGTCGTCCACTACGTCGGCGGTCTCCGAAGATCACGTGACTAGAGGACTTCGTCCTCGTCCACAATTTCCAATCCCACCCAACCATCGCCTGGCACTTCTTTGTACGATGAATCGCCTCCATCGTCTTGGATCTCGATCAACTATCTCCACCTAGGCGAGACGCGGGGCATCCCTACATCATGCTCTTCTCCGTTACTGGCTGTCCGACCAACCAGCCCGTGCGCCTGCGGCCAAACTTGTCAGATCGACAATCAGTATTCTCTGATTCGCGGAATAGGCCATTATCAAGTCACCATGAGCCCTATCAGTGCTCTCATCAACAATGTTGCTTATTGAATTGCTTCTGTTTGCGATGATGTGGGCTTCAGGTAATCTTCACCGATAAGACCCTCTGCATTCCTCTCCTCTCTCACCTCTGATTCCCTATCCCTCGTACTACTATTCCTTAAAATCTCTCGTCGACCCGTGTCCGATCTACTGTCCCTCTCCTCCGTGTCTCCAGGGCCTCACAGACGAATGGCTTGACCCTTTCGACCTTCAAAGCCCAGTCCACAATATGGCGCCCGGAATTCTGCAAGACGCATCAACATCCGACAAGGTCTCCTCCCTCTCTTCAGTCACTGACGGTTACGATGACACTCTCCGCTTCTACCTCAATGGCACCAAAGTCGACCTCGATGCCGTTGATCCTGAGGTCACTCTTCTAGAGTATTTAAGAGGAATTGGACTCACTGGTACAAAGTTGGGCTGTGCGGAAGGTGGCTGCGGTGCATGCACCGTGGTGGTTTCGCAGCTGAACCCTACCACTGGCAAGATATACCACGCCTCAGTCAATGCATGTCTCGCTCCTTTGGTCAGCGTCGATGGTAAACATGTCATCACCGTCGAAGGCATAGGCAATGCTAAAAGCCCACACCCCGTTCAACAGCGCATTGCCCTTGCTAGTGGTAGTCAGTGTGGGTTTTGCACTCCAGGAATCGTCATGAGTCTGTATGCCCTCCTCCGAAACAATGGCCCAGATGCGAGTGAATTCGAGGTCGAAGAAGCATTCGATGGCAACCTATGTCGATGCACGGGATATCGTCCCATTCTCGACGCCGCGCAGAGCTTCAAAAAGCCTTGTGGAAAGTCTCTGGCTAATGGAGGCTCGGGATGCTGTATGGAGAATGGCGGAGGCTGCAATGGACCCCCGGGCGGTGTCCAGGATACCGTAGATGAGAAGAGGTTCACTGCCCCAGATTTCATTCACTACGACAAGACGACAGAGTTGATCCACCCTCCTGCTCTGAAAAAGCATCAATTCAAACCCCTAGCGTTTGGAAATAAGAGAAAAAAGTGGTACCGTCCGGTCACTCTTCAGCAACTGCTCGAGATCAAGAATGCCCTGCCTGCTGCAAAGCTGATCGGGGGCAGCACCGAAACTCAAATTGAAATCAAGTTCAAGGCTATGCAATACTCTGCCTCGGTCTATCTTGGAGACATTGCAGAACTTCGCCAATATTCTCTTCACGATGATTACCTAGAAATTGGTGGAAACGTCGCCCTGACTGACCTCGAGCATATTTGTGACGAAGCCGTCTCAAAGTATGGCCCCGCTAAGGGCCAACCCTTTGTTGCCATCAAAAAGGCCATTCGATACTTTGCTGGCCGACAGATTCGAAATGTGGGAACCCCGGCCGGCAATCTTGCCACTGCTTCCCCCATTTCCGACCTCAATCCAGTCTTTGTCGCCACTGATTCCACCCTGATTGCAAAGTCCTTGAATAAAACGGTCGAACTTCCCATGGCCAACTTTTTCAAGCGCTATCGTGTCACCGAGCTCCCTCAAGACGCCGTCATCGCTGCTATCAGAATCCCCACTGCGAGTGAAAATGGGGAATACATCAGATCTTACAAACAGTCAAAGAGGAAGGACGACGACATTGCCATTGTCAATGCTTGCCTCAGAGTATCTCTCGACGATTCATACACAGTCAAGCATGCCAATCTTGTCTATGGCGGCATGGCTCCCATAACAATCCGCGCCCACAATGCATCTGATGCCCTTCTTGGAAAGACATTTACTGACCCGGCCACTTTGGAAGCTGTGATGAACGGGCTTGAAAAAGACTTTAGTCTACCATTTGGTGTCCCTGGTGGGATGGCCACATACCGCAAGTCCCTGGCTCTCGGTTTCTTTTATCGATTCTACCAGGACGTGCTCACCCGAATAGAAGAAGGCAGTCAAGAGATTGACAAGGAGGCTATCGACGAGATTGAAAGAGAAATCTCCACCGGCCGAAAGGATCATGATGCGTCTATTGGCTACGCACAAAAGGTCTTGGGCAAGGGCAATCCTCATATGGCTGCGCTCAAGCAATGCACCGGTGAAGCTCAGTACACCGATGATATCCCCACTCAGCAGAACGAGTTGATTGGTTGTCTGGTGTTATCGACCAAAGCACATGCAAAGCTCCTAAGTGTTGATGCTGGACCTGCCCTCGAGCTCCCTGGAGTTGTTGCCTTTGTGGATCGAAATGATGTGACTACAGACGGCAATTGGTGGGGTGCGCCGGTTTGTGACGAAGTCTTCTTTGCAGAAGATGAAGTCTTTACCGCTGGTCAACCCATTGGTATGATCCTCGCGAACACTGCCAAGCAAGCAGAAGCCGGTGCCAGAGCAGTCCTCGTCGAGTACGAAGAACTACCCGCAATCTACACCATTGAAGAAGCCATTGAGAAACAGAGTTTCTTCGAGCACTACCGCTACATCAAGAAGGGCGACGTCGACAAAGCCTTTGCAGAGTGTGACCATGTCATCGAAGGAACTTGTCGCATGGGAGGTCAGGAGCATTTTTACCTCGAAACCAATGCTGCGCTTTGCATTCCCAAACCCGAAGATGGTGAAATGGAGGTCTGGTCCAGCACCCAAAACCCTACCGAGACTCAAGCTTATATCTCCAAAATCCTTGGAGTTCAGTCTAATAAAATCGTCGCCAAAGTAAAACGTCTCGGTGGGGGCTTTGGTGGTAAAGAAACCCGTTCCATTCAGCTCGCCACCATTTGCGCTGTTGCTGCTAACAAGACCCGCCGTCCTGTCCGGTGCATGCTCAATCGAGATGAAGACATCATGACTTCAGGCCAGCGACATCCCTTCTTGACGCTCTGGAAAGTCGGCGTCAACAAGGACGGCAAGATCCAAGCCCTCAAGGCCAACGTGTTCAACAATGCCGGATGGTCCCAAGATCTATCAGCCGCAGTCGTCGACCGAGCTCTCTCTCACATTGATGGATGTTACAATATCCCCAACGTCGATGTGGATGGTCGCCTATGCCGTACCAACACGGTGTCAAATTCTGCATTCCGTGGATTTGGTGGACCTCAGGGAATGTTCATCGCAGAAACTTTCATGTCCGAGGTGGCCGACCACCTCAAAATTCCTGTCGACACCCTCCGCGAGATCAACTTCTACAAGTCTGAAGAAGTGACCCATTTCAACCAAGTCCTCGAGGACTGGCATGTTCCGTTGATGTGGAACCAGCTCAAAGACGGTACATCTTACGAATCTCGACGGAAAGACGTGGAAGAGTTCAATGCCAGTCACAAGTGGCAGAAGAAAGGCTTGGCCATGATTCCAACCAAATTTGGTATCTCCTTTACCGCGCTCTTTCTCAATCAAGCTGGTGCTCTCGTCCATGTCTATCACGACGGCTCTGTTCTCGTGGCTCATGGTGGCACCGAGATGGGTCAAGGCCTGCACACGAAGATCTGTATGATTGTTGCCGAAGCTCTCCAAGTTCCTCTGTCCAGCGTTCACATCTCTGAGACAGCAACCAACACTGTTGCCAATACCTCATCGACCGCGGCATCAGCATCGTCCGACTTGAACGGGTATGCCGCATACAATGCCTGCGCGCAAATCAACGAGCGCCTAGCTCCATATCGGGCCAAACTGGGGCCAGAGGCAACCATGAAGCAACTTGCCCACGCTGCCTACTTCGACCGTGTCAATCTCTCTGCAAACGGGTTCTACAAAACGCCGGAAATCGGCTACACATGGGGACCAAATCCGCAGGATCCAAGCGCAGAGAACACAGGCAAGATGTTTTTCTACTTCACGCAGGGCGTCACGGCTTCTGAAGTTCTCATCGACACCCTCACTGGAGACTGGACGGTCTTGCGCACCGACATCCTGATGGACGTTGGGCGCAGCATCAACCCTGCCATCGACTATGGGCAAATTGAAGGCGCATACGTACAAGGGCAGGGACTTTTCACGACCGAGGAATCTCTCTGGCACCGTGCATCGGGCCAGATCTTCACCCGTGGTCCTGGCGCGTATAAGATCCCGGGCTTCCGCGACATCCCACAGGTCTTCAACGTCAGCCTGTTGAAGGATGTTGAGTGGAAAAACTTGCGAACCATCCAGCGCAGCCGCGGTGTCGGTGAACCGCCCTTATTTATGGGCAGCGCCGTCTTCTTCGCCATCCGAGATGCCCTCACGGCCGCAAGGGCCCAGCATGGTGTTGACGACGTGCTGTCCTTAAGAAGTCCTGCCACCCCCGAGAGGATTCGCATCAGCTGCGCTGATCCCATCCTCAAGCGCTGCGTTGTCGAGCCCAAGGACGGTGAGAAGAGCTTCTTTATCAGTATTTGAGCTTTCCTTCTACTCATTTCCTTTTTCCATGACTGTACGAATGAGTCCTCAGGCGTCAGAGTATCCGGGCCAGGGATCATGTGATGGATGGTGTTGCGACGGTGCAATCTTGACACGATACATCTTTTGTACCATTTAACAAGTATACACAAAGACTCGAGATACCATATCTTCATAATTTCTCAAGTCTTCATGCCAGTTCAATCAATAATGAGATGGAGCTCTACCCAAGGATTTTGTATCAAGTTAGGTCAAAGATAACAGCTCGTAGAGCACATTATATCATTTCTAGCTCCCCCACAACGCTACTTAGTAACCTTCAAGGAAGCAACCTTGTATATTCAAGACAGAGTGTCATCTGTCGGCCTCATGGCTTCTCGTTATAGATTCATCCAATCACCGGTCCCATCACACTGTCCCTATACTGGGAGGAACGCTCATATCAATCGTGACAGATTTCTTCTGTTTAACGAACTGTACACGTTGATCACCATGATTTGACGGGGTCGAGGATCTCGAGTCCGGGCCTTGTGGGCTGTCGATGCCAAATGGTATGCTGAATCCTGTCGTTCTGACAGGTTCCATCTTCTTCGCTCGCTTGGAGACATGTATGTCTCTCTCCGCATGCAAGGGAGGGGACCTGTCGTCCTCACCGAGTAGACTGCCTGTACCACCTGCAACAACACCTCCACCTCCATCGTAATCCAGGATCGCTTCACTATCACCGAGTTGCTCCATTCCATCGCCCCTCCGTTCAAACAGCGGCACCGGCACATCCATTTTGCTGCCCGTTAGAGTCTGCTTGTCGAGCTGGTTGATCTTCAGAAAGCCTTCGTCGCGAATGATCTGATTCATGGTGCGATCGTCCAACAAACTCTTCTCCGCTTTGACGTGCTCGGCGTTACTCATCTGTCGTCGACGGTGAAGGATCTTCTCTTCCAAGCTGCCTTTCAACACCAGTGTTTCGACAAACACCGGCCTCGTCTGTCCGATTCGGTGGGCCCGCTTGATCGCCTGTGACTCGATGCTCGGCTGCCAGATTGGAGACACGATGAAAATCCGACTGGCGCACGCCACATGTAACCCGTGTGAGGCTTGTTTGAGATCCATCAGGAGTACTCGGATCGCGTCAGAGTGATTGAACGTTGCCAGGTACGCTGCTCTTCGTGTCACGGAGAGCGTGTTTGCGTAGATGAGAAATTTCACCGATAGTAGTTCCAGTGCTTCAGCAATCCAGAAGGCAATGTTGTTTGAGTCGTAGAAGATGATGATCTTCTCGCTGTCTTGCAGACACAAGATTTGTGAGCAAAGGTAGCTGAGCTTGGCCGACGTAAAGCCGATGATCTTTGTGGGAGCAAGGACAGCGGGAAGAGGGGCCATTGGATCTGTGAAAGATCGTTTGAGGTTGTTTCCCGGACCTCCAACCGAAGAAGCAGACTTAGGTCCTCTGACAGGCGATGACGGTGAAGATGATGAAAAAGTCGACTGGCTTTTGACCTTGGGCTGCTCGCCTGACCCTGCCGGCTGAACCTTGCCAGAGCTGTTGGCAGAATTCTTCTCGCGGAAAGCCTGCTCTTCTCGCCCCCTTTGCCGGGCCGCGTTCATTGCTCGCATCCCAGCCCCAGTCAGACCAGCAGCAGGATCATATGAATCGAGATTTTGGAGGATAAATTGTTGAGCTTCACGCGCTTGAACGGTTCCCAACAACAAAGGGGATGACTCCTCGCCATGCAGCGACCAAGCTTGCGCAGCATGCTCCGGGAAATCACTCACGTAGACCCCGATTTCGTGGAGAAAGGAAAAAGCACACCAGCCAGGATCATCCAGTGCACGTTGGCCGTGCATGATAGCCTCTGTGAGCAGATATCCATCACTGTCAGAGACCTTGTCAATATTGCTGTCAAGATAAGCGTTGCTCACACGGATGGTCTCGGCGACATCATGCTTTGAAAAGCCAACCCAGTGAAAGCTCGAATGTCGTAGGTTGTTGATCAACTCGTCCAAGGACTTTCGGTTTTTGGGGTGAAACATGTAATCTTCATCGACCCGCTCAGAAGTGACAGCGTTGGAAGTGAGCACCAGTCTGAATAAGTTCATGCTCAACTTGTCGTAGTAACTTGGTTCGAGATAGACGGTCTTATTATGGAGCGTGGGGAGTTGAAGATCAATGTCAATGTCTTCTATGCGATGCCGTATGATGAGCGATTGAAGAACTGTTCTCAGCCCAGGAGAGAACCGCCTATTCCCAGAGGCATCAAAAGGGGCAAGGTATTTTCTCCAATCCGCAAAGTCGGCTCCCTTTTGATTTGCCCAAGGTTGTAGCCTTAGGAATTTTACCACCATGACTCGCAGTCTCTCCATATCCTTGACTTCGTCATGATTTGCATCCTGAGATTTTCGACCTTGCAAAGCAGTTTCGATGGAGGCTTTTCGAGAAATGGTGGTCTTTCCTCGAGTTTCATCCGTGGCAAGATTTACTTCGACTCCGTGCAAGGACGTTGAGGGAGTTCCTGATACGACCCATCGTCGCTCGATAGACAATTTATCCAGCATGGCCATGGCATTGGTACGATAGCTGGCGCCGGCGAAGCCGTGACCTTCATCACAGATGACGCGCAGCCAGCGGATCTCGGCGAGCTGTGACCGGAATCGTTCGGAGCCAGTAGCTCGTCTGCCTTGATTAAGGTCATCATCGCGATACTCTTGCTCGAAGCGGGCCTTGGTCATCAGGACGACATCATGCTGCATCAGAATCTTATAATCGGGAATAGACTTGGTGTTTGAGTCGATTACCAGGACGTCTAGGGCTCCCTGTTCGGTGTGCTTTTGAATCTCATGTTGCCATTGGATGAGCAAATTAGGAGGAACAATGACGAGCGTTGAGTAGCTCAGACGGCGAATGGAGTAGCTTTCTCGATGACTAGCTCTGCGATCTGGTGTGACGGGGTGAAATATGGGTTCGGCATATTCAGCTTCCCATTTGTCCAACGCCTGCTTGCAGTCATCAAAATGATAGCCTAGTTTCTCGAGATCTGCAAGCTGCGCTTTCCAGGGAGTTCCGGATCTCTTGAGTGTTTTTGCGGCGAGCTCGACCAGTGTTGGGGTTCGAAGATTTGGACAGTCGTCCGACAGGATCAGTCTCGCTTCTGGAACTTTGGGATATTGGCCTCGAGTGGCAAGAATCAAGGAAATACAAATTAATGTTTTCCCGTATCCCATGGTCTCGGCAAGGATGCCTCCTTGAGGCTCACTGTATAGGTAGGGCTCGAGGAGGAGAACGCCATCAATGATGTCGAAGTAGAAGCGATGTCCCTGAAGATCTATGAACGGCGGCTTCCTTGGATCTAGAGTCATGGAGGGCCTTGACTCCTTCTCAATCATGGCAGCTGCGGAGCGTTTCTGATAGGGATACAAGGCTGATCTCAAACCAGCGACATCATCTTGGAGGACATCCATCATGGCTTGTTGGGCGTAGGGCATCGAAGCAAGATTATCCAAGGATGGCTGTGGGGAGGTCAGAGTGTTGAATATGTAGAAAAGAGATTCCTGGTGTGCAGTCTGGGAGGATCGGTATGTGAGCAGGGTAGATTCAACATCATGAGTAGCGGTCCAAGTCCGGGGTGAAATGTCGATGAAGTTGATCAAACCTTTGAGGAGCTTTCTGAAGTCTTTGACCGAAGTTTGAGTGCGACGCTTGAGATTCTCAGGTGCAGCATAGACTCGGAGAGCGGCATGATGATGGTGGGTTGAGTGGTGTCTAAGATCGGTTCTTATCCAATCCTTTTGGATCGCAGATTCTAGATGTCGACTGGGCCATGGGGCCAGGCCGTCCATACCAACCATGTTCCAAGCGCCATGGTCATTGCCCTGGAAGATTTGAACAAGACGGATAGATCCGAGGGCTATATAGCCATCGGATCCTTGACTCTCTCCAGTCTTCAGTGCTATGGGTGAAGCGCTTCTCGATGACGCCGAGGGACTTGCGGATTGTTGAGGAGACATCTGAGCCTGTGAGCAATGAACTATGGGGATTGCATGCAGACTTTGCACCTGTAGATCAACCTGATGTATGGCAGAGGAAGGGGTATTGCGTGATAGATCTCAGATGGTCATGATGGAGGCACGGGACGGGTGAAGATTCTTGGGATCTCGAAGTCGGCATCATCATGGCTCTGTTCGACAACCGCGGGCAGACGACTCAAGACGCGGATTTACGAAGGTCGTCAACACAGAGACACCCTCAAATTAAGAATTGAGGAACGAAGTCGATGAAGAGAAGTGTCAAGTTGATGCCGAATAACTCAATATCAATTATCAAAATCTGGGCAAGGCTGCACTTACCAGATGGGCCGTGGCTGCCTGGTTGGATAAAGTCACACTGTGTCAGGGTCTGACATGGTAATTAAATCTGTGAAACACAATATCTGATGCATATGTGGCATCTCATTGGTCTCTCACTTGGCTTGTCGCTGTCAGACCGGTCTGATTTTGACTCTCGCAATTACCTCTTCACTACCACCTCACCACCAACACCCTTTATTGTACGAATAGATTGTTACTACGTCAGTGCTCATCATGCCATTATGTGAATATTTTGCAATAGTGATTGATTTCAAAAGTAAGAGTAACAGTCCTATCGATCAAAATAACATGCACCAAACTACAAACACCCATTGCCAGACGCAGTCTTGGAGACGGGTGAAGACGACGATACTTGACCCTTCTTTTCCAATTGCTTCCACCTCGAGAATAGTTGTTGGAAGGCCATTGGCTCTTGGGCACCCCCGACCTCCCAGAGATCGTTAATCTCGTAGTGTGGCACTCCTGATATCCCTTTATACCGGGCCTCGTCGGCAATCTTGTCCACCGCCTCTCCGTCCTTACCACTCTCTAGATACGCCTTGATCTCCTCCTTAGTTCCCAACTTAGCCTCGACCCCGATTTCGACCAGAGTTTCCAAGGTGGTAATGTCGACTTCCTGCTCAAAATACCTTCGCCACAAGCCAAGCATGACATCCATTTGTGCCGTTTCCCCACCATGGTTCTGGGCAAAGTAGACCAGGCGATGTCCGTTGCGCGATGGACCAGTGTTTCCACCGAATTTGAAGTCGAGTCCTTCGTTGGCGCTCGTTTGCTTCATCATTGCTTCGATCTGCTTCGCCCTTTCTGGTCCAAACTTTTCAGCATACATTTGTCGACGAGGTTTGGATGGCACAGGGAAGGGTGGCGGAACGGGGCCGGATGACGCATATTGTGGTGGTGGCTGAAGGTAAAATGGAAGATATTTGATGTTGAACTTATCGTCCGGATACGTTTTCTTGTGGGCGGCGATGGCATTGGACAGGCGGTTGTAGCCAATGTAGCACCAGGGGCAGACGACGTCGGAAGTGACGGTGATGTTATACGTCGACATGGTGGACAAAAGGCGTCGGGTAGGCGCAAACAGCATCAATTGTCGAGGAATATAGTATTATAATAAATGTGGTAGAATCACTCAACAAACTCACACAGATTGGGTCAAATTGCAGTTCTGATCGTGTACAGGTTGATCATTTGGAGTCAAGACAGGTCAAAAGAATCTAGAATACAGAATTGAAATATAGGGCAACAATATACTCCTCGGCAATCGGCTTTCTTGACTCTGTATTTGTCAGCGCTGCTTGTCAGTTCCATCTGGGTTCTTGATGCAAAGAGGTGACCTTGCAAGTCGGCTGGATGAATTCTCTTACATTGTGAAGGACAAGGGGGTATAATTAAACACAGGGTATCAATATTCAAGCTTGAACCCAAACCAGGCGTTGATGCTGACACGCAGAGTGCGCTGACATGGAGGCGGATCCACGACAGCTTGAAGGATGGTCACGTGACTATCATCTTCATACCAGGGATTTACACCACGAGTGGTCTAATGCTTGACGGATTGAAAGGGAAAGGAACAATGAATGAACACATTCCACACAATCCGCTTCAGTAGTCTCCATCTATAGATTGTCATGGAATCAATGTCGCTAATATACAAATCCTGTCCGTGACCGCAATGCCTTTTCCGGAAAGGAGAGGTCACTACAATATACATGGCCGACCTGAGTGGCCGTAGCTCTGAACGCCATCACCTTCAGTCTGTGTCTTGTGGTCCATCGGCTGGCGATGCAGAAAATCCTCAATTGGCTTGGGGGTCGGGCAAAGCCAGTTCTTCCTCAGCATACTCAGGCAAAGTGGTAGGGTATCCCAACTGTAGAGGACTGGAATCTTGTAGGGTCTTGAGCTTGGGAATCCTGTAAGGACCCTTTTCTCCACTCTCTTTCCATTGTGCGCTTGTGTGCCGTTCGAATCTCTCCGCGGCCTCCTTCAGCCTCTGCCAATCCGCCTCTTGCTGTTGAATGAGCTGGTATTGACGCTTCTTATCATTCCAGACGTCCTCAAAACTCTCCATGATGGGAGATTTGCCCTTGAGGCCATACTTTTCCCGCTGCTTGGCATATATCTCTTGCATCTTCGGTGAAGTCATGACCAACCACCGGAGTCTCCAGCCCAAAAGACCTAGCTCTTTTATCCGCGCTGGTTTGGGCCCTGTGACATATTGATCCAGACCACCGCATTTTCTAATCGTGCGCATGACACGTGCCGTGACAGGGATCCGAAGTTCCATGTTGAGGGCTTCGCTGCGAACATCTTCGATCCGAACGTTGGGGAACCAATGGCGCAGTGATTTGCCCTTGTTCCTGCCCTTGGAGATCTTGCTCCCCGACTGAATGTTGGCTCCTCCATAAAGGCCAAAGTTGGCCTCCTTGAACGTCATGTTCTTGCCGTACGGATAGGCAGGCATCAAGGGGTCATCAATCCCGGCTTGTCTGAACAAGTCATGGCTAAAGGTTTTTTCTCGATCCTCTCGAGCAAAGGTAAACCGAGGCTTGAAGTATGGCGAAGGGGTCTGTTTGCTGCGATTATGAGCTCGGTAATCCTTGTACTGAGCAGAGGTCGGAGTGCGAACGACAGGTTTGAGGGATCGGACGATGTTCTTGATGGCCACCACAGTCTGCTCGGCTGGAGCCGTTACAGCAGCTGTTGCACCAGCCATCGGAGTGACAGTGTGAAGGCACGAGATGCCTGGAGGACAAGGAGGATGGTGGAATCTAAGGGGGACAGTGATCTGCTTAGAAGCAGCAAAACCTGATGTCCTGGATGTTGGTGGTGGTGGTGGTGGTGGTGGTGGTTGACTTGTGTGACTTTGCAGGAATTGAGTTGGGAATCGCAGCGCAGGAAGGAAGGAAGCTGCAACTTTTGTTAGCGCCAAATCATTTCACTAAAACAATATCCCGCCGCTGAGATCTGGGGTCCATGCCCTCTTCCACGACCACATCCACTTCTCACATTGACAACACCTTGCAACTGCAGTCATCAACAATTGTCCTGCAAATTCTCTCCTCCATCCCTCCTCCATCTCGCGCTTCACTCAACTTGTCCCCTCTTCTTCGTCTTCCGCAGCCGCCAAGATGGTCAACATCAGCGAAGTCAAGGGTAATGCGCGCGAAAATCGAACGGCAGCGCACACTCACATCAAGGGCCTGGGTCTGAGGCCTGACGGCACCGCTGAGACTTCTGGAAATGGCTTTGTTGGACAAACCGCTGCCCGAGAGGTATGTGCCCCACAGCCCCCGACGCGATTGAGGATGCACTCCTAACCATAACACCAGGCGTGCGGCGTCGTGGTAGACCTTATCAAAGCAAAGAAGATGTCCGGTCGCGCAGTCCTACTGGCAGGCGGGCCGGGAACAGGAAAGACAGCACTCGCACTCGCTGTCTCACAGGAGCTGGGAACAAAAGTCCCCTTTTGCCCCATCGTGGGAAGCGAAATCTATTCTGCTGAAGTCAAGAAGACGGAAGCCTTGATGGAAAATTTCAGACGAGCCATTGGTATGGATCCTGGTTCTCCCTTCGAGTCACTGCTAATCACACTTTCTTAGGTCTGCGAGTACGAGAAACAAAGGAAGTTTACGAAGGCGAAGTGACTGAGCTCATCCCCGAAGAGGCCGAGAACCCCTTGGGTGGCTTTGGCCGAACCATCTCTCACCTTATCCTCACCCTGAAATCTGTGCGTGGAACCAAGAAGCTTCGTTTGGACCCCAGTATATACGAGGCCATTCAGAAAGAACGAGTCGCTGTGGGCGATGTCATCTATATCGAAGCCAACACGGGCGCGTGCAAAAGAGTGGGACGATCAGATGCATACGCAACAGAATTCGATTTAGAGGCTGAAGAGTACGTCCCTGTGCCCAAGGGAGAAGTCCACAAGAAGAAAGAGGTTGTTCAAGACGTGACGCTACACGACCTCGACATTGCAAACGCCAGACCACAAGGAGGCCAGGATGTTATGAGCATGATGGGCCAATTGATGAAGCCCAAAAAGACCGAAATCACAGACAAATTGAGATCCGAAATCAACAAGGTCGTCAGCAGGTATATTGATCAAGGCGTTGCTGAATTGGTCCCTGGCGTCCTCTTCATTGATGAGGTGCGTGTTCCCCCTCGATTTCCCCAATCACCCGCTTACCGGCCACAGGTCCACATGCTTGACATCGAATGCTTCACGTACCTCAATCGCGCCCTTGAATCACCCATCTCACCCATTGTCATCCTAGCCTCAAACCGTGGCAACACCATCATCCGTGGCACACACGATATTGTTGGCGCCCACGGTGTTCCACCAGATCTCCTTGCCCGTCTTCTCATCATCCCCACTCACCCATACAACGCCTCAGAAATATCCACCATCATCCGTCTGCGCTCCAAGACTGAGGGGCTTGCCATCTCCGACAGTGCCGTGGAAAGGGTTGCTGGACATGGCACTAGTGTCAGTTTGAGATACGCTCTACAATTGCTTACACCATCAAGCATCCTGGCCAAGGTTAACGGAAGAAGTGAGATCACGCCGGAAGATGTGGCCGAATGCGAAGATCTATTTATCGACGCCAGAAGGAGCGCAAAGGTGGCCGAGCAGGCCGGCTCAGCGTTCATCAGTTGAACTACAGCAAGCTGAACATGATGGCCTCCATTTGGCCACTCGTTGTCATTCAATCGTCCGGATTTTGGTACTCATCAGCCTCGCTGCAGCTAGATTTTTGGCGGGACCCCGCCTCACGCTCCTCCCGGGTCAAAAGACGGGCCGCTTGCGATTACAATAATCGTGTCGAACAATGACCGCGCTGCTTGGCCCGGGTGCGACTGTCAGTCACCGGCATCACTAGACTCTGAGGCGCGGAATAAACTTCTCCGACGCCGCTACAATCAACGTCCGCAACTTAGCTGATGCTCGCTTCATCCCTTCATCCCTTCATCGCCTCGTCGGCATGTGTCATGAGTATATACCATCGGGTAAACGGGCAAGGCAGTCTTTGAGCGACAGACTAGCAAACAGCTTGGTTTTCGGGCGCAGAGAAGGTGTGAGCACCCTTAACATGATGTCTTACTATTAGGAGAAACTGTACCAAGATATGTTTTGGAGTAATCTTAAAAACTGCATTGCTATTGTAAACATGACCGTTCGACTAGATTTACATCAATCTGCATAAGCCTGGCCTTGATTTCATAGCAACAGTGGAGGTACTACGAAGGGATCTACCACCCAAACTCTCTTCTGGTCCCAGTTATGCCTCGAGCACAAAGCTCAACCATGGAATCACTGTCTGAATCCCAAACGTCAAAAGTCAATGATTTCTACAATTAAGCTACCTGTCCACACAGCATGTCAAGTTAGCAATCAAGGTCCAACAATCGACTGCTGAAAAGAGAAAGAGAGGTGTAGGATCGTGTAGTCAGACATCCAAGGAAGTGCATAAACGCTCAACGCACACCTGGACTTAAATAGGTTCGAATGCCAGGGGCTAGCGTGGAAACTGCGAATGTGGAAGTGTTTTCATCATTTGGGGGGTCGATCAACCGAAGCAAGAGACAAGACGGGAGTGTACTTGAGAGCGAGCCCACTCCCGTTTTCTTCTCTTGTAGGTATTGCAAACCACCAGGTATTGTAGGGAAGGAAGGAAGGAAGAAATTGTAACGTACATTTGGGAACATCAAGTGCGTGTGTGAGGTAGCAGCCTATTTTGAGTCCGTACCGTGGAGTCTTTCGGCTCTCAGAGAAACTAGTCAGAGACTTTTGTTAGCCTGGTCCGAAACACCGTGGCATCCTCTGTAAAATCAAAAATGGAGAGATCGATCAGACATTATATACTGGCTAGTAGCAGTCCATTCAGCGATGACGGACCGAATGTTTCTTCAAGGGCGACTCAGAGAAAATGGAAGAAGTGTTGGAGAAATTGTCATCTTGAAAGAAGAGCAGTTGGGGAGAAGATCAAAGCAAAGGAAGGAACATACCATCATGTCAGGCCTCTTGTTGAAGATGTGCAGTTAGTAAAAACATCTCCGGAACACTACCAGAGTTCAACAAGAGTCAAGGTGTTGCCGGTGGGAAGGGAAATTTGCACCTCGAAAGTTGGAAAATGATGATAAAGTAATTTGTGTACAAGACGAGAAGGTTCGGAAATCAAATGATTCGGAGAATCATCTAAAGTGGGGCGCGGAGGTGCATTTGAAATATATTCTGTCTGACTCGTAAAAGACAAAAGATTCCGGCACGTTGAAGTGGGTTATATGGGCACAATTGGTCGGTGTCAGCGGTATCAGATCTACGTCTGACCTGAGTCTGACCTCGGGCCGGCGTCTTTCAAGTCCCCGGGTGCCCCTTAGCGCCTGATCTGAATCGGCAGAGTCAAGTGCCATGGCCACTCCTGCCACAATTCATACCCGGCTCGCTCTCTTCTGTTCTGTGTTCTGTGCCGTTACTGCAACTGCAACTGCTCTTCTCTGCCACCTGCACCTGCACCTGCGACATCCCCAAACCCAAACCCAAGTCCATCCTCATCTCATCTTCAACCTCATCCATCTCCATCACCATCGCCATCGCCATCGCCATCTTCTTACACCACCACGGGCAGGTTTCCATCCTCTAATTCATCGCCTTCGCCATCCGCATCATCTTGCAGCATTTGTCCCTCTCTCAAATCATCCCCGCTGTCCGTCGCTCTTTCCTCATCTCGTGTTTTGAGAGTCACTCCTCGATCTTGCCCTCAGATCCCGTGACTCTGAACCCTCTTCTCTCTCACCACTCCCGCCTGTTCTGCAGAAACTTCCTGGCTATATCCATACGACCGTACACATCTACAACCCTCACTTCATCCGACAAGCGCAAAGGCTTTACTATCTTTGTGCCTGACGCCAGTATCCGACTCACGATTTAAATTATTTCATGATCACCACCCCTCGACGATGAAGGCTCTTCGCGCGATTCTCATTATTGCCAACCTTCTTTAATCACGCCCTGTTGCGAACCCCGATTTCTGTCACTGGTCGACACAACAAGACGGACGTTGCAACCACTTTCGACCGTTCGTGATTCTTCCACATCCAGGCGCAACCACCACACACCGTCAGGCTTCTGTCGCCGATGTGACCTCGCGACGAACCGCTTGCGATAAGGATAGAGTGTGATCCAAAGGTGGCGCTAATAGAATATTCGTGCAGAGTGCAGAGGTTATCTAGAGAAGAAGTCAGATAGAATCACCCCGACCGGTGGTTCTTATACCAAGACCCGGACGAAAAGCGATTGCACGGAGCCTGTTCGGTTCATCTAAAGATGATGGCCCAACCGTTTCCCGCCCATGCGGGTATAGCCCCTGGTCATCCAGGCATGCAGCATGCTCATCCCATGGCGGGTATGCAGCATCCCAGCGCTGGCCACATGGGAGGTCAACCGCAGCCTGGTATGATGCAGAGCATGCACCCAGGTGTTTCGGGCCCTCAAGTCACTCAAGGCCCCATGGTCACTGGTATGCCACCTGGCGCAGGGACCCCTGCACCCGGTCCTCTGCATTCGGGCAACATGGCAATGGCCCATCTGGGTCCTCAACAAGCCATGTTTCAACAGCACAACCCACAGATGAACTTTGGCCAGATGCAAATGACTCCACAACAGCAACAACTTATGGCCCGACAAAGGATGATTCAGATGCAAGCGCAACAACAACAACAGCAACACCAGGCCCAAGGCATGCAGATGATGCCTAATGGACAGGGTGGATTCTCCCAGGCGCAAATGGCCCAAATGAAGATGGGCATGATGCCACCACAGATGCAGATGCAAATGCAAGCCAACCATCCTCAAATGCAAAATTTCCAACAGCAACAACAGCAGCAGAGATTCCTCCAGGCGCAGCAACAGGCGCAAGCCGCTCAGATGGCTGCAGCCAGCCAGAGGGCAGTCGCTCAACAGATGCAAATGTCTAGATCCCAGGAACAAACCACCCAAGCTCCACCACCACAGCCGACTCCGGCTCCGCAACCCGTTCCACAACCCGCACAGCAACCTCCACCCACCCCCCAAGCCCAAGCTCAACCTGCGCAACCCAAGCCTCAGCCACAACCTGTGCCGACGGCGAACAATCCACAGCAGCAACAGCAAGCACAAAGTGCACAGCACCAGCAGCAGGCTCAAAACCAGCAGCAGCAGCAAGCCCAACAGCAGCAGCAGCCACAGCATCCGAACCAGCATCAAAATCAACCTGCCAAGACTGCCGAAGGAGACGACGAGCCACAGATTAAGCAGCAACCAGACATGAGCAACAACATGATGATACCGGATTTGTCCAAGACGGATCTGCTCGGTGGCCAATGTATCCTACAGTTGATTCTATGGCAGGATATCCTCGCCAATCCGGAAAGACCCAACGATTTGGACTACTGGGAAGATACTATGAGAAAATACTTTTCACCATTCGCCTCGATCCGTCAGCAGCTGTGCAGCAATAAGAATGACACTGACAAGTCCTTCCAGCTTCCTTTCCCATGCCTGGCACGATACTATCACTCGCACTTTGCGAGTGGCGTCAAGCAGATCTTTCTGCAATCCTATGACCACAATCAAAATAAGCTGAGCAACGGAGGAGTTCATATCTGGAGTTCACACGCCAGCTTGACTTATGTCTTCACCAACGACATCCGAGTATCGACAACGGGCCAACTTCGAGTGACTTTTGACGAGATGCAAAAGATCGACCACTTGAACATCAGCACTACTGGTTGGCAGGAATACATTCCTCGCAGCGCATTAATCACTGTTCCATCGCCAGAGGTCAAGCAAAGTCCCAAGATCACCAACAAGAATTTGAAACGAACACAGGGCAAAGGCAGCGGCCCAAGTTCTTCCCCGGTGATCCCGAGTTCGGGTGTTGGAGAGTTTGGCGTGCCTAATCACATCTTCCAGTTCCTCGAGGTGAGTCATGGAGAATACTTTTTGACACGGTTGATACTGACAAATTCCAGGTGGCTGAAGTCATGACTGCCATGGGTCCGATCATGGACTACTATAACAGTCATCCTGGAGTAGAACCCAAAGACGCATTGTACAAAGTCACTCTAGAAAACACTCAAAGCATGACGAACGCAAACAACGCTCGCTTGCAAAACCAGATGGCTCGAGCCGCGAATGGCCATGTCCCCGTCGGCATGTTTCCGAACCAGATGAACCCCGCAGGCATGAATGTGCCTAATCAGTTCAACTCTCCAGCAATGGGTCACTTGGGAGTGCCACAGGGACAAGGTTCGCCCATGCTGGGTGGACCTAACCACACGCCAAGTCCTGCGCAGAATCCAGCTGCTGGCGGTGTGGCCATGATCCATCAAATGAGCGCACAAGGATCGAACCTCAGTGGAAGTCAGGGGCCCAGCACGAACACCAGCCCCAACGTGTCAAACAAGCGTCGACGGGCCAGCCAGGTCAAAGAAGAGAACGACGGCGAATCGATTACTACCAACAAGGTCAAACCCAGCCCAAAGATCAGTGGCAAGCGTCAAAAAGGCTCATAGAGTGCAGTCTTTGAACACCGTCAAAAGATAGTGCAGAGACAACCATGCTGCCATGGGGGAAAATGCAGGTCGATGCCCACACGGCCATTTTGACTATGTCGCTGGAGTTTGTTTCCGCGTTATGGGGAACTAGAGCTGGCCACCCGCAGACGCCTGTCTGAATATTTGTCACGTTTCTGCGAGGCGTACTAGAGTTCTGGATACCGTTGTTGCGATAAAACCCAAGGCTCATTCTCGGAGAAAGGGCAGTAGAAATCGATTGCATTTCAGAGTCGGGAGGGAATCACCCCAGGAAACATCAAAGCCTGGGCCGATTTTTTGGCTTGGACAGGTCAGGAGCAAAGTGCTCTTGGATATACCAATCTTTGGGTATGGGATCAATCAGACGACTTGGACTGAAGCTCGGATTGGATTGTATCATATTGTTATTTTGTCGATATGCGTTGGTTAGTACCGACGAGTCATTTGAGATTTGGTACGAGGAGAATGGCGTTACTGTTACGCGCACCGAAAGCGACGGAGAAGGAGGATAGAGGAGGGTGAGGCTTCTCTCGGTTCGAAAATCGGTGACGTGAATGGACGCATGGAACGGATGGAGAGATGGTCTGATGAGATATAGGCGCGCCTACGGATGTCCTTTGCAATGATTCCAGCGTGGAAGAAGAGAGACGGAGGATAGAGAAAGGAGAAGTGAGAATGGAGAAGGGAGAAGAAAGAAGAAAGAATACAGAAGAGAAAAAGATGGTCCCTCATGTGCGTATGTGCTATGGAACTTGGAGAGAGGAATTAGGTCATGTTCTGTGATGAGGGAGAGAGGCTCGTGGAATTATGCAGAGTCATGGAAACCGTATCAGAAAGCTTTTTCATATCTCTTGTGTGCTCTTGTTTTGTCCCAAGTATAATGGTCGTTGGAGGCTATGTAGATTGGCACCACCGGTTCATGTGGGATCGGTGTGTTGCTGGAGGAGAAATAGAGATGGATGTCGGTCGGTAAGGATGACGATGAAGACGAGGGATCCCAGTGCTCACCACATTAGCGCTGCATATCATACTAAGTTGTCATTGTGATGGACCGTTACACAAGATCTGTGAGGCCCAAATGCTTTGTCGATCCCTCGATGCTGCGATGCTGCGATGCTGCGTGAGGCTGCAGAATTTGTGTTGGGCCAGGCTGATGTGTTTCTCCTTCCTCTTCTTATGTAATTATGTACTGGTGGTAAGTCCTACCTGATACCTACTGTTCTTGCCTCAGTGCCTCCTTCCTCATCCTGGGGGCGGGGGGTGGGGGGGGGGGGTGGTCGGAAAAACAATAATCCATTACATAAGGATTGTTGGATCTGTTTCTGTGAGAGCCATTATCCCATTATGCCAGTATTATTACCTTACTCATTGATCATCTCTTCTATCTATATCAACGAGTGTATGTGCTAGTGACTATATTGGTTGGGTTATCTCGAGTCCAGTTCAATGAGCGACAACCGTGCGACATAGATAGCAAAGTTCTACCAGCAGAATCAAGGAGCCATGGTACTCGCTGGATAGACAAGACCTACTTACATACCTATCTATAATAATCCAGGGTTCCAGGGTATCCAACCATCTTTATCAAAGTGTTTATTATCATCCAAGCAGAAAAGAAACCGCAAATGGCAACCACAAAAGCAGAATCTCCGTCCACAACTCCATCACCTTCTCCTCCTTTGACCATCCTTCTCGGTCTTTCCGGTCCTTCAAGCAGTGGCAAGACCACACTCGCACGACTATTACGAACCATCTTCCAAGTCAACAGGGCCACTGCCACTGGACCGGATGCTTCGAGACCGAAACCCTCGCTTTCTCTTTTCATCATCCACCAGGACGATTTCTACCTAACCGACACTCTTGTCCCCGTGCGCAGAATCTCTTCCCAGGAGTTTGGCACACGTGATCTCCAAGATTGGGATTGTGTCGAGAGTCTTGACCTAAAGCTCTTTGAGGACACGCTCCGTCATGTCCAAGCTCACGGTGTGGTGCCCGCGGGAAGTGTGAGCAAGGAAGATGAAAATAGTGTGGGTGAGAGTGGCGTGTCCGATGAGGTGGTGGAACAGCACGGGGCCCAGGTCCAGGCATGGTTTGATGGTCTGATAAGCAGTCTGAGCGACGTGGATACATTGAGAGATATCAGGATTTGTATCCTCGACGGCTTCCTCTTGTATCCTCCACCACCCTCTCTTCGGTCATCATCAACATCAACGGCACCAACCACCACGTCATCAGATCCGTTATCGCAGCTCCACCATCTGACATCGACCTTACTCTCTCCCCGACTTTTCCTGCCCACCATACTTCCTCGTCTTCTGCATCGTCGTCTCAACCGCACCGGCTACGTCACGCTCGAAGGGTTCTGGACCGATCCACCGGGCTACTGCCAGGACCTGGTCTGGCCTAACTACGTCAGAGACCATGCCTGGATGTACGTTGGGGGCGAGGTCAATGGGGGAGAAGGTGTATTTGACCAGAAAGTGTTGGCCCAGCAAGGAATCACCGTATGTCCAGGTGCGGGTGCGTGGCCAATGTCCCAAGTTTTGTCATGGGCGGTGGATCAGGTGTGGGCTGAAGTGGAGCGAAGAATCAAAGAGGATCGAGGTATAATGGGACATCAAGACATGGAATAAATGGTCGTGAACCCACCGAAAGAATAGTATTACAAATCTTTGTTCTATATTGCTGTTCTAGTACACATGGTGGAATACAAAGTAGTTTTCTTCCCATTGGTCCGAGAAAAGTCTGGTCGGGGCGGGACTCATCCATCCCCCAACGAGCATTGTCGTCGTTGTCATGTTCCATATTCGCAAGTCACCAAAAAACCACCAGCCCCAACGGCGATGGCGCAGGGCAGCCCTCTCATTCCCTCACTTTGACCGTATCCTTCTGTGGCTTGCTTGTGGGAAAGCCTAGGCGGGGATTCTTCTTCTTTTTCCCTCGTTTGTCACCGTACTGTTCGTCGAACTTTTTGATGTCTCGCAAAGAATTCATGTCTTCAGAGACACTAGCACTGATGTCTTCAAGAGCCCTTTCAAAGTGTTTCGCAGTCAAGGTCCTGCGATCCGGATACTGGTACGGCTGGTCGCCGGTGTGTTGACTCGCGGCGTGATTCTCCTCGCGCACGGCATTGAGGGCGGCAGCTACGCAAGCATTCTTCAGGTCGGAACCCGAGTAGAAGGGGGTGTTCTTGGCGATGGTGGCCAAGTCCAGGTCGTCGGCCAATGTTTCGTTTCGAAGATGGATCTTAAGGATCGCCAGCCGGTCAGACTCGGTGGGAAGGTCGACCAGGAGCCGACGGGGTAAGCGACGAAGAACGGCATCGTCGAGATCCATGGGTCGGTTGGTCGCGACCATGATGAACGCACTGGTTGAGTCGTTGCTCATGCCGTCCCACTCTTTCAAGAATTGATTGAGAATTTCTCGGTGGCTGGCCCGTCGGCCTTGGTTGCCTCGGGCGCTGAAAATCGCGTCGGCTTCGTCGAGAAAGACCACACAAGGCGAGAGCTTCCTTGCCAGGCTGAACACTGCCTTGACGTTCTTCTCTCCCTCGCCCACGTACATGTCGTTGATGTCGGCCGCACTGACCTCCAACATCGTCGCGCCGGATTCCCTGGCAACGGCCTTTGCCGCGAGAGTCTTTCCCGTTCCCGGTGGTCCATACAACAAGAGGCCTGGGATCTTGTCCGAAGCTAGAACTCCGTATTTGAACGCATCTGGTCGCGTCAATGAAAGTGTGGTCATGGTGTTAAGAGCATCGATGGTCTCCACAGGCATGTGTACGTCGTTGAAGGTCGTGCTAATGTTCTTAGCCTCGATGATGCCGTTCATCAACTTTTTTTCGTATTTTGACACTGTCGAGTGAAGCTTGCGAAGAGGAGATTCGTCCTTCATGGGCTCTTCTTCATGCCCTTTAAGCGCCTGATCTTTGTTGTTCTTGCCGGATAGCTCCATAAAAGCTTTCCCCTGACTCGAAAGTCTGTTCTGGGTCCTCGTGGAACGTCTCTTTTGCTCCCTTTCAAACCAACGTACCTTTCCTTCATCGCTGGCGACGAGGCTTTTTTGGGCAGCAATGATAGGCATTAAGGCTTGCCACTCGGGAGATTCTGATTTTTCGACTGCCGTCTGACAAGGGACTTCCAACGCACCTGCCATAAATGCCGCGATCCGATGGACGTGGGCATAGGACCAGACTTTGTAGCCTTGAAAGGTGAGGTCTTCGTGTGGGATTTGATTGAACGCCTCGCCGGCCCAGAATCCTGGCTTTAGTTCAGCGAAGATTGAGGGATCTCGATATCTCAAGGCATCCCACAAGTGTCGCATGTTGATGACTGAAATTCTCCGTCTCCCGTCCTGGGAGAAGATTAGATCATTCCAAGGTCGATAGCCTGGAGTCAAAACTATATTTTGGGAAACTTCAGTCTGTCCCCCTGTCTGGATATCGTGGAGTTTGTCAAGACGCATTGGTTCGTTTCTCGCCGAATCCGTTCCCACAATGATGATATTTTGACCCCGTTTTCGTCTCTTCCCGACTTCTTCAAACAGGCCGCTCATGAATCGCTGTCCCAAGTCGGTGTCTTGAATCGCGCGGAGATCCTTGATGTGGACAATAGTGGGAGCGTTAGGAGGATGGCCTGTACCCATGGCCTGGTCGTTTGACGGTTGACTTTCCAGTGTCTGGGAAGACGGAGCTTCTGAGTCGACTCGGCCCGCAAGGTCAGCTCGCCGCCTGTCCAAAGATTGAAACAAGCCTGGAACAACACCTTCAGATCCGCTTTGCTTTGATTTAGAGAGACCTCCGCTTGTAGACCGTGAGCGGTCACGCCATACGGCTCTTCCTGCAGGTCCATCAAAAAGATCTTTCAGATTGATTGAGATTGGTTTCCCAACCACGATAGGCAAGCCTAGTGCACCCGATTCACCCATTTTCCCAAAAGAATCCATATTTGGGTGGTCAGATTCGTCATCTTCATCTTCATCTTGCTCCTCTTCTGGATTAGGGCGCTCTTTTGCCTTGACTGAATAGTCGGGGTATGCTTCGGTGAAAATCTCATAACTTAGAAGTCGTTCAGGCGTAGGACCTTCGGTTTCGTTAAAGGATCCTTTGTATAGCTCTACCAGATCCTGGGCATCCAATGCCATCAGATCACACCCAAGATCTCGGGCTAAATCCCTGACCAGCGCATCGAGAAACAAATCGCCGTGTTTGTCAACGAAGGAAAGGAGAAGGTGGTTTCTTAGGTGGTCTGCTTCCGGCAATCGATGGAGTTGATCATGCGGAACTTTCAAAAGGCCTCTCGCAGTTCGCCATACCTCTTCGTACTGAGCTTCGTCAATTGCATATCTTGGTGAGCCATGTGGCTTGATACTATTCTCTGGAGAGGAGCTATCGTCAGGCGCAGCAGGCCCTCCGTCCGAGTTTTTCCCAGCGCTGTCCAAAGTTGTTCGAGCCCGGGGTGGGGTTGGGATGATTTCGAATTCAGAAGGGGACTGGTTCTCACTGTGGAGGAGGATGTTGACTTCTGGGAACCACTCTGGAGGTTCATACTCGAGATCGACCGCTTTGGACATGCGAGAGCGCATGCGTCTCTTGGCAGGAGAGCCATGAAACTCACTGAGAGGTTTTTCTATTGCGGAGGGAGGATTGCCCGGAGAGGTAGTCTGGGCAGGACTCGGAGGTACATTGTCGTGGGAGACGCTCTCTTTCGCTGTGTCGGTTCGATTTCTTGGCTCTCGCGCATCAGAAGTGACTGCGGGGCCTGTTATCGAGGTGTCATTATTTTGTGGACGTGGAGGGACTTGTAGCCTTTTGGCAGAGTGAAAGGATCGGGGGAGATTTCTTGGGAGATTTCTTGCGCAGTGTCGACAGGTCGCAGTCAAGACCCGGGTGAACCTCACTTCGGCCTGCAGGGCGGAATGCATCCGAACGAGGGGTCAGGGAGAGAGCTGAAGGGAGCTTCAGCAGCAGACCAGAGACGGAGGGAATACTGACGAAGGAGTGATTGCGTGGTTGGTAATTTGTCGTTGGACCTCGTCACTTGTTGGAATAAATTCGAGGTGTTGTCGTTAGCGTGATATTGCGGAAAAACTCATTCTCCGATTGGCCGAGAAGGATTGTCATCAGATCCACTTTGACAGATTTATATCAAGTCTTTATTTTTTGGCCACCGACCGAATCAACCATGTCCTGAGTCAATCTCGACTTTGAATCATGCCTCCGTCAATATGTGAAGTCTGCAAGGACGCCAGAGCCGCCGTGATTCGGCCGAAAAACTCTCAAAAGATTTGCAAGCAATGCTTTCTGTCCGTATTTGAACAAGAAATTCACGAAACCATTGTGACCAGTAAATTATTTCACCGAGGAGAGCGCATTGCCGTTGGAGCATCCGGTGGCAAGGACTCAACTGTACTGGCATCTGTGCTGAAGACCCTTAACGAGCGCTTCGACTATGGACTCGACTTAGTTCTTCTCTCTATCGACGAGGGAATCAAAGGTTACCGAGATGACAGTCTGGAGACGGTCAAACGAAACGCAGTCCAGTATGAGATGCCACTCGAAATCGTGGGTTACGATCAGCTTTACGGATGGACTATGGACCAGGTGGTTTCCCAAGTGGGAAAGAAGGGCAATTGCACTTACTGTGGAGTGTTTCGTCGGCAAGCCTTGGATCGAGGAGCGGCCAAATTGGGGATCAAGCATGTCGTCACCGGACACAATGCAGACGATGTCGCCGAGACAGTGATGATGAACCTCCTCCGAGGAGATCTACCTCGACTTGCACGAGCCACCTCGATTGTCACCTCCAGCGCGGCGAGCGAGATCAAGCGCAGTAAGCCGTTGAAGTATGCCTACGAGAAGGAGATTGTTCTGTATGCCCACCACAAGAAGCTCGATTACTTCAGCACCGAGTGTATCTACAGCCCTGAAGCATTCCGAGGTAGTGCGAGAACATTGATCAAGGATTTGGAAAAGATCCGACCTAGCAGCATTCTGGACATTGTCAGGAGTGGCGAAGACATGGCGGCCTTGGTGCCACCTGAAGTAGGTGGAGCTACTCCTTGTGCGGGAGACGGGGACGACGCGACTACTGGTTGTGGGGCTCAGAATTCCAATGCCGACTCGATGGCACAAATGGAGAGGAATCTAGTCGCCAATGAAGCAGCTGCCGACAGAGAGATCGAAATCACCCTTCCCAGCGACAACATGACCTCCAATGGCAAAGTCAACTCACCCGCCGTGGTTTCCCGGGAGAAAAAGCCCAGGCCTCGCAAGAAAATTGTGAAGCAAGTCATGGGCCAATGTGAGAGATGTGGGTATTTGTCGAGCCAAAAGGTCTGCAAGGCTTGCACGCTACTCGAGGGCTTGAACAAGAGTCGGCCAAAGACATCGATTGAGGTAGGCATGGAAGACGAAGAGGGATCAACTACGATGATGAGGCAGGTTGCCGCTATGGAGATTACAGCTGGTTGAAGCCACCGGCTCTACGAAAGCTTTCGCCGCTCAGCTAGAAGATTGTCAAGGAAGACGGTCAGTCTCATCCACGTCTTCTCAGCCACAAGCATGAGAATTTGCAGACTCAGCAAGACCAGTCTCAAGGCATAGTTACCAATGGTCAGTGTCGGTCTCCTTCCTCGTGAAAAGGTCGAGTCAACAAATTCAAACGGAAGCCGAGCTCCGAGATGATGGACAGCCGCCGACAGGCCGCTGCTGAAGCCATCTTCATGAAACCCGTACTTGGTCCAGGCCCCACAATAACTGATACCACGGGTGTTTTGAATTTGGGGCAGACGCTGTTGTGATTGGATGGCATCGGCATTGTACAGTGGATGGGAGTATTCCCAGATTCCCTGTGCAAGACGTGGATCCGGCATGTTCAGGGGGTTCAAGGTCACCAGTACCGGACCGTATTCCTTCTCAGGGATGTGTTGTAGTAGATTCATCCAGTAGGTCAGGCAGACTTTGGAAATGTTCCGACTTTGTTGTGGGGGAAAGGGAGACTCGGTGATATAATTCCACGCCGACCAGGCTATTCGACGTCGTGGCATTAATGCGAGGTCAGAGTGCAGGACTGCAATATTTCGACTTGTTTGAAAGCCGCTCAAAATATCGATCTCGTCGTTGGTGGCGGCCGGCTTGAGAAGCTCCAAAGCCTGATCTCCGTGCGTGGCCAGAATGACATGATCGAATTCATGGTCTTTGCCATTGGCTGTCAAAACGACGGTGCCATGCTTGGTCGGGGACACGGCAGTGACTTTGGATTTGATATGGATTTGACTCTTTGGAAATCCTTGCAGGACTGCATTGATGTATTGTTTGGATCCTCCAGGAATGGTCAACCAGTCTGGGCGGGCGGCAATAGTGCTGAGCAAGTGATGGTTATACATGAAGCGAACCAGGGTGATGGCGGGGAACTCGAGGGAGCACTTGTCTGGACTGGTACTCCAGACTGCGGCAGTCATGGGGATCAGGTAATCGCCACGAAATTCTTGGGAGTAGGCTTCACGATCGAGGTAGTCCCCAATGGTCTCTTGAGCCGGCGATTTAGTTTGCGTGGGCTGAGGAACATCGGTGACTTTAGTGCTCAGCGCGGGGTCATTGTCACTTTCGGGCTCGTTGAGCAACAGATCGAGGGCAAACTCATTGAAACGAATGATATCAAATATCAGTCTCCAGAAAGTTGGCCTGAATAAATTTCGACGCTGTGCGAAGATGGAGGACAAAGAAGTGCCAGCCCACTCAAAGGTGCCCTGATCTCGGGAAACACCAAAGGTCATGTCGGTTTTCTTGGTTGCAACGCCCACATGGTCGAGGAAGCGAATAAAATTGGGATAGGTAGCCGTGTTCATGACTATAAATCCGGTGTCCACCTGGACCTTTTGGCCATTAGGAGACTCGTACGTGACGGTGTTGGTGTGGCCGCCGAGACGAGACGATGCCTCGAATAGGTGGACTTGATGGTCAGTACTGGATTTCAATGCCCATAGAGCACCTATACCCGAGCAACCACTGCCTACAATGGCTACCCTTTTTCCCATAGTGGCAGTTGCTTGATGATATTGGGGCGCGGATGAGGTGGGAGGGCGGTGTCGTCTACAAAGACGTCACCTTTCTTCTACCAAGAGGTAGACCGGTCCTGAAGCCTCAGCGTTCGTGATTCCTGTGGGTCGAGTCTTGGACCAGAAGATTAGGAGGAAAGTAAGAATGAAAACAGGCTTCAAAATCGCATGAGCTGAGATACAAATGCCATGAGGTTGAGGAACAGATGTTTGAGTCAAACCTAAATGTCTATGATATGTTCGATGCGTGGTGGAAATGCACTTGCCGGCCTTAAGTATATGCAGTCCCCACCCTGTCAGGATCGACATGATTACATTGGACAAGAATGAACCGTAAGAGCGGCATGGGACAACACAGGGGGGAGGCAAAAGAAGCTAGATAGTTTAGAGTTAGCCTGAGCTGTTAGATCTCGAAGCCGCCTCGGCCCTCTTAGCGGCGTCAATTGTCCAGTCGTTAGAGACAAGATTTGGTCCTGTGTATTCATAAGCTTCATTCTTATTGTACAAATCATATGGTCGTGCTATATTCTTCCCTCTCCTCATCTCAGAACTTCCGGAATACCAGCATCTGCCTGGTCTTTCAGATCCTCCTCTCCCATCACCCCTTGCCAGCCGTGCCTAACAAGATAAGACCTGAACCGTTCATCTTCAATGGCCAAGTCGTCGCCGGTCAAGCTAGGAACAAAGACCCAAGTGACGATAATGCCTATGACTCCTACAATTGCGGCAATGATGAAGGTCCAACGTACACCGAGGTTGTTCTCGATAGGCAGGAATGCCTGAGTACCGACAGCTGCTCCAGCTTTACCCATCGCGGAAGACAGGCCATAGCAAGTGCCCCGGACTGCGGTCGCATAGCTCTCACTGCTGACGAGGCCGACCATGTTTCCAGGTCCAAAATTGCCCATGGACAGCATGACCCCGTAAAGCACGACAAAGAGGGGTAGGATTCCCGAAATTTGCTCGTAGGCGCAGCCGATGACAAGCCCCAAGATGAGGTATCCTCCAAAGCCAATGATCATGAGCTGTTTCCGAGAAAGGATATCGCACAGTAAAGCTCCAACTATGACTCCAGGTAAAGCTATGGTTCCGAGCAGCAGCTGCCATTCTGCAGTAGCCTTGACGCTCTTGTCGGGGACAATTGCGGAGATGATTCCTCCGCTAAAAACGGCGTTGGGGATGGTGACAAAGTCGTAGAGAAACCAGGCGCCACAGGTACCAATCAAAGATTTCCAATAACATCTCACCACAAGACCATATGGGACTTTTCGTCTGATCGCACCTCGACGGTACAGCTTAGAATTGATCATCTTGACCCTCCAGTAGAAGATGCTGAGAGGGAAGATGATGCCGACACCAAAGCACACACGCCAGACAGTGGATGGATGGTCCATGGTGGCTGCAAAGAGGACGATGAGGAAGATGGAAGAGGCAAGAGGGACTCCAAAGGTCAAGGGCAGGTTTGTCACCAGGATAAAGACGGTGCCTCGACGGTGAAGTGTATATGCATTGGCAGCCTCTGATGCTGAGCTTCCTGAGGCAGGATATTCTCCGCCTGTGCCGTAACCGGTGACTCCTCGAGCGACGGTTAGCATCCATAGCAAGCCTTCAACAGTGGTGCCGCTTGCCCCAGCGGACATGGCAAGACCGAGAATGATCATGCTCGAGGTCAGAATGATGGCGAACTTGCGACCCAGATAATCACAGGTCAAACTAAAGCCGGCGGGTTAGCGGGTTATAGGGCAGTGAATGGCACAACTGACCCGATTGTGATTTGACCTAAGATCTCTCCGATTAGGAGGGCATTTGAAACGCGTGTGCTGACATTGGAGGTGAACTCTTGGGGGTATTGGACACGCAGAACGACGTTGATGAGGGTCATGAGACTGTTGGCGTAACCATCGCTAATGAGTGCGCAGCCAGAACAGAGGATTGTCCAGAGATCCGAGACGCGTTGACGGCGTGAGCCAACATATTGGGAAGGGGCGGAAGGATCATCTTCTGGAGTAGGCTTGGATCCAGGATGGATATGGTGGCGGCCGTCGATAAATTCGAGCTCTTGGTTTGGGTCCTGATCGAGTTTGGTTTGCATATCGGAGCTGTGACGGTGAGAGGAAGGGGAGAGGAGAGGTTCGCTAGACATGACGTGGAGAGTTCCATCGGCGAGGGCAGACACGTTATTCAAAAGGTCAGGTTCGGTCAGGTCAGTGAGAGGAGGGTGTAGATGTGCCCAGTCACAGCGTCATCACTTTTCAGAGTCGTCGAATAGACTTTTGTAGCCATGGAGGGCGGCCTAATGGAAAAGTAGTGGTGATTGTAATGTAGTGATCACCTTTGATCCAAGGAGGCACCCGCAGAGTCACAGCATCGCAGCTGACTTCTTACCTTGATTCGAGAATTGCTGCCTGGGAGATTCTCCTGATGTGGCAGGAAGTATTATTGATTCTCAACTAGGAAGGTGCCTGCCTCCATGAAACTGTCTGTACCTGGTCTCAAAATACCAGTGATTTAACAACGGTAGTACGAGTGGTGATGTTGTACTAAGTAAGTCTCCTTTAGATCTCGGACGTAATAGGTCTCACCATAGATATCCTGAGTATCAAGACTTGGTAAAGCTTGTTGGTTGTGAAAAGGCTTGAGGGATAGAGGAGTGGGACGTACAGTTCGGGCACTCTTAGGCCTAAAGACTGGAGCCACGCCTGAAAAGCACGTGTTGGTGCCAAGGCTCACCCCGTCGTCCCTGTGATGTCCACAGCCTTGTTGGGTGCCAGGGGCGGACGTTCCAAGGGCCCTTTAGGCTGCAGGTCTAACCGGGGAATGCAAACACAGCGGCAGCCGCCTGCCCCCAGCCACCGAACACCGGCGCCTCCTCTACCGTCCCCATTTGGGAGACACCAGGCTTGGCTTCTCTATTGGCTTGGCTGTCGTCGCCGTCGCAATCGCCATCCCCATCGACATCACCCCAAGGCTACCGTCTATCATCTTCCCTTGGACTACATGTCATCATCGCTCTCCCCTTGTCTTTGCACCTGTACATATCATACCTGTTCATCACCCACACCTCCATCTGCAAACCGAGGGCAACACACTTCGAATCCTAGACGCCGTCCCGCTTGACCACAGCCCTTTGGCGACACCTCCATCGATCCCTTTCCTCCAACCTCTTCTCCATCCAAGCACCCCCCATCGCCCTCCCCGCCCGCATTACAGCATGTCCAACCCATTAGACACCGATGCGGGCTCCGAGCTGTTCAGCACCTACGAAGCCGAACTGAAACTCGTCGAGGCCGATGTCACTCAAAAGTTGGACCAGATTGCCGAAGTGACAGGCGAGGAGCGCAAGGTGGCCATCCGAGGCGCAGAAAGGGCCCTTGATGAGGCCAAGGAACTGGTATGGGTTTCCCATGACTCTGTTTTGTTCTCGGCCACTCACTCTCCATCAGCTAGACCAAATGAACCTCGAAAAATCAAACATCCCCACTTCATCACGGTCGAAAGTCAACTCCCGCTTTCGCAACCACCAGTCGGACGTTGACGCTCTCTTGCGCAAACTAAAAGCCTTCCGTGACGAGGCGGCCGCAGACCGTAAAGCCCTCTTTGGCGATCGATACACCGACGATCCTGAGTCCGGCTCCCGCGATGCCCAGTTTGAACAACGACAACAACTTCTATCTGGCACCGACCGATTAGGACGAAGCGGTGAAAGATTGCGGGAATCCCAGAGGATTGCTCTCGAGACGGAGCAGATTGGTGCCAATACCCTAGCAGATCTCCACCAGCAAAGAAACGTCATTGAAAACACGCACCGGAACCTCTTGCAGAGTGAAGGTTATGTCGACCGTAGTGTCAAGACCTTGAGGGGGATGGCCCGTAGGTGAGATTCAAATGCCCCTTGTTACCGACCCCAGCAATACCCCTCTCTATCTGATCCTGAGTCAGTTTTTGATCTGGATCACCTACTAACCTCGACTGTAGGATGGCTACCAATCGGATAATCACCATTGCCATCATCACGGTACTAGTCCTATTAATCTTTGGAGTCATTTATAGCAAGTTCCATTGATGATCGGCGGGTTGGTGTGATTGGGTTCGGGGTTTGGTGTTTGATACCTGGCGTGTGTAGGATTGTCGAAACTTGGGAACCATCGCTCTAAAATCAAGAGCCCAGCGACGGTCTCTTTTTGGGATGAACGGTACATCATAATACAATATATACATTGTTTCCCATATGCGCGTACGGCCTTGTGTACAAGCCTCGTTTATGCTCCCATCTAGTGCATTGACCGAGCCTTGCGCGCTGAGCCCCAGTCGTCAACCAGTGAACCGTATGATGCCCAAGCTAGCATTCAATAAGACGCCGACCACGACGGCCATTTTCCTCCTCTGACTCCAGATACCCTCCTCCCGGACCCCCCACATTAAACATCCAATCGGCCAAAAGAATCCCATGACCGTCCCCCATACCATATCGTCCAGGGCGCCAATCTGCCCATCATCGTCCGCCACCATCCCACCACCAGCTCCTCCGTCTGCACCACCTGCGGCGTCGAGTGCTGAGCCTGCGCCGCTGGAGTTGTCTAGCCATTGGTCCTCCATGTTGCGCAGCGTATTGGGGCTGGGCATCGTGTCGGGGGTATGGGTGTGGGCTTGAATGGAGAGGAATTGCAGGCGCAAGGACGTGATTTCTGCCGAAGTGAAGCCTGCAGAATGGAGTCGGTCGAAGCCTCGAGGCGCCGGCGTTGTAGTTGTAACTCCATTTGCGGGACCAAAGGACGAGTGCTGGGGCAGCGTGGGAAGCGGCACTGCTCCTTGTTGCTCACTCTGCTCGGCGCCTCGCTGTGCAATGGCAACCTCGTCGGATAGATCAGAAGCAGAGAGTTCGACATCCCCGATTGAGCAGTGGATGTAGATACGATTTTCCCACGGAGCTGCGCCGCTCTCACGCACGGGAGATTTGCCTTTGTCTCCCGCCTCTTTACCTGTCGTCCCTGTTGCAAGCCCGTACGGCGCAACTGGTGTTCCTATTCGACTAGGAACTTTGGATCCAAGACCACCGACCCGGCTTTTGCCTTGCAGGGCCACCTGTAACGGAACATCGTCAACAAGGGCTTTTCCAGCGTAGATGAGGCGGATGCGACGTGTCCCATACTGTGGAGGGATACGTGACCGGATCAATTGTTTGAGGGTGGCAGTGTTTGCATAGAGAGAGCCGGGGATGGACAGGTGTAGATCTGGTAGCGATGCCGAGAAGCGGATGGTCAACTCGATGTCATTGTAGATGTTATGGGTGTGGGTGTGGGCGTGGTCGGCGGACGATTGATTTGGGGTTAGGGACATGAAGGCTGTGACGAGGTGGGCGGGTGGTTGGCCGCCACGGTCATGCTGGAGTTTGCATGAGGAGATACTCCGTGTTATGATGTCTAGCTTGTGGTGAAGTGATGTTCGAGATGGCGGGAGACAGAGTGACACATTATAGAGTGTAGGTTTGTATGACGGCCGAGGAGGTCAGAGGACAGGATGGATGGGTAGACTGTAAATCAGATAAGAGTCAGGGTCAGGCAGGTCATCGTCCTTCCGGCTAAGGTTTGGGGACAGGTCATGACCCCATCTTGCACCAAAAGGGGTCGGTGGATTATTCTGATCACTCCGAGGCGACCTCGTATGCTCCTCCTGCGACGCCCGCGGCGCCCCTACGGCCTCCCTAAGGGGTACCTGGCACTCCTAGATAGGTACCTAAGCTACCTGTACCTACCGGCACTTGGAATTGTGTTTATCAGGGTCAACTCGTTAAAGGAAAGCACGCGTTCTCATGTTGTAAGGGGAAGGCGACAACCTGATACCGCATTAGGATCTTGGCAATCACAACAACATTGTCCTCCAGGAATTGCTCGGCTGCTTTTCTGAACACGCCAGGCTTGGTGGTGTCCATCGACGTCAACTGAAGGAGACAACATCGGCTTCTCGGAGCGGGTCATCAATGCGATTCCGGTCTTTAGATGACGCCCAAAGGACGACTTCGCGGTCTATATTTCGTCTATCTGCCTCAATACTTTGGGATTATGCATTGGACGACTGGAAGCGCCACAAGCTTGGTTTAGAGAGATGCCCGCGCAGTTAGGTCACGATCCTCTGGTGCAATGGATGGTAGTTTTGGCTCGACCAATCCAAGTTCGCGGGCTATCGTCCGCGCAGTCCAAAATCCTGTCACAAACGCCAGGGCCAGGCCTCCAGCATATCCCAGGTTGCTGAACCCACCTGCATCCACTCCTGCTACCAGAAGCCCAGGAATGGGTGCTTTGTCTGCCGTGATTGCATGTCCGTTTCGATCGATTGCAATGCCTCCATAGGAGAATGTGATTCTGTGCGGGAAATGTTAGAGGAGAGGTCCTGCGACTCAAATGAAGACATCAAGGAGGGGAACGCACGAGGGCTGAACTTCCATCGCAAAGAAATCGGCTTCACCGTCAAGTAAAGAGTCTGGAGGCGGGCCAGCTCGCCCCACAGGAACGTCCAGACTGATCTTGGCATCATTCGAGGTCACTGCGCGGTGGTACTGCTCAATGGTGTGGCGGGCCTGCTGACCATTTACTCCCCATCCTTCGAGAATCTTGACCAAGCCATCCAAGGTTGGGGCACTCGCAACATTACAACCATGGGATCTAGCCTTTGCAAGACGATCAACGTCTCCGGCATTGGGAAAGAGAGCAGAAACGCAATGCTTGCGCCTCGTCTTGTCACTGTGAAGCAGAAAGGATCAGCCACCATCTGATGGAACTCGCCTGTCACCGTTCTGGACGACTTACTCAAAGAGCAGGAACCCACGACGATTGTCCTGCTTAGCCAAATACTGATTGACAACCTCGTCGCCCAGAGTTTCATCAGTGAATCTTCTCCCACTTTCATTAATGAGGAGACAATGCCGGCTCTCTGTCGGTGCAATTAGCTCTGGTATTCCAAGGTTAATGGGCTAGTAACTGACGGTATTGTGCAAGGGGCAAAAAATCATAAGGAGTGACAGCTTCCCTTCTTAATGGAGCAGCGAGCAGATGGCCATAGTAAGTCCCCATGCCACGGCTGTTACCCGCTCCCGCGGACGATGCAAGATTAAGACCGTCACCCACAGATCCTTGATTTGATCTCACAAAGATATTGTCAGCCCCTGGGCCGAGATGTTTCGATGTGAGGTCAGACGATCCTTGAAATCCTCCGGTCGCGAGAACAACTCGTTTGGCTCTGACCTTGAGATATTGCGGATCTTGACCATTCGACGACCACCGTTGAATTATTGCGCCCGAGACTCTGGATCCAGGAATTTCGTTGTCTTGAAGAAGCTTTATTACCTGTGTCCTGGTCCAAACCTCTGACCCTGTCGCACTATTCTTGATCCGTCTCAAATGCAAGTCATGGAGATGTGGGATTTTGATCGGGTAGCCGACGCCTATCGTCATGATCGGACTAAATCGCTGGGATGTTGGCACGCCCATCTGCCTCATCCACTCGACCGCAGGCAAGTAATCGTCCATCCAGGCTCGTTGCAATTCGCGGTCACCATCAGGGACCCATTGCCTCAGTGCCTCATAGTCTCGAGGACCCCAGCTGGATGAATCAGTCAGCTTCCAACACTGCGTGTGAAACATGTCAAGATAGAATCACTTACAACATGCCAGCAGAGTACAGAGAGGAACCTCCAATACTTGCCTGTTTCTCTACCACCAACACCTTTGCTCCCGACTCCGCGGCAAAGGCGGCGCATGCCAGCCCTGACATCCCGCCACCGCACACAAGAACGTCAACTGTGATTGTCTCCATAACTTCTAGAGCGCTTCAGATAGAAAATTAGCAAAGGCTGGTTGATAGTGATTCATACTCCAAGATTATTTAAATCAACTATTTACAATGTTGGGGATATACTACCTCGGTGCTTGTTGGTCTTGAACACGAGACGCGAGGCGCTGATCGTCCCACTCTGACCCAAAGTCTCCACCATTGGCCGGCATATTAATTTGAGACCGGACGAAAAAAGATGCAATCAACCCCTAATTCCGTACAACTACCTGGCGCAATAGAGCATTTCCATTGTCCCGGCATAAATTGGGTCTCATGATAGGTTGTGTTATTGTAAAATTTTGGCGGGGTTGCACGTGGTGAGTTTCTATGTCTACCACATCTCAAGGGATTCCAGCACGCATAATCATCTCGCCGGAATTATATTGTCCGACCACGATCCGCTGGCGATCACAGTCTGGGCTTTGTCGCCTTCTCAATGCCTTGAGATGGGGCCTGAAGCCCACATGCAGCAGCTACTTTCCTCCACGAGGCCATGCCACGCTCTGCCCACTCATCGGGGACACTACAATGTATCTCGAATTAGTGGTGACAATGTAAGTGAGGCATAAAGCCCGGAATGCTTACCTAGCATCCGTTTTCCACATGTCTGTATGGAACGCTTCCAGTGAGACCCAACCTCGGTAGCCTAGCTCAAAGACTGTCTTTGCAACCTCCAAGGCAGGTAGACTTCCACCATAACGAGACGGTTCGCAGGGGAAGATTCGACAGTTTCTAGATTGTGTCATGTAGGAAGGCTGGTTGAAATCGCGCCTGGGATAGTTCTTTTGCTCTGGATCTGCAACGGTAGCATCGCTCAATTGGAAGTATCCAATGTCACTTGGTCGAATGGTCTTTTTCATCTCATCTAGGCTGGCTTGGAGATTCTCCAGTCCACCAGGTCGGATGGGTGATGATTTATTGAAAGGATCTCCTGCTTCTTTGGCAGCAATGTGGAAAGTGTCAAGACAATGACGAACGTTGGGGAGGTCGACCAGTGCCACAATGTCTTGTATTTGCTGCCAGGTATCGATGTGAATTCCCCAGGCGATGGCCTCATACGCTACAATCTTGTCGTACTTGAGAGCCAGTTCACCAAGTCTCCGCATATTTGCGGCAATCTTGTGAATGTCTGGCGTAATGGTCTTCTCTAGAGGATAGATGCAAGAACAAATCTAGCTCACACTCAGCTAGGGTGTACCTTGTTCGAAAGGCAGAGACTTACTTGAAGGATTGGAGCTTCCAGAATCTGTAAGAGTTGCAACCAAAGCTCAGCCTCCTGTAGGCGCTCCTCGATATCTGCCAGTTCTACTAGGCCGTCGTAGGATACAAATGGGTTGACTGCGATGATTTCCAGTGACAGTGCGGTCGCCTTGGACTTGATATCTGCCGCAGCTGCACGAAGTCGATCTTCTCGACCAGATAGACCGTCATATTCGCCCAGAGCTGCATGGCTCTCAAGATCTTCAAATGCCAGCTCGACACCATCAAATCCATGTCGCTTTACTGCTTCAAGTTTCGTCTCGATGGTATGTCCAGACACGGCCTTCCCCAAAGCGTTGGTCGCGATCGCAATACGTACTCGTACCGATGCCATTGAGACGACGCATTAATTACCATTCCATTATACCGACATGTTACCACAAGTTTTGTGATGACCAAGTTGTCACTTACATTGTAACTTAGGCATGGGCCGGCAATTAGAAAAACGTTCCGGCGTCACGCCCTATCGATGCAGGTTCCACAGATCCTTGGGGCATGGTCAACGAAGCAGAATCTACTAGTAGAGAGGGAGTGAGTACCCAGAAGAGAAACAAACGAGAAGTTGTATCTGGAAGGTCAAGATTACAGTCCGGTTCGAAATGAATGGTCATCGCGCAGAAGTCGGCCTTGCCTCGAGGGTTGCACTTGTTACAGGTTTAGACCGACTCTTACTTTCTTCGAAATTTGACTGATCGATAATGTCACAGGTGGAGCGGACGGCTTTGGAGCCGCAATTGTTGACCGATTCAGTAGAGAGGGCTGCAAAGTCATCATGATTGATCTGAGTAAAGCGAAGGGCGAACAGCGGGCGAGTGCCGACAAGAATATCCATTTCGTCCATGGAGATGTCTCGCGTCGAGAGACCTGGGAAACCGCACTTGAGTACAGTACACGGCATTTTGGTCGGCTGGATGTCGTGATCAACAACGCTGGTAGGTTCAATGTCCCATAATAACAAGCCACGAGCGCTCTGCTAACTTGGATGTCTCAGGAATGACGTTTGACCCAAAGGTAGCCCAAATGGTCTTGCTTGGTGACACACGCCACTAAACATGCCCAGACTGTCCATGAGAAACCCATCGAGGAGTACGAGAAGACATTCAATGTCAATGTCAAGGTAACCGAGTAGTCCCTTGCACCAGGTGTGGCAAGCGAACTAATACAATTGGCAAAGCCCATCTTCCTGAGCGCTCAAGTCATTTGTCCTTTCATGCTCAAGCAAGGCAGTGGTACATTCATCAACATTACCAGGTAGAGCGACACAAGAAGATATTGTTGCCAGCTTCGAATACTTACGCAAAGACTGACAGCACTGGATGTACACGACCCCGGCCTGGATTCGCATTTTACAATGCGTCAAAGGCGGCTGTTGAGGTGCCGCTCTCTACCTTTGTATAGACCCAAGGAATCGCTGACTTCCCAATTAGATTGCAACCAAGACCATGGCACTGGAATATGCACCCACAGTACGGTTCAACTGCATTTGCCCGGCAGTTGGAAACACCTCCATGTGAGTGCCAATGCCTGACGTTTCAAGGAGGAGTGGCTTACAGTTGATTTGCAGGCTACGTGCAAGTATTGGTGAGGGTGAAGAGGCAAAAGAAAAGTTACGTCGTCTGGAGCAGATGCTCCCTATGGGCAGAGTGACGGAGCCAGATGATATTGCCAACGCGGCGTGGTTCTTAGGGACGGATCAGAGTTCTTTCATCACAGGATCAACAATTGCCGTGGACGGTGGGCGAGGAATATAGATTTGCTAGAAATTAAGAGAGGGCCGAGGGGCCCCATTCAGCCCAGCCCCTCTATAGGAGCTGATTTATTATTCAACGAGGTTCTTGTACATGCGGTCCTTTCACGGGAATCGTTCGATCAGTCCTCAGGTCTGGGTTTGAGACACGGGATGACATTCAGGTGTAGGGGCCCCCCGCCTGGATTTTCTCTCAGGTCGTAACTCCAGAACATGCCGAGGCCGGCTCCAAGGAAAACTCCTGGGCTTTGGACAAGGACAAGGGTCTTTTTGCTGCGGGGTCCCCACCAGTGTGTTTTCGCTTCTGCACGGCCCGAGCACTTTTGCCTTCAGCAGCACCTCTAAGGTGGGGTTGCCCCTGTGGGCTGAGACGAGCTGTGAGAGGATGTGTTATAAAGACAGAGGAGTGATAAGGGCAAAGGTGAGAGGGGCTTCTTCCTTGGCTCCACAGTGTGCTTTAGTGTCTTCTTTCTTCCTTCTTACATATCCTTCGGTCCTCAGAGCTCAATGAAGCCTCCACCACATCCACAGCTGTATCCAAGATGGCACCAGCTTGTGAGGCATGTCGCAACCTGAAGGTATCCATCATCTAGTCATGTTACAGGGTAACTTTAACACCGTCTCGTTAGATGCGATGTTCGAGATCTGGATGTTCCGAAGACGCCATTCATAACAAACAACCTTGCGATCGATGTAAGCGACACGGTCGTCCTTGCAATGTCCCTAGTCCCCGGCCATCTGGACGAAAACCTGGCTCCCTTGGTCGATACCGAGGTGTTGAGAAAGCATTGCGGAACATCCAAGCAGAGCTTCGCAAAGCTCAGAATTCATCTTCGAAATCTGGAACTAATCAATTGAAGGACTTGCCCGAAGATAGTCAGGAGCTACTCGATCTCTTGGTCACAAACACCATCAGCCAGCCCCAAAATGTCTCGACTGATTCCAGACCAGACGAATCTCAAACAAGGACCAGCACACCACCCACTGCTCAATCAAGTTCCCAGGCCGTACCTCCCCTAAGGGACCTGAGCCTTCATCCGAGTCCAGGTGGAGATCAGACCACCAACGCCCGGAGCGAGAACAATGGTACAATCAGTAATCCACTCGGATTGGTCGCAGATGCATGGGGGGAGGCCCAGGCATTCGATCGCTCTCCAAATACCACAATGACACATTTAAGTCCCGATAGCGGTACGACTCAACGTCTCCCAAATTCGTCCCCTCTCGAACGATTCAGCATGGCTCAGGATCTTTTGGCAAGCTCCTCACAGATTTCTATTGGCCGTAACCTCGACCGGTCCACGCTTGAGCATGGGCTCTCAACACTCTTAGGCGACGAGGTCCGTACCTGTCAATATCAAGATTATTTCAAGCGGTCAGACGTCACAGAAGATCGAGATACTGGGCCAGAGATCGATCCCGTTGACCTAGGACTCGTCTCCATGGAGGAAGCACATTACCTGTTCCCATTGTAGGTAACGATTCACTCGAATTTGATCTCCAGACACGTGCTAATCCACCATAGATTCTTCCAGCGCCTTCTCCCCATCAATGGAATTCTAGACCCGATGCTACACACTCCCGAATTCGTTCGCGCGAGGTCTGCTTTATTATTCACTTGGATCCTCGCCATCTCAGCCCAGTACGATCACAATTCAGGTCCTATATCGAAGCGACTGCGAATACATGGCGAGCATCTTTCTAAGCATGTTCATGCAAAGGGCTATAAATCCGTTGAAATCGTTCAAGGCTACTACATCTCCTTGCTTTCCGCAGCACCAGCAAACACCTTGGCTGAGGAAAGGTCATGGCTTTACACCATTCATGCCTTTGGCGTCGCGGCAGAACTGGGTTTAGACAGAAATGTCCGTTCGTCGAGATCTTCAACTCCCATGCATGCTCGTCAAAATAGATCTCAGCTCACATCTCGCCATATCTCAAAAGCTCAATTCTCAGCTGCACCGAGCGACGACAATGGAGACCTACCTGAAGACCCAGTCCACGTGGAAAGACTCGCACGGAATCGTGAACGAACTTGGCTCAGGATGCTACTCTGGGAGCGAGCACATAGCGCGGCACGCGGTCGAGTGAGCGCATTCCCTGAGACCGACTTGACTCGCAACATTGAATCATGGTCTCTACACTACCTTGCAGACCCACATGACAAGTACACTTGCGCCTTTATCCTGCTGCGGCGACACCTTGGGTCGTTGAACGAACAGCTTAAACGGCAACTGAATTTCCCTCACGCCTCTCGTCATTGGGTGCAGGAACTGTGTGACTCGACGCTCCAGCCTTGGTGCGCGACTTGGCTCGAGCGACCAGGACCTTCCATGACTCTGACACAGCGCGTATCGACGACATTCCTCCGATACGTGTACTTGCACGGAAGGCTGTGGACTTTGTCATTCGCACTGTTTGGACGAAACGGCGAATATCATGATGTCGGCGCCATCAAAGAAGACTGCTTTGAGGCCGCTGTCGAAGCCTGCGAAGTTGTCGTCCAGGATCTGCAGGAGATTGGCGAGCCTCTTTACTGTATGATGGCGCCAACCTGGGCAATGATCTCCTACACTGCCGTCCTTGCGATGCGACTGTTCCCCCTCTTGTACTCCGGCCAGGTGAACCGCGAGATCGAACTCCTGTCTTTGTTGACTCAGGTGGCTCTGCAATTGGAACGAGCGGGGACCACGCCGTCGCATCGGTTTGGTATCGCCGCGCTTCTGGGCCAGCATCTTTTCATGATCCTGCGAACCAGGCTCGAGCGAATTCTAGCCAATTTGCCGCCGCATACGACTTTGGCCACGAGATCACAAGAATATATGCCTTTTGATGCATCATGTGGCGACTCCGCGCCCTCAGAACACTTCTCGGGCGCTCCTGGCCAGCTCGACTTTCCGCAGAACTCATTTGATCCCTTCTCCTCAGCTTTCGATCCTTTTCTCACACTGCCATTGCTTCCTGGCGAAGAGGATGGGACGACTGATGGGTTTGCTGGTGTACTGTGGGACTGGGCTGGCCAGGGCGTTGGTAGCTTCACATGAGGACTTGCTTAAATTTGTAGTAATGACAATTATGGCGCAGATCGATGTAGATTACACTTTTCACATCTTTGATCAGCTTGAAGGCTATCATTAGTCATTTCATTTCCCCAACAAGGTTACAGCATCTAGCACGGTTAATGAACGCACGACAATATGTATCGTGAAGCTTTTCAGCTGAAGCGGATCTATTTAGCCGATCTTCTGCACATCCTACCATTGTTTATCTAGATTCACCTCTCTTCTTGGCCGAGCGCTCTCCTACAGCTTACTCAGTCGGACTTCACCTTTGATCGCTTTGTTCACAAAGTCTGGATCCTCCCTCAGAGTTCTGCCGAGCCCTATCATATCAACATCGCCTTTCTGCACGGCTTCGGCCATGCGATGACTATCGCGCCAACCCCCTGTTGTTCCAATCACAGCTCGAGAAAGGACTTTCTTGAATTCCTGCGCCCACTCGACAAAGTAGCTGCCGCGATTCTTTTGTGATGGTCGCTCGGCCAACTCCTTCATGATGTTGCCACGCCAAGCAGGGGACTCGTAAGTGCCGCCCGAGATATCGAAGAAATCAACACCAGCTTCCTCCAACCACTTAATGACAACGCACTGTTCTGCGAAAGACTGTCCCCCTTCAATGACTATATTGTGGAATACCGAGGTCAGCTGTTGCTTTCATGAGATTAAGGAAGTAGCTCGAAAGGGGTTCAATAGAGTGAGTTTCATCTTACAGTCCTGACAGTTAAATTTGACAGCAAGAACGAACGAGTCCGAAGGCAACTTGGCCTTGATAGCGTTTACAATTTGCAGAATGAATCGGGCACGGTTTTCAAGACTTCCGCCATACTGTTAACAAGCACTGATCAGCGGTGCTAGCTATGCAGACATTTTCCCGGACAGAGGATGAGCCCTGGAGTACGTACCTCGTCGGTTCTTCGGTTCGTCAATGGCGACAGAAATTGGTTCAGAATATAGCCGTGTGAGCCATGGAGCTGGAACAAATAAGTCATGGATCATCCGTTAGCAATTGAAAAGCTCACAATAATGCCATCAGCACCAGCTTTTGCCAGAACACTTGCTGCCCAGACATATCTCTCTACTAGCGCGTTGATCTCAGACTTGGTCAACGCCGTCGGCTTGCCGTAGGTCTTGTTCAAACAGGGCCGCAATTGTACGTCTGAGGCAGATTTGGGATGCTTGTTAAGAAACTCGGGCACTTGACGACCAGGAAATTGCAATTGCGGTAGACAGATTGCACCGCGTGACTTTGCTGCCTTGATGGCTGGGGCAAATGCCGCCACGGGATCCCACGGGTTTCGCGGGTCGAGAACAGCATTATTGTAGTTTTCGAGGTTGTCGCGGTCAATCGGGATGTTGCCAAAGCAGATCAGTCCCGCTCCTCCGTCAGCAAGCTCTGGAAGAGGTCAGTCTAGGGATCAATCTCATTTGACTGGTAGGGGTAGAGAGCGATTTGCGTGGGGGGTGATTAAGCAACTCACCTTGATACAGCTCGGCATATCGAGGCTTCGGGATCCCCGTCTTTTCAACGTCGTTTTCATCATATGTCGAAGCGTACTCGCTCAACGGTGTTCGGTAGATTCGGTTACGAATGACCTTCCCTGATAATTTGAGGGTAATAGGCTGCGTTGGAGCTTTAGTACTTTCAAAATCTATCTGAAATCACACTTGCGATACTCACCTGTGCTAGTGCGTGCAAAGACATTGTTAAGGTTTGGTTATACGATTTATTTCGAGTGAAGTTGAAGTGAAGTGAGAATGGATGAGGTAATATAGGGAGGGCTCTTAGGCGTGGAATCGATAGGCAAACTCAAGACAAACCAAACAACACGTTCAGCCTGCTCTGTAAATAAAAGATACTACCGAGGTCAAGATCCACGGAATCATAACTACCTAAACATTTCACTACAATCTGTCTGAGTCTTGCTCTAACTAAGGAAACATGCTT